TAATCCTGATTTAAATTTCCAGAAAAAGATATAGACTTATCTCTCACTGTGCATGTTTTCAAGGGAATAGAAGTAGGAGATTCGGCGGGGGGTTTGTTTGTCTGAGACCGGCATTAGCGCAGCAGCAACATTGGCAATGTTGGCCATTGTTCCTTTTGACGCCCCGAACCCTCCTTCATTTTTGTATTGCCATTATTTTTTTCGACGCTTTCGCCTTTGTCCCGTGGCAACATAATTGATTTGTGTCCTGGCCGTGGGACCTCTCAAACGATTTTCAACAGTCCCCTGTTGTTCAATTGCAGGAAACTTAAATGTGTATGAAATATATATATACATAGGATACATAGGTAACTATATCTCGATATGTGGACACATACAAATCATGGGGTTTGCCCAGGCATTACAAATATTTCACTTCGATTTGTAACTTTCTCGGCTTGCAAGTCTGTGTGTGAGTGCTGTTTGTTCCGGCATTTGTCACCTTTTGAGATTTTGGCCCGGGTTTGCTTTGTGATTAATCTCAATTTGTTGATGCCACATCTTCTCTGCCGGATTGCTGGATGTTTACATTGACTTGGTGACAGGTCTTTCTTTCTCTCACTCGGGGCAGGAGGTGTGGATTTCATTTCCAAGAAGCAAAAACATTTGATGTAATTTAAACTTGTTGCGAAACTCAGAAGGAATTCTGGGCAGGATGAGATGAAAAATTCTGGTATTCAAAGAAGAAAATATATTTAACTCTTTGCTGGGCCAACAATCAATCCTTTCAAAGGAAACAAAGGGGCATGGTTTTCGTTTCGTTCAAGCCCCATTGTATTGGCCATGTCCAAAGACAAAAGCCAACTGAAATTGCACGTTCCACTGAAGGGAGATCCGATTCTTTTTATTTTCAAATTCCAGATTTGCTTCCCAAAAATATGTGTGTATGAACATGAACCAAGCACGTGTAAGATACTTCCAATGCGGATTCTATCTTTTGTGCATTTTTCTAGTTTTATTATAAACGAAAAACATAGAATTTGCCGGACAGCATGTAAGATTATAAGTTAATTATACGCTTTGTTGTTCGTTTGGTAACTTAAAACGCAAAAGATAAAAGGTCAAAGTGAGACGAAAAATGATTATGGCCAGTGTCGCAATTCGGACCAAAAGGCTGTCAGCAATGACAGAGAGAAAGTTGGCCCGGCAGACGGGGTCAAATGGCGGTGGTGATAATGAGCGTTATGGCAACGGAAAGGAAAAGGGCCGCGATGTCAGCAGCTGTTCGGCCAGTGATAAAGGACCCCGCCCCACAGAGTTCCAGCAAATGAAACCGAATCTAGTTATACAATCTAATTGTGTAATTACTAACATACATATAAAACAGTAACAAATACATGTTTGACATCTGAAACTTAAATAAATAGGAAATTGAATACGTTTAAGTTTGCTCTTAAGATGAAATAACCTTTCAGATAAGTTAATTAATGGAAAAGAAAATCAAGGGATTTCCTTTGCATCATTATACTTATATATTCAGGTTAATCAAGCAACGGATTTATGATGAAAAATGTTCCTAGTAGACACCCAAGCCATAGTAAAAACACTCCCACGCAGTAATAGCACAAAATTCGCCACAGCAAAAAATTTCTTTTTTGCATATGTAACTAATCTAGTTATGCAGTTGGTATTATTTTAAGCATTACTGTTTTTGTTTTTCGGTGGTTTGACTTTTTAATTACAGGTCATACGAGGGTTTTATCATTTGCATTTTCCAAATCAGAGCTGCGATGAGAAAAGCCCTGAGCACAAATGTTTTCAGCAGGCAAAGTTTAAAAGCCAAACATTCGCCATATAACAAAAAAGTTTTTTGTTTTCCCACCGCTGGAAAAAGTCAGTTCAGGTGTGAGCTTGTTTTCCGAGGAGGAGTGTCCTGGGGGCGGCATTAAAGCCATTGCCATACGAACACTCCGGGTGGCTAACACACACACACACGCGTAGAGAGGAGGATACGGCAGAGGTGCTGCTATTTACGTTTCCTAGGAAAGTCGTAAAAGCGTACAAACGAAACAAGCAAGAAATGTCGTTTCGCTCGCAGCCAGGCCAAAGCCAAACAATACAATTTGTTACCAATTAAATGACTGCATTACATAATAATAACAATAACCGTAACAGCAACAACAATGCCAGCCACCTCCACAATGTGTCCTTACATGGAAAAAAATATTAAAGGATTTACTGGGAAGAATAAGTAATTCCTGGAACAACTGAAAACCTTTCATTACCTAACCTATTCCAAAAGGGAGGTAAATTTAGATTTTTATAAGGTTGTAAAAAAGTAAAAACTATTTATAGTACTTTGTCCTATTAAAAAAAATAAAATGTTCGAATCTAAACTACTGTGAAAGGAGGTATTAACTTTTAGTAGCAGAACACTTGAAAAACTCTCCAAGATCTAAAAATCAAATCATTATTGGGATTCAAAAATCTAAGTGATTCAGCTTATTTTTTAAATTCCGTAAATCTAAAATGGCTCAAATACTTCGAAAAAGTAAATTTAAATACTCTTTAAAGGCATTCAAAATATATAGTCTACTTTTTGACGTTAAAATTAAATTAATTTTTGATTCCAAATTAAAGATCACCGATTTGAATTCAAATAAAAATCCCAAATTTTCTTTCCATGCAACCTCACAAACACACACGTGATAGACAATATTCCGCTGGCGTCAACGAAGCCAAGCAAATATGTACGCTCGGATGTGCTAGCATGAGTATGTGTGCCAGCATCCGGCGTGTATTGGTTGCCAAAGTAACGGGAATCAATAGCTTGCGAGAAGAGTGGGTGTGTTGTTGGGTGGTAGGTTGAGTGATGGAGGAAGGATGTCTTTATTAGGCGGCAAAAGCAACAAGAAAAACAAATTTGTATTACTTCATTATGGCAATGCTTTTGATTCGACTTTTTTTCGCATGCCACATCACCCCCCATTCTGCCACCTGCCAAGCCACCTCGATTTCCTGCTCGCTTTGATTCCATAATTTGCTAAAGAATTTCCATAAATTGAATTTTTTCCCAAATTATATTACTAATGGAACGTGGAAGTTGAGATGTAGCAATTAAAAATAAAACTCAGCTTCTTTTGTATCAAAATATATATAAATGTTTATTAGAATCCATACATGCATATATCCTATACGGATATATGTACTTATATTCACGTTTAGTTATTCTCAATAATTATTATAATTATTGTATGTTGGTTTTTTCGGTCTGTTTCGGCCTGCGTGTCTGTGTGGAGGGTAGAACTCGCTCAATTAAAGCCAATCAAATGGCAAACATATTGCATTAGTACATGGCTTGCATTTAAATATACAGTAGTTTTCCCTTTATTTGTGTGTGAATATATTAATTAAATTTGCAATTCGACCATGGCCTGGCGATTTTTCACAAATATGCACAATTATTTATTTGATTTAGAGAAATACCAATTTTTGTTATTTTTTAGCTCTTTACTTACTTCTTGTGTTTGTTTGTGTGTTACTGTGTGTGTGTAAAATATAGCCAAATAATGATGGCAAATAATAAAAATAGAATCGTATCTTTGGCATTTTTTTATTCAAAATAAATTGATACCGTTGCTGTTGTTGTTTGTTGTTATTGCTATTGCTGTTGCGGTCGCTGATTTGCGCTATTACAAATTACAAAATGTAAATAATTCAGCGGTTGAGCTTATGCAAATACACAAATTAGTTAATTATACTTAGTTTAATAGGCAATTACGTAGCACTTGCGTGAACGTTTTTACACGACAAAATCAGTGTCCTCGTAAAGTAATTCAATTTCCCTTGATGCAATTATTGCTCTAACTTAGGGCCTGGACTTCCTCTATATATATGTTCATATAAAATCAATGTTTACTCACTACGTATTAGTTCGATTCAGGGAAGGGGGACGGGTGGTAGTTTTAGTAAGTACTGCCCAATTAGCAGCTATAAACTAATCTATAGATTTCATATAGAATAATCCAAAGGGGAGCGCATAAAAATCATTTTAAAACTAAGTTCTACTTTAAGTAATCCATTTTCGTATAAATATTTGTGTTTCGTGTGAGTGTCGTGTTGTGTTTGGTGGATATGGTCTGTTGGTTTGTCTGTCTGTGGGAAGCACTTGTGGGCAATTAGGAATTGATTGGTATTTAAACGGCTAATACGATCCGAGCATCGTACCTGGATTATTGGCAGCTCTATTGTGGGTTTGATTGCTTCTTAAAATGTTAAATAATCAAAGCTCCCGTCGACATGTCCTTCATCCGGTTTTCTAATTTCATATAAAACCAATCGTAATGCAAATAAAATACTAAATTCAATCAGAAACCCACCATCTGCAAGTGCATAACTTGCCTCGGAGGTTCCCATAATCGTTTGCTCGAAATTTCCCTTAATTATGCAGCACATTGCCAATTATGATTATGGCCATATTACAATAATAAACACGCAAACAATTCAGCTTAAGCAAATCAAGCTGAAAGTCCTTTAGCTGCCCAAAAATTCCGGAAAAAGGACATGCCATCTTCTCCCACTTTCAACTTAATTAGTAAAAAAGAGTTTTAAATGCTATGCTTAATAAAATGGGCTTGTGTGTGTGTGTGTTTTTCAAGCTCTAATGCTTGCCTACTAAACTCCTTTTGTGTCCTTGTGGATGGGTTTTTGTGTTCGCGTGGTTGTCATATAAATTAGAGTACATACTAAATAAATAATATGCAGCTTAGTTCATCGTTTTGTGTTAGTGATTCTCGATAAGCTTAAAGTGTGTATGTTTGCCAGTTTTTAGCACTTAAATCCTTCATTGATTGTTTCTCCGTTCTCGGCTAATACAAAACGTTATCCAAAAAAACTCCCATCGACTTGGCGAATACTTCTCGGTTGGGATCGACTTTCCCCTCAATTCGAATACAATGTCCAAAGAAACCAATTTGCACTTGGATATATACAAAAGAGTTTGCTTAGTTGCATATAACTTGTGCCAAATCGGTTAAATATATATATATATATCTATATAGATTGTGTGGTTAATACGATGCGATTGTTATTATTGTTGCTGTTGCTTCCTTTCTGGGTTGCTGCTTAGCTGCTGCTCTTGACACTGATTTATGGCGACACGTATGGCGGAGGTTTGCGGTAGGATGGCGTGGCTGGCGACTTTCCTCGCACCTCCCGACCGCCTACGACCACCGATGGCGGTGGCACATAATCATCCACATCGTTGTCACCTGAAAAACAAAATTACAAAATTAGCATTTCATAAATAACACTGATCGATGTGGACGCACCATTCATATTTGAGGTATTGTAGGACGGTGGCAGCAAAGGGGGCTTCTCGTCCTTAAGGATTACAGGACTCTTGTTGCCAATCTCTGGTTTTTCCTCGTACTCGTCCTGGAAGATGACGGGAATACCCTTGGCACGGAAGGATTTGCGCTCCTCTTCATCGCCTAGAAAGCAAATCGAAAGATCCATTATGTTGGTGATTTTCATTTAAATTGAGTCTCGACAGTCAGCCTACCTAGCTCCATTTTGCCGCTTCTATGGCGACACCAGTGAAGGCAACAGGCAATGATTGAGGCAATCACAAGCATTACAACAATGATCACGATTGGCAGTACGAACGTAATCATGTAATCCTCGCCGAAAGAGGACTTATGGGCAGGTTCCTCGGGACGACTAGGTATATAATCAAGCTGATTGGTGTCTATGTTCTCGGTATCTGTAATGTTAGTAATCTTCAGAAAGTATCTCTAAGATGATTTACAAACAATCCTTACGATGACAACTGCTAAAGGGCACCACCGTAAAGTTGGTTAGGTTTAGCTCGGGGCCCAAAGCCCGCTTGGCTGACTCTCTCAAGCTATGATCACCGTTCAGGTAGATGCTCCTGGTTGCGGTCACCTCCTTCTCCCGGCAGCTGTTGTGCTTCTTGTATAGCGTCGTATTGTAGAAGTTCACTATGGTACCATCGGAGTCATGGTGTGTAGTTATAGAGCGGATCTGGATCTGACTAGTGTTAGCATCACCATTCAGCTTTGCTACACGCTCCACAAACTTTCGCTGCAATTCGGCGTTGAATCTCTCATGCTTGATGGACAGATAGGCCTTGAAAAAGTACCCAAAGTCACGTTTGGGTGCAGGACTGACCACAACGACCAGAGCATCATGGGCACTCAAGCCACCGCTATCCTCGGCCACCAGCAGATATTCCTCGGAACCAATATCTCCACTCTTCGGAATGCCGTAGAACTCTTCGTTCTTGGAGTCGAACTGCAGCCAGTGTCGTGGGTTCAGTTCAAGGTGGTCCCTGGTTTTCAAAGTAAGAGTTAGTTGATTGTCGTTGGCATCATAGAAGGTATCCGCCGGCACTTTGTATATCAGCAGCTGTCCCAAGCTGGCGTTCACGCGATCCACCTGATTTCGTGGCATTGGCGGCACGTTCTTGGCCATGTGTTGCGTGGGCTTCACCTGGGTGAGATCCTTCTGGCAGGATCCGATCAGCTGTCCGGATATAGACTTGATTCCCAACAGTGGCTGCACCAAATCGCTCAGTCTCTGGGCATCCAATCGCCCAACAATGTTGTGTAGTTCCTTTTCGGGGCACTCACTGGTAGGCAGTGTCTCGTTGAAGTAGACAAAGGTGGCGCTGTGGGGATCATGCGGCGTCTGACGAATTTCGCGCACCACCACTGCCGAGTTACTGGAGTCATCTAAAGTCCTGGCCACTGCATTGATAAGTTTCAGCTGCCAGTCAATGTTGTGTCCAAGCTTCTCGTTGATCCGGACAGCAATGCTGATCTCATGGTTAATAGTTCTCACTGCCCGATGCTGCTGCACACTAATCTCGACTGTTTCCGTGACGCTTACGTTGCCCGAATCCGTGGCCGACAGACGGTATTGCCAACGGGACACCGTGTCGTCCAAAGGTCTAAAAAGTCAAGATGATTTTAAGTATTTATTGATTTCCCTAAGCAATCTACTTACAGGCCATAAAGCTCCCTCTTGTCGGCATTGAACTGCAGCCAAGAGTTGGCCTTCAACTCGTGACCATCCTTATCGGTGAGTGCCAGACGGAGATTACCCTGATCCTCAGCATCATAAAACGTGTCCGGGAGAACATGGAAGTTAAAGGCCTTGCCCGATGTGACTGCCAGCTTCTGTAGGCGCGTCTTAATGATGGGCGGACTATTCTCTTGAGCCGGCTCGATATAGTCGGTGGAGACGAAGGTGCTGCTGCTGCTCGACTCCGGAGTAGATGGCGTGGTCGTGGCCTGGGAAGATGTGGGCGTGGCTGGCGTCGACAGCTGTGTTGGCAAAGAGAATTTAATACTATTAGTGAAAATTCCTGAGTTGTCAGGGGAATATGGATGATGTTACCTCATTATTATTGGCCAGACTATTGTTGTTGCTGCCGCTGCTGATGGCATCGGGTTCTCCTTCCTGGGAATTACAGCAAAATCATTAACAGTGAGATGGCTAATTGGCGACAGATGGCTGGCTAAGTGTCATGCTGCAAAAGTCATCGGCTAAGGAGGCAGGCAGAGTGTGTGTGTGTTAGAGTTGTTAGTGTTAGTACAACCAATACGTATACAAGGTGCTCCATAGTGGACATGCAATTACCAAGGACCTCATGCAGGAGCTCTGGTTCGCTAATTGCCTGCCCTTACATGCTAAGTGCATTTGGCTGGAAGCAATTTCCCCTAATTGGATTCGGGATAAACGGTGAGACAATCGGGTTAGTTGGTGGTAAAGAGAGCCGGAGTAGTAGAATAGGTTTTAAGAGCGGGTTGAAGGTGCAAATCTATGGCTTAACATCTAAATTGCGAATGCGATTGCGTTTGCAATTGCGATTGCGAGATTTCACCTTAGAGCTAATCGTGCGGTGCGTTGTGGACTCTACATGAAATTCGCTTTCGCCTGCTGATGTTGCAGTTGCAGTTGTTGCTGTTGCGGTTGCTTCTGCTGCTGCTGCTGCGGTTGCTGTAGCTGTAGCTGTAGCTGCTGTGCTTGCAATTACAATGCCAGTTGGCGTTGTTGTGCCCTCAAAATCGTCGAAGGGCAGCAAGGTGCTCAGCTCGAGCTCATTAAGCATAGTATTTGGCTGCTTTTTTGGTGTTTAATTGGTAACAAAAATGAGTAGGGTTTTCTCAGGAGGCGGAAAGAGGGTTTGGGGTCGAGGCAAGCTGAAGCAACTATTCAGTCCCTGGGCAACTCAAACACTATCATCTTATCAGATAAGCTATGTCTACTATTATACAATTTCTTTTGATTACTACGGTATACCACACAATATGTTAGGATATATACAAAAAAGGACTGCATCCTTCTATTCTCCACAACCATTTTTCTTCACAAAAAAACTAACTGCAGCTATACAAAAAGTATGTACACTTATCTTTATAACTATTTGCTATCTATAGTCAGCTAACATTTATGTTTTATACCAGCCCAACTCCACTGAAATCTTTTACGGCAGCTACATAAATGTCTAGTCATGTTTTGTGGAGTTTGGCTTTTTTATGAGAGGCTACATTTACACAGGACAAAGGCAATAAAACACAATATCAATATATATGTATGTAAAGAGAGTAAGCTAAACTAACTCCTGACATAAAGCGCCAAATGGAGGTGGAAGAGAACGTTTTACATGTGACAACGAGGGACATAAGGACATGAGACACGCACACACACACAACGGCGAGGCAAAAGGACACTCGTTCATGTGCACAAACACACACACAGAGAAGCGACATCATTACCTTTGGCGATTCAGACAGTGTTGTTGTTGTAGTTGTTGTTGCTGTTGATGTTGCTGTTGTTGTTGAGATTGTTGCTGTTGTGCTTGTTGATGATGATGTTGTTGTTGTTGTCGGTTGAGTGGCTTGTGATGGAGATGATGATGAAGATGATGATGAAGCTGATGCGGATGGAGTTGCTGAGGATGATGATGAAGCAGAAGTAGTTTGGCCATTGCTGTCTAGTTCTGTGGGCATGTCAGTGGGTGAGGAGTCAACTGGGGGCGGATGAGGGGGCGACATCGAAGATGAATCTTCTCCAGCTTCGTTGCCAGATGCAATGGATGAGACGGACGAAGACGATGACACCGAAGAGGTGGCATCATAGGGTGAGAATGGCTTCTGTGTTTCGGGGGCGGCCACCGAAGGCGTGGACGTGGCCGATGCCTCTACATCGATGGCAGCTACTGGCCCGGATTCCACCTGATTTCCGTTTTCCTCCAAATAACCGTGCTTTACCGTTTCCGTGGCTCTGGTCGCAGAGGTGCTGGTAGTTTCCTCCGGTTGAGTCTCAACCACCAAAGGAACTCCCAAACGTTGCAGCTCCACTTCCTCCTCATCTTCACCATCGTCATCTGTGCCCAGAACAGGCAACTCCTTGATATTCTTCGTGTTCTCAATGGTCTTGCTGATCACGGACTCCAGCTTAGAGACACTCTCCTCCATTTCCTCTTCAACATTCGGAACCAGGGGAACAGCCGACGGAGAGACGATATCAAGCGATTCTATCTTTTTCGACACCTCCGACTTTTGGGTTAGTCACAGTGAATGATTCGAGTTGGTTAGTTTTCGAGGCGATTTCGAATTGGTTTACGTATTTTACAATATTTTTTGGTTGATTGGTTGGTTTATTGGTTGATTTTGTTGATAACATTAACACAATGAGATCGATATACACAGACAGAGTGAGAGAGAACGAGAGGAAGATAGCAAAAAGAGAAGAAAAAACGTAAACACCGTATGATGAATAATAGTTATTTTCAGTGTAAATATGTGAGTGTCTTTTTGGTGTGTGATCCATTAAGATGCATGTGTAGTGTGTTTTTTATTTTGGATGTTATTCCAATTTGCGGTTATTAACAAAGTGCAGTAAAAAAATTAACAAACAGAACCAAAGGCTTCCGGAAATCAAAAACGAAATCTAGACAGTAAGTCTAACGCGATCCATACACGTAATATACATACATATGTCAGCGTGTGTGGTTAACCAACAAGTATGAACCGCAGGTATTCTCATTTAAACGTATGTATATCAGATAAAGAAAACACCCAGAGAAACCGAAACAAATATGTTGAAATGGCTTCAAATTGGCCCATGGAAACTTACCGCTCCGTGATGATGACGATGGGCATGTGTGGTCACCGGCGGCACTTCCGTACTGGGCTCACTGCATCATCCAATTCAATGCAAAAGTATACATAAGAGTTCCGGAATTAGCAATGTGACACATTTGGTCGAACAGATAATACTTACGAAACTTCCTCATCATCCTCTCCATAGTCGTAATCGTCGTCACCAGCACCAGAACCCTCTGACTGTCGTCGCTTGCGGTTGGATCTGGAGGTTAAGGAACGATTAGTTATCAGCTTTCCCAAGAAAGAGAATTTCCTGTTCTCGCAATTTTAAATATAAACCCTATCAGTATAAATTCCAGTTTTCCTTCGATAAGCCTAAAAAATATAACATCCTTTATTCTAACCTTGATTTCAATTCCTTTCGCCATATGAACCAAAGGCCAAAGTTCTCCTCCGTCAAAGCGCCAATGGTGCCATCCTTCATCTGGTGGGCAATCTGCTTGGCTATCGGCTCACCCATCACAAAGTAGCTTGGACCGCAGCCGATCTTTGGAAATTATTTAATGTTAAACTATTTCTTAATTTTTATAAGTAAAATATAAAACACACCATAAAACTGGCCCGTCCTAATCGGCGATTGAGGGTCTCGATGTTCTTGTTGCCCTTGCCTCCTTTTCTCATTGCCAATTTGTGCATGGAACGCAGTTCCCGCTTAGACACAGAATCCAGGGAAATGAATTCCTATAAAAACCAAAACCTTAAAGCTTTCCTATAAATAGACTCTTTAATCCCTTAGCTAACCTTGGGTATGGCAAAGAACTTGGCCAACTTGGCTTGGACATGAGCTCGCTTTGTGGCTGTAAGCTCACTCCAGTCGTGTTTTTTCAGCAAAAGCGAAAGCACAATCTCGCTTTGAGTATTTTGGCAGCTCATCAACTCCGTAACATAGGGATCCTGTTTGTAGGCGGGTACATCCTTTGGCTCTATAACAGGGACCTTGAAAGGAAAAGGATAGAGAATTTATTAGGGATTTAGTTTTATTAATCTCTATCTAATCTTGTAAATGATATTCCTTTAAAATATTAATAGCTTTTGCAATTTTGAAGTTTAATTTTCTCTTTAATGAAAGTGGAAAAGTAAGGAAAATATTTTAAATAGACGAAAACTATTTACGTTCCTTATCGCGGCGGCAATCTAATCTCAAGAATGGCGACTTTATAAAAAGCCCATAATTCATCAATCAAAACAATACATATTTTTCAGTTGCGAGGGAAACAAATTTGATTCAAACTGACCCACATTAGAAATTACTCACCTGGGAATCGTTGACATTGAAGTCCCGCTCGGCAAGAACCAGAGCGATGGTGGCCAGGAGGAAGAGCAGCGGTAGGTTCCCACTGGCCGATAAGCACCGCGGCAATCTCATTTTTGATTCCGTCCGCGATATGTGTCGGTATTATAGTAAAAAAAAAAACTAAATATGAGTCGAAAGAATGCAGTTTCGATTTCAGTCCAACGAAATCCAAAGCGGCTGTCGTGGGTTTTGGTTTCTGGTTCGGTTATAGTAGTTAGAGTTTCCCAGCTGGGATTTCGCTTTCGTTTGGAGAGAAGAGAAAGGGGATATGGCGATATGGCTTTTACATCATCTTGTTCGTTAGCAGCGGCTTCGTCGTCATCGCCTTCACCATCTGCAAGTGGAATTTATGGGAAATTATTAGACATATTTTATGGTGCAAGGTCTTCGAGAGGAGGGTGCCACCGCACACACACACATATGCACTGGAATACGTATGCTACATGGTCTATGCTAATTAATTGTCGACTGAGTTCGGTGACCCAAAACCCAATTTGAGCTCCGAACTGCGAGCTTCAAGCATTTGTGTGTTTATTGCTGCAACTTTTCCTCCCCATAAGTAATTAACATAAACAACTGTTAAGTGTTGTTGTTTTTCCTGTATTTGAGGGGAAAATTAACGCTTGATTAACGTGATGCACATGATCTTTTTGGTAATTGGACAGAGATACCAATGAAAACGAATGAAAATGGAAAGTTCGACTTGAGAGAAAAGGGGCATTTAATTATGGAACTGCTATGTGAAAGGAGAAAACTTTTTAGGGAGACAATTGCCATTTGATTATGAATTATCTACTCTAATTTTGAATAGCTTATTCAAACAAATTTCCTGAATTATTTATGGAATTATAATAACAGCTTCCCATTCAATTATCCCACCCATAGAACAATGCCAGCTCTGTTCAGAAGTTTGTGCACATCAAATTTGAATCAGTATTCCCCTTTCATGTCGGTCCACTTCATGGAGTAATTCCCATAAATTTGTTAATCCCTCATTGAGCATGCATCCCTCCATTTACGATTTTCATTTTCCTAAAGCTTGTCGGCTTATCATCGACTTCTATTTATAGCCCTTCGTCAACCACTCCCCAAATAACTCTTCTTCGATAATCATTCAACGCAGGCATTATCTATGTCCACGCACTTCTCCCCCTTTTGGACGGGTTAAATGAGGCGACCATGTGTTGGGACGAAAAATTGGAGCACAGTATTGCACAATTTGCAGCATTCCGTCTGGCGAATGGGGTTAACGTTTGTGACTTGCAATAAAAAAAATAAAAAAAAAAGAAGAAAATAAAGTGCAGCGGAAAATGGAGTGCATGGGAATGCCTTAATTGAGGCATTAAATGTGCGATGCAAAACAGGGTTTGTCGCTGTGAAATCTATATATCAAAGGAATGCCTTCTTCACACACCGTCTACGCCGACGAGAGTTATTGAATGCCATAAATAATGGAAATTATAATTGCTTATGCATGCGCAACTAAAATATCATTTGTTTTTCCATCGACTTTGTATTTCTGTGTGTGTTGTGCCTGCTTTCTAGTTAAATTTAATTGAAGACCTCCGTCCGTGGAGACTCAGCTGGAATAGCAAATGAGAAATGGGAAAAGGGAAAAAGACGGGGAGGAGGAGGAGGATGAGCAGGAGGAGGAACTGATGGCGGCCCAAGTGTCAAGCGGCAATATGCCACCGATACAGACGGTTCTTCTTCTCCCTATATGTGTGCCATCCGTATATGAACTTAAAATGCAGCCAAGCATGCCGGGGCCATCAGTCGTTCGTTATACCCCATGAACACCTCCTACTCCCCTTCTTTTTCTCCTTGCTCTTTGGCATGAATGAGAATGAGGCGGCTTCGGACCGACTATATTTGCTGGGTATGCAAATGAATTAGCATTGCGCCAAATGCAAAAACCAAAGAACCAGCCATGGAGAAGGGCAGAAAGAGGTGGAGGCGTGTTGTGGGTGCTGGAGAAATGAGAGAACATAACTTAACAGGCAGTACACAAAACAAGTTTTTCTGTTGTTGTTTCAGTTTGCTGAATGCATCGGCTCAGATAAGAGAGTCGAGTGCCGAGCACACACATAAACTCAGTTGCGATCCACTGGAATAGCCAACCATGGTGGTTCAGTGGTTCACTGGAGCCGCCAGTGGGGTCGAGGGTCAGCACATAAATCGAGCCGGCACAAAGGCAAACTAATAAAGGTATAAGAACAATATAGACGAGAGCCCATAATGATACCTAGGATGAAGATGTGGTTGATGATACTGCACTGGGGAAAAACCCATATCAGATGCAAAATCACAACATCCGGTTCAAAATTTTAAATAAAATATATATATTCTTATCTCTAAGTTTAAATTAGACAAAAATAAACATTGTACTTAATACTAGCCTTGACTAATTATGCAACCGCTTTGTGATTTAAAATAATCTAACACCAAATTCGATTAATTATATACTTTTGTACTAGAGGTGGAAACATTCGATACCAAGAGGAATGAATTAAGGAATACTCCCAAAGGTTTGGCTTTTCGGTTCATTAAGAGACTTTAGTAGATTAATTTAAAAGCTAGTCTCTAATCAAGAGCTGGCTCAACTATCTTTAGAACCCTTTTCTCCCAGTGTCAAGCCACTGCCCACGCATCGAAGGCTTTTCAAGTGGGCCGACTTTTATATATATATCGCCGTCATTGTTGTGGCATTAATGTGATTAGAGAAGAGGCCTACATTTAGAGCCGGCACTTTGCGTTGCCCTCTCCTATCGCAGCCACTCGTTTCAGCTCTTGCCGCGGGCAATTAATTATCTCAGAGGTTGCCCCCAGCTCGGTTCAGTTCAATTAGCCTTGGTTAACACACACACATGCACAAGGTGGCTTCCACTGCTGCATCATCTTTATCATCCAACTACGTGACACAAAAGATGTTGGCTCTGCAGCGGCGGCAAGTGCAACAAAGAAATTCTTTTATCACAAAATGCTGCGACCGCATAAAGAAATTTATATTCATTTTCACTGCATCCACAGGCATTACTCATTGAAGCCCACGATCTTGCGTGTATTTATTTGGTAAACCAACTTTTTATGGTTTTTTTTTTTTGGCACTGAAGCCGTATAAAAGCTGTCCGAAGATGTTATATTTTGTGTTTCCTGACTTTGTTAAATGAAATTCGGGGATACAACTATACTTTGCTCCTAATTTTATCAGCAATTGAGAATCTATGGCCTAGGGCAATGTTCTTTATATTGATAAGATAGCAGGCCTATAAATAGCTTAAAAATTGTGGAATACAATTTATTTTAATGGTTAGAAATGTTAAATAAACTAGAAAAAAACTTTTAACAATAACAACTATATGCATACTTCTGATATGTGATATATTCTTCCCACATTGAACACTTCAGATCAAAGACTTTGTTCAAATCAACTCATGTGTAGAATTGACCTTTGCTGACTCATGATGTAAACCGGCTATCTTAATTCCTACAACCCATACTCTTTATGTTCCACTTTGGAACAATAAGAGTATTTCATCTTCAATTAGCTTTCAATGTTGTCTTCTGTATGTTTTCATCTTTCACGTATTAATTCAGTTGGGTTTCTTGTGAAATAATAAACCGCAATTGTTCCACTGTTCTGGAGCTTGCTTTCCTTTGCTTTCTTTCACCAGCAGTTCACAGCACACACCCCTTTGATCCACCCAAAAGGGAACCCCCTTCGGGCAGTTTTAATTAATTTGATTCGCCGCACTGGGCGCACAATTCCAATGATGATGTGGTCTTGGGGGGGATGGATTGCCAATGGAGATGGTGATGGCCAGCATTGGACTAATGGATTACTTGCCGCTTGTATTTTGTTTATGATGCTGCCCGATTGAAAAATTGTTATACACATTATATATATATATACATATATACCCATACACATGAGTATGAATTTTATGTACACACATGTTCGCCGGCGTTTGACCCACAATCTTGTCGTTGGAAATAGTCTTATTGAAAATATGCTTTGTTGCACGCATAGTCAGTGAACTGGAACCGAATAACCGAAAGACTGAAAATTCGGGTGGGGGTTGGGATTGGGTTTTGGTTTTTGGGGAGCACAAAAAAGCCAAACTCTACACAGTGGAAAGCAGGCCATGCAATTACCAAAAATAGCCCAAAGTCTCTCGACTCTCCTCAATCATCGCCACGCATTGGCTATGAGTTTTTTGTTTTTGGGTCCGGCCCAATGGAATCCAATGCAATGGGATATCTGGGCTGGTCACGAAAGGCGTGTCGCATTCTGGTTTTCAAAACAGAAAAAAACGGAAAATAAAATTCAACACTCAAAACGAACAGCCAGAAAAATGTATTTTATAATGACTTCAGCAAAAAAAAAGTTATACCCAAAATGAAAAGAAAAACGATCTGTCTGAAAAAACTTTTCCGTACATTGTTTATTCTGCCTTAGATTTAATGATAAACAAAGTCAAAAGATGTAAAGATTTAATAAAGAGCAAGATTTAAAGATATTTTTGTGATTAAAGAGAATAAAATTTTTGCCAAAAGTTTTTAAAACCATCTTCAGATGCTCTCTATGACTCATTTTGTAAAATTCCCAATCTGATTTAATTGGTATCACATTTTATTTTCAGCTTCTTAATCATCTTTTGTTTCTGACTAAAAACAATTAAGATTCGGGATTCTCCCGAATTTCGGAAATCAATTATAGTAAATGGAGGAGGCCCAAATGGAAATCAAATCGTTCTATTTGAAAAACTGTTTTATTAAAGTTGTTTGTTGTTTTTTGAATTGAACGATAAACAAAAACAGCTGGAACTTAAAGATAAATTGGATTTTTTACAATATAGTTAATTATCTTAGAAACTGGAACTGAAATGTTCAAATTTAATGGCTATCTAATAGATTACTCAGCGTTATCTTTTTCTGTTTTATTTATCTGTAAAATATTTATCTTATGGCCATTATCCACAAACCTTTCTTTGGGATAGTTTAACTGATCTTTTAACACGTATAAATTAATCTTACGACTTCATTACGCAACCATCCAAATACCTAGAATCACCCAAATTCTGAAAACCTATCTAACCGATTTCCCAACTATCTATGATGTCATGCGTAGATCTTATGACTTTATTCTCCAGTCTTCTTTATGCGTTTCTTCTGTGTAAATAATACCAAGTTGAAGAATGAACTGGAAGTGCGACACATGGTGAGCATTAGCATGGCTTTCTCAGATAGTGCTTCTGTCGCCAAAAAAAAAAAAAACTGAAATGATATGACAACCGAGGCGGGCCTTACAGTTAGCCAACTGATATGCATATCCGATAAGCGGGAGACCGTTTGCTTGGCTATGAGCTTGGGTATGAAAAAACAACAAGAAAATCATTAAGGTGGCCAACTGGCAACTGGCAACTGAGGTGTAACCCAATTTCCGGCGCATTGCCCAAGAGCCCAATGATCCGTGGAAAGCGGGCCCAAAAAAGGTGTTAAGCCGATTCCAAATCCCAGCGTCAACGATGCACTGGGGGCCAGTAAAACGGGTGCGATGGGGGTGATGGAGTGGGGTTTGCCATGGCAGTTGCAGCCACTGACACAGATGCGCCCATATATCGGTAATTCATAGAGTTTAATTGAGTGTAATTAGGCTATGACGATGATGATGATGATGAAGACCAATTTGGTGATATGCATAATTGAAGTGGGTTGAATTTTGTCCAAAGCAGCGATGGAATGAGTGATTGCAATCCGATTTCCAATTAAGACAAACAAACCATGACAAAACGTCGGCTAAATTGGATAACAACTAAATGCCAACAAAGTTGGAGTAATTGTAGTCAAATGTAATTTGATTAGAAATCACGCGGCAATTATTGCTTGAGCGAAACTGGAGAAGTTCCCAGAAGTTCCCTCAAGTCGAAGGAATGGAGGTGAAGAAGTACCAAGGGAGCAGCACCTAGTGGTTCGGGGGCATTGCTCCACACCCCAGTACTTTGCACCACACTGGGGAAAATGTCTCTTACTACATTTTAGGCGATAGATATTATGAAAAGAAATCTTTGAGACTGAAATATTAGAAAAAATTAAGAGGAAACGAAACAAGAAATGGATATTATTTGAAAATTTAAAAATCACCAAGACGTATTCACTTTGGCAAATCGAAACGTTTCGACTCATTTTTATTCACAGTGCAGTGAGTTTGTGGAGTCACAGCAAAAATATTTTTGCGTGGGGCCCACGTCTGGTACTAATACTTTAAACTTGGTGACTTGAGGGCCCAAAAAGGGGGGCAGATGTGAAGGAGCAGGAGGGCTGGGCATCCGCCATTTTGGCCAAATGGCGGCGGCGTTGGAGTTGCAATATTTGTTGTTGTTGTTGCTGCTGAGAGCCATGTGCGGAGTTGGCGATCAAATGCGCTCCAAGATCTCTTGCATGCATAATGATGCCGTCTGTTGTATTTCAGCCTGCTGTCGCCGATGTTTCGTTAAATTGTGTGTGCTTACAGTAAGAACAACAACATAAGAAACAAAAACAACAGCAACACAAACAACAACAGCAACAGAACGGCAACAACATAAGCAAATGCTAAAAACAAACATAAAACAACGCAATGCCATAAAGTTCAAACCCGTAACACATACTGCCGCACTTACTCACTCTCACGCACATACATACACACAACACACAGAAAGGCGTTGATGATGAAGACGACAACAGATACAAAACAACAACAAATATAGCGATCCAGTGCCGGCTGGTTGGAGAATTGGACAGCTGCCGCCATGATAGATACGATACTCGTATTCCGGCTGGCCTGGCCCAAGTATTTTTGTACTTTAACGGGCCACAGAGAAGCGCAAAGCAAAAAGAGCAGCCACTGAAATAAGGAGATAAGCATCGAAGTTTCCAATACACTGACTCACGAATGAAATCGGTATAAAATATAGAAAATAAAGAATCTGCCTAAGATAATAAGAGATGGGGTTTAAATCACACTATTGTTTCCTTGTTTTATAAATATATTGAAATAAAGATAAATCATAAATCCAAATTATAAAGACAATTTAGAAAGTTAACTCTGTGGGTGCATGAAAAAGAAAGTTAGAAAAAGAAAGAACTTCACTTTGAAGTATGTAAGAACAAGAAGGAAAGACTACTGAAACTGGAAACGCAAAGACTGCCAACTTCCAGATGTGTAGCAGAAACAGAAATTCTTATAATTAGTGGAAAAAACCGGGCGAAAAAGGGTCTGCACTTGACACGCAACCCGGGAAATGGACGCTCACTCCCACGCTACCACCCATAACACCACCAACTTCCCTCTTTCGATCGCCCTCATCATTAGGACAGCAACAAATTGACGCAATCTGATTAAAAACGCATCAAAATAAAACAAACTGGTGGCTAAGGAGCAAGCGGAGAAAGAGGAAGGGACAACAACCTATGCTAAACGCTCGTAAAAGTAATTTTGTTGGCCCACACACACACGCGAACCGCCACTCACACACATACATATACAATCTCACTAACACAGAGACACATAATTTAGGGGTGCAGGCGGAAGTGAAAAGGAAACATCTAGTCCTCTTAGAACAGCCGTTGTCCCCTTTTTGCGTACGCAGCATCCGCAAAAGAGTGCCAAAAAGTGAGTGGTAATGCTGGGGATTTTCTACAGTATGCACTCAATAAATGAAAAACTTTAGAATACCGGCAAACATGAAATGTAGCTATATTTTACTTGTGCGTCGTTTGATGGTCTATTTATTTTTATAACAGTTTTTTCCTGATAAATATAAAGTTTTTAAGATTATTATTTATCTGAACAAAAATTACATATGTAAGTGCAATGGGTTCACTCAGCCCAAATTCCACTGTCCTGGAATATTGGTGCCGCATATGACCGAAAATCACAGTGCGGGCGGAAACTGAGTGCCGTCATCAAAATACGCACACTCACACACACCCATAGTAGGACAGGGGGAAAGAAATATATAGAAAGGGGCAGACAGATGAAGTCAGAGGAGGAGGTGGAGAATAAAGAATAGGAAAACGGCGAACAGAGTGACAGCTGCCCCATTCGCATCCGGAAAAAGTGGCCGCTAAAATCATTTGTTAAGTGCTGTGGCCATGACAACTGGCCCAAAAGTCTGATGTCCTGGTCAGATTTTTCAATTTTTCCATCTCTCTCTCCCCAGAACGCACACCAACCTACATATGCAAGTATTTCCATCACCATCAACACCAGCAAACAAAACAAGAACAACAACCGTGTGCAGCCTCCCATTTTGTGTCCCCCACCCCCTTTTTTCACACTGAACCAAATTTTAAATGGAAAATGAACTGTAAAGCTCTCGTTCTTGCTTTTTAGCTTTTGTTTAACAAAAATGTTTTAAAACTCTTAAGAATAGAGCGTTTTTTATTAGTAACAAAAGCTTCGGTTCAAATGCACCCTTTATATATATAATTTTTTCAGCTATTTAAATATATGAGTTTAAAAATTCATATTGAATGCCAAATTTTCTCCTTTATTGAATGCGTACTTTTACGATTGGAAATTTGTGTTTCATTTATAAAATCCTTAAAGAACCTAAAATATTGTACCAGTTTTTCTTTCAGTGCAGCCATTCCGCTTCCGTGTTTCGAAATTCAATTTATGTATACTTTATGGTGCCGCAGCCGGCTCCCCAAGCTCCATTTCGCCCCAACATTTTTGCCCAGTGAGGCGGAGAAAATTGTAAGTTCAGGAAAATCGATTTTCTTGTTGTATTTTTTGCCTTTTTTCGGTTCGCGGCAGACAGGGCTAATTGGTGTTCTTTTTTCTCTGCTCTGAATTGCATGCTGCATTCGCAGTTTGCAGTTGCAGTTGCAGTTTCACTCACCTCGTTGCGCTATTTCGGATGCTCCGGATTCGGTTTCGGATACGGGGGATTCGGGATTCTCCTGCCCCACTTCCCTTCCTTTTGGCCAAGGAAATTGCGTCCAGAGAGCGACACTCACATACGCACACTCACGCACACAACAACTGCAGCAATGTTTCTCTTCGATTGCAGAGCTCTTTTATTTTATTTTCACCTTCACTCACGATTTGTACGCACTTTTCGTTGGGAGCTATTCTTTATTACTGAGATATAAATTCATAAAGTTTTTGTGCTTCACATGCTGCTGGTTTTCCGAACGCTTTTCACTTTTTTTTGCAGCTGAATGGGAGCAGAAAACAAACGCAGCTCTAACGGCACCGAGTTGTGGTTGTTGTTGGCTAGGCAGTGTGACCGCGACTGAAGAAAGAAAATAATCCAAGGAGGGAAATCTACCGAAATGTATCTTTCGGATTCACTTACAACAGCTGCGCTGCATCCACAACATTAGATAATTCGAGATGACAAGATACCTTTTTCGAAAATAACGAAAAATATCTGTACCTAATATCCTGTGCTTTTACCTAAAAAGTAAATTCTTTTAACATTAAAATTTTATCGGATAAATCGCCCATATTCAGTCATTTACCTTAAAATTAAATTTCAAAACTATCGTATGAAAAGTTACTAGTGCATATAACGACCCCGAATTTTCGAACACATTAGTCTGGCAACGCCAGTCTCCTTAGCCGGCTGTTATGGCACTAGGTATTTTATTATTTTGTTTGAGGACGGTCTTATTAACTGGAAATTACTTAACATGCTCCGAGGAATGATCCAAAGGTAAATAAATTGTAAATTAGCACTATATATGGTGAGACCTAATAATAATTTCTGGCCTTACAGGACCTGCCTGGCGATTGCCAGCACCGCACAAACTTTAATAGTGCGGGATAAGCACGTTTTCAATCGTGCTGTGCTAAAACCAAAAGTTCGTTGCCATTTCCCGAAGCCCATGGAAGTAAAGAGAATAAATGTCCACGGCTGGAATACAAGAATGTCCACGCCGGAAGGACGTCGCGTGCTGATGAACAGGATCCTCAAGGGCCGCCACGTTTTGTCCCACTAGCATTTTCTTAATAAACCTCATTTTATTTACAAGTATTTTTTTTACAATGACCACGCCGTACGTAACTCAGTTTCTTTGATTTACTGGCACTCCCAGAAACGCCGGTGTTCGATGGTAGATCTGCTGAATACTCTTCGAAGATTTCGAGTCGTCAAGGATGAACACGAAGGGCACACTGCTAGAAACTCCCTGGCCCTGATCTCTGAAGTAGCCCTGCGGAAGGGTCAGTTCGCCGCCAAGGGTAAGGCAATCCACCAGGGACATCCTTTGCAGGGGCATCGCCGGCACCACGAACAGCTCCTTTCGGTCGTAGTCGATGGCTCGAACCACTCCTAAACGGATTAAGAATTATATCTTAACAACAAAAGCCCTATATACAGTGCCGAACTAAATTTTTGGCACAGAAGGCTTCATGAACTTTAGGGCACGATTTCTCCCCTTAAAATTGAGATATTTAAATAAACCAAAATTTATACATATAATGTTATAAAAACATAACACGACAAAGTTTATTTCAACTTTTTACCTTCAATGGTTGATTTTTAAAAATTAAATAACATAAATAAGAGGTGAATTTGGCTGAACAAAATTTTTGGCACACTTATTGAAAAACTTAAAAATAAATGAAAATAACTAAAATTAATACTTTGTGGGTAAGCCATTTTGTTTTATAAAGGCTTCCAACCGTCTTGGCATCGAAGAAACGAAATTTTGGGTTGTTTCTGCCCCAATATTCTGCCCCTTTTTCTATTAGAGCCACCTTCAGCCGGAGTTTGTTTTTATCGCGCGTTTTTTAACGCACCTGTCCAGCTCCTTCGCACAAATCTTCAATGGGATTGAGGAGGATGCGGCAGAGTATGTTGGACGTTATGTGCGACCCACATACGCACATCATAAGCCGTATGCTTTGGGTCATTATCATGTTGAAATGGGAATGATGGTGGGAAGTTCAACTTTTCGGCACTTTTCTTTTAAATTTCTTTTTAAAATATCTAAATAATATTTTTGTCCATGATGCCTTCTATAAACTCCAGTTCGTTGACCCCTGAAGCGGACATGCAGCCCCACACAACAACGCCTCCACCACCATGTTTCACCGTCGATAGAAGGTTATTTTTCTGCAGCTCAGTATTCGGTTTTCTCCAAACGCATTGCCCGCCATCAGATTGGAAAATTTTGATTTTGCTTTAATCCGAAAATATTACATTATTCCAAAAATCAATTGGCTTCTTCAAATATTCTTTCGCATAGTCTAATCGCGTCTTCTGATTCCCTTTTGATATAACTGGCTTTCTTCTAGCCACTCGGTTATTATAATTTGCCTGATGCAGGGTCCCTTGCACCGTTATTGGATGAATTTATTTTCCAAACTTTTTTTTAACTTCTGCTGCGATCTGAGTTGAAGAAATTTTTGGGTCCACCTTCACCATTTTCATAATGTGGGCCTGTTCCCGGGCGGTCAAAGCCTTGGGTCGTCCGGTGTGTTTTGCGCTTTCCAAAGAAGAAGCTCCCTTAAACGGCTTATGATGTGCGTATGTGGGTCGCACATAACGTCCAACATACTCTGCCGCATCCTCCTCAATCCCATTGAAGATTTGTGCGAAGGAGCTGGACAGGTGCGTTAAAAAACGCGCGATAAAAACAAACTCCGGCTGAAGGTGGCTCTAATAGAAAAAGGGGCAGAATATTGGGGCAGAAACAACCCAAAATTTCGTTTCTTCGATGCCAAGACGGTTGGAAGCCTTTTATAAAACAAAATGGCTTACCCACAAAGTATTAATTTTAGTTATTTTCATTTATTTTTAAGTTTTTCAATAAGTGTGCCAAAAATTTTGTTCAGCCAAATTCACCTCTTATTTATGTTATTTAATTTTTAAAAATCAACCATTGAAGGTAAAAAGTTGAAATAAACTTTGTCGTGTTATGTTTTTATAACATTATATGTATAAATTTTGGTTTATTTAAATATCTCAATTTTAAGGGGAGAAATCGTGCCCTAAAGTTCATGAAGCCTTCTGTGCCAAAAATTTAGTTCGGCACTGTATATATATATATATACAAACCTATTCCCATGCATTGAGGGAGGCCTGCTTCCTGATGACACAGATAAACCACATTGGCCTCCATGCCGCGGATCAGTTCTTCGCGTGAGAAATCTTCGCTGGTGGGATGACGGATCTTTAGGGATTCTAGGGTCACCCTTAACGGCTGGCAGTCAGTTAGGGTTTTGGCATTTCCCGTGAGACACGAACTGAGACGCGCCAAAAGGTTGGAGTACCGCATATCCTTGGCGCTCAAGCTCCAGGTTCCTTTTTCTTTTACTGGCGCAGCACTAAGTAACCTGTGGAGGGTGTACTTTTGTATTTCCTTGACCCTAAACTCATCCGCCTTGTAGATAATAGGTTTCAACTGCGACAGACTGTTCCAGTCGAGGGGAGAATCGAAGTTGTTTATCGGAATTGGACTAGCGATTTGTACAAGGTCCGTCGGACGGATGCGATCCACCAGCAGGGCCATCAGTTCGGTACCAAATCCCTTGTTATACCCCATAGTATTAATAAGCCATGGAATATTCGCGTATTTGGCATCCTCTTTGATTTTTTTGATCAGTTGAATGACAGCTCGAGCATACTGCTCTGCGCACAAGACTATGTTGGTGTGGCCCACAACATAAGCATGATCCGGTTGCTTGTTGAACAGGAATCCAGGTCCTAATAGGGGCTCACCAATTAGTGTGCAAGAAACAGTCTGAGGAACAAAGATTTCGGGCTGGCCAATATCTAAGTCGATGAGCAGGAGTTCTGGGAACTGACCAAGATTTCGATTGATGAGGTATCGCAATAAACTAGACTTTCCAACGCCCTTACCACCTGCTATAATTATCCGACTAGCTGGCTGTATCTTTAACTTATTCCACACCTGTGGCACCTGTAGAGTGCGACTGAGATCGGACGATTGAAGGAGACAGTGTAACATGGATTCACTTAGATGATTTGGTCGATTGGAAGCGTTGACTAGTGGGAACACATTCTGTGCCATGTGCTTGCTAAAGTTATCAACGAGACGCTGGGCACCAGTATTTCTTTGCAACAGTACAATCGCATTCGACTGACTCTGAAAGCTGCCTTGAATCCTGTCTAACTGTGCGCGTGAAAAGTTCTTATTGAGTTCCTCCCAATTCACCTCATCTTTGGCAGGTCTTTTGGTCTTTGTGGGTAGGATTGACACCCAATTAAGGCCTTTCAGTGAATAAATAGTGAGTGACTCTAGTCTGCGCGGTCTGTAACCATTCACTGATATCTGCCCACTCAGCAGTGTAAGGACTAGTGTGCCATACAGTTCAAGGTCCTCCTTAATCACAGCCAGCACATGGTTGCTTTTTAGACTGTTCTCGAAGACGCTGAGCTCAGTGGGATTTAATTGTGGATTTCTATAGAATGGGGAATCAATAGGTTCAATAGGTTCCTGTTCCTTTTCGAGTGTTTCAATTTTAGGTGGTGATTTCTCAGCTTTCACTTCAAGCTCTATGGGAGCTTCAGCCTCTTCGAGTGTAATTTCATTGGATTCTATCGAAATTTCTTCAGAAGGTGAAGCAATTGAATTTTCTACAATCTCTTTCACTTCGCTTTCCTCTATTTCAGTTTCTTTGGCCTTAGGTTTATATCTAACCAGTTCTTTCTGGTTTTCATCCACAGGTTGGTCATCAAAGATTTCTTCTATTATAAGCGGCTCCTTTTGCATTCCCAAAGGTTGTTCGTCAAAAAATCCATCGATATCAGGTGGCTCATAAGTTGAGTCCAGGTCATCACTGTCGAAAAAATCGCTACCGAATGCTTCGCTATCGCTCTCTTCACTGTCAAAATCACTGTCGAATTCTTCGCTATATTCACTGTCAAAATCTTCGCTGCTTGAGTTTTCACTTTCAGAATTTTCGCTGACAAATTCTTCAGATTCGACATCGTCGTCTGGTGGTTCATAATCATCATCTAGTTCATCGCTGTCTATTTCTTCCAACGCACTCTCAAATAACTTATTTTCATACAACGCACTCTCAAAGACCTCAATCTTTCGAACCGTTCCTGTCTCGCCATCACTTTGCAACAAGTGTGCGCGGTTCTCTATGTTTTCAAATGGAGAAGGTAAGGCTAGTCCATTACTCTGATTACCTTTGGATTTATCTTTAAAAACCACTGGTTGCTTAAAGAAATTCTTGCCTAGTTTTTGCAACTCGTCGCTTTCCGAATCTGTTGAAAAATAGGTAATGTTTAAGGATATAAAATAATAAACGAAATATTTTACCATTTTCCATGAAATACTTCTCTCCTTGGTCCCACTCGTCCACTGAATATACCTCAGCATCGCTTAGATCCATTTCATGTTGACCATTTTGTTGCGATTGTTTTTGGCTTTTATTTCCGATTTTACTAAATACCTTTTTGGTTTCGGGGTTTTTTTTTAGCTGTGCAACTTTAGATCCATTTGTTTTGATAGTTGGATTCACTTTCTTAGGTTTTATATCTGATTCTGTAAAATATATAAAGAAAATAAATATACATTTAATGTAGAAAAGTTAGATAACTTACCAATTTGTTTAGAACCTTTTTTTTGTTTTTTTGTACCCAAATCATTGGGACTTAACTTTACAATTGGTACTGTATAGTTTTTAGTATGAACAGAATAGGGCCTATCTTTGTGATTTTCTGTAGGGGAAGTAAGATCCTTTTTTGGCTTCTTTTTGAATGGAGAACTGTCAGGTTTAGGTTCCTCACTGGAAACAGGTCTCTTTTGGGCCTTCTTTTTTTTCCCCTTTGATTTTTGGAGTATTTCCAAGTCAACTTTAGGCATTTTAGAATCAGAAATCTCTGCGGGAGAACTGAAAGCCTTTGCAATAAGTTTTTGTTTAGAAGCCACAGGTGGTGGAAACGATTTCTCCGGCTTTCGACGACCAGATGCTAGTTCTCGCTGTTCGGTGAGTTTGAAACTCAACTGCATTTCTTTCAGCATTTGCTCGTTTAATTTCCCTATTTTCATTTTCCGTGGAAACTCCAAAAATTACACCCACAAGTCCCGGCCATGCGACCGCGCGTATAAGAAGAAGAATTATCACCTGTGTAGTGAGACCAGTCATTACACGGCATTTAAATACCACGTTCAGAGCTGTCACCGATATGACCACTCGATAACCGCTATAACAGCTCTGCGCTTGAAGGCGTTGGTTGGTCATCGAATGTTCATCGCGCTACCGAGAAATGAAACGGATGAACATTGTTCATCGTCATTTTGCATGGGAAAAAATCGTCGAGTTCAATTCGAATTTTTGTAATTGCATTAACTTTTATACGATATAGCTAAACGGTAGACGCATAAGAATCAACAAATTTGTGCCATTTTGTAAGCAAATTAAGTGTCGAATTCGTGCTGAGTGTTGTGAAATCACCAATATAAATTGTAAGTGGCCGAAAGAGCAGTGAAAAAATTCCACATAGCACGCACACAAATGCACGCACGCCCAGCCAGAGGCACACACTCTTACTCTACAGACACACATACACAGGCACACGTACAGTGAGTGGATGATGAGATGTTTTTGGAATAAAGCAAGAGCGGGACGGGGAGAGGAGTTTCCTGGAGCGTTGATAGAGAGAGGGGTGGAGAAGCGGGCGGCCCTATGACGCGACCAAAAAGGAAAATGCGAATGCGAAAAACGAGAAAACGGGAAAACTCGAAAACTCGGCTAACGGACAATGGACAATGGTCAAGAAAAAAGAAAGAACCTCACACTTTTGACTATTAGATCGCCGTCCAGCCGCGAGTATGACTAAGTGTGTGTGCGAGCGAGAGAGGGCTATCGAAAAAGAGAGCGAGCGCGCGTGTATTTGTACGAGTGTACGTGTGTGTGTGAGTGTAATGTGCCTGTGTGAGGCTTTTTCATTTTGATAATTTTTTGTGAACAGTTTGCTCAGTTTTCGCGAATAAATTAAACAGAACTGAACAACGAACCGGGGAATCGGACTCGGGACTCTACTGCAATAATTGCAATCCTCTTCAAATTTGAATTTGCCTTTTGCAGAACTTCCAATGACGACGATTCGCAAGAAATTGGTAATTGTCGGCGACGGTGCCTGCGGTAAAACTTGCCTTCTGATTGTCTTCAGCAAAGATCAGTTCCCCGAGGTCTATGTGCCCACCGTATTTGAGAATTATGTGGCCGACATTGAGGTGGACGGCAAACAGGTAAGCATTTATTCCGCCCAACTAAACAGCCCCCTACAGCCAGCATGGTAAAAACACATCCGTCTCACCGTACTGCCCCCCTGATAACCCCACCCTTGAAAATCTTCCAACCCAAGTGATAATCATCTGATCTCGTTTTATAATTCGTGTGTGCATTCAATTCATTCCGTTTTTCAAGTGCGCGTATCCTCCTTACACTTTCTGTCTGCGTTCGTATTTGTGTTCCCCAATGGGTGTGTGTTTATTGTTCTCTTGTTTGTGCCACCCACAACTTCACCCACACCTAGAAAATAAAATCACCATAGTCGTCGTCTTTCCTTTTATTCCCTTGTAAAAAAAATGAGTCAATATATCGCCTGATATGCCCACAACAGGCACAAATAAACAAAAAGGTATCTGGAAAAGCTAGATCATTAACCGAGAAAAATTGCCAATTTGGATTATTCGGAAGAATCTGAATCCAAACTTTTGATAGCAGTGATTAAGTCACACTTGGCCACATTTCCCCCACACTTGAACACATTTACAAACACACACAAACTAAACAGAGAGTTGGCAGCAATACTAATACTAGCAGTGCTGCTCCCTTCCTTCCGCTCGGTTTCTTTTCTTTTATTTTGTATTTGTCTTATACAAGTCCGTTGCGCACATACAGTTTAATGCGTTGCGCCGCCCCCCGCTCTCACTCTCTTTCGCTTGCTGACTCTCTCCTCTCTCCCTGCTCACCTGTACTCTCTTTTTGGGGCACTATAGCTCTCTCAGTTGCTCGCACAAATGTAATGTGCGATTTCCAAGGGGCATTAAGTCATGATTTGGTTATATATTTCCATTTCTCAGATCCCCAATATTTTCTGGCGCTTTTTCGAAATAAACATTGTGTTTGCCTTTTGCTGCGCAATATGGCGGTTTCTGTTTGTATTTCTGTTTGGATAGCGTTTACATACACAAGTTCACGTCATTCTACTTCGCCTCGCTTCGATGTGATTAATTCGTTTGGCATTTCCGTCAAGTTCCTTTGCTCGCACACAGTCTCGTACTCTCGCTATCTTCAACTCGAATTTGTCTCGTCTCCCAACTCATACTTCCCATCCCCGAAACCCCAAAGGGTCTAATCTATAACCCCATGATGTCACAATTGCAATTGCAAATCCCAATTCATAATTCCCATTCAATTTTCAGGTGGAGCTGGCCCTGTGGGATACGGCCGGGCAGGAGGACTACGACAGACTACGACCGCTGAGCTATCCCGACACTGACGTCATACTGATGTGTTTCTCAGTGGATTCACCCGATTCGCTAGAAAATATTCCTGAAAAATGGACCCCAGAGGTGAGTACTACTGTAGATAGCAAAACCACTTTTGTTCCTAGCAGTTCAGAAATGTAAGTGTTCTAAAAAACTCATGCAGAGGAGTTTAATTAATCAAATGTAGAATTTATTTAATATAAAAAACACATTTCACCAATAATCTTATCGGCAAACTGAATATTTTTTTTTATTATACAATGAAATGTATATAATTTATTAAAATGTTTTATAAACTACATATGTTATTTCCAAAAAAATTGTGAATCCCAATTCTATATCTCAAAGTTACTATGACTAATTAAATTCAAGTGTATAGTAATTAGTGATGACTATTTACTAAGTAACATATTTTTTTCATTTCCCTTAAAAGGGTGTACGACTGAAATTCTTAAAAGTTCTTCTTCACTTAATTGAACGCTCAATAAAAGTCTTTCGAAATTCTAATTATATCTTAATAGTAGCGTTAGAACACATATAACAAAAACATAATTTTGTATTATTTATTAAGGAGATTTGCTTTTGAGTTTTTGCAGTTCTACCAAGTAGCTTTTGGAAATCTGATGAATAGAAGATCATGTTAATAGATTTAAACAATTTTATTATATATTTATAGTAAAACAATAACTAATTCAATCAAATCTTTGCAGGTCAAGCACTTTTGTCCAAATGTTCCAATCATTTTGGTAGGAAATAAGAAAGATTTGCGAAATGATCCAAACACAATTCGGGTAAGTATACGCACCGATGACACATTGAACTATAAGATATAAAAATCAATCGTTTTACAGGATCTAGCAAAAATGAAGCAGGAGCCGGTGAAGCCGCAAGAGGGTCGCGCCATGGCCGAGAAGATTAATGCCTTTGCCTATTTGGAATGTTCGGCCAAGTCCAAGGAGGGTGTGAGAGATGTTTTCGAGACGGCAACTAGGGCCGCGCTGCAAGTCAAAAAGAGGAAGAAGACCAGATGCCTTTTGCTCTAAAAGAGCAAATCAACAACATGAAAATCTTTACCACACACACAGCAACAACAACAACAGCATACACATACACACACAAACACATACACACCTTTTACAACAATAACGAGCTGAACAACCACTCAACAACAACAAGAACAACCAGAACATCGGATACACGAAGCTGCACCACCCAACAGCAACAACATGAGCAGAAACAGAGCTTGAGCTACAAGATCGAAGGAGGGAGCAGCGGAAGAAGGGAAGGCAGCATCAAGTAGAATGTCAAATGCGGATTTGATTTTATATACAGTCTAGTGTAGTTATAAACCGAAGTAAACAGTAATAACTATGGCATTATTATTTGTAACCCTAGGGCAGAGCAGATCGATCAGTCAGTCACTGCAAGCAAATATATATCGATATATGTAAACATAGTCAAGTTGTGTCCGTTTCTGTCCAACCCTCCTTGATGTATGTTGTTATTACTTTATTTTCGTGATCTGTGTTGTCAAGTTAAGCCGGCTGTGGCCGAATGAGATTGTGTCGTATGTGAGGGTGAGTGAGGCAGGTGGATAAGTGGAATCAGAATCAGTTGTTGGACCCCGGGGTCCAAGGAAGGCGTAGGCGACAAGGAGATGAAAAGTTATGTTCCCTTTAAATCTATCAGATACAGAGAGACCAGACCGCCAATAGAAGATGCAAGTGAAACTACATTACAAGAACCGAACTAAACACAAAACAAGAAAAAAACGATAAATGTTTATTTAACTAAACGTAAGCCACAAATGAGATGCATTCAGTTTTCGCGTGGGAGAAGTTAAAAGGGAGAAATTTTTGATGAAGTGAAACAACTATTTCGAGCGCATTAAGCGAGTTTTTAATATTTGTACTTTGCATTAAAACGAGTGGAAAACATAAAAAAAAGATACTACAAAACAACCAAACTATATGAAGAGTATTTTATGATTTTATAAAATACGAATATACATATAATTATACTATACAGTACATATGTGTATGTCTCTTTTTTGTATTTTGTACCGTCAATCGTGTAATTCTCACACAGAAGTTGAAAAACTCGAAGATGCATCAGATACAACCAAACTATATTATACTTATGAATAAACAGTACATTTGATCTACTCTTGGTTTAACTAGCTGTTTTATTTGGACGGGTTTTAATTAAATTACTAATGGAATGTTTAAAACCAAAATGCTAATTCTGGGTTGCTGAAAGACATCAAAATGACAGTGTTCTATGCGTTAACCCCCTGGAATCAAAACTCGGAACTTTAACGGGGGTTAAAAAAATCTTTATTGAGGGGTTTGTTTTTGTTTATTTTGTGCTTTTGTATATTATTTTTTTTACATTTAAAATGTACATAACATTACGAATCAAAATGTTTTGGTTTTCTTTCGATTAGGTATTACAATTCAATATTATATCCGAACAGGTATGTCGTTTTCGAAACGACATGGACACGACAGAATGCATTGAACATACATATATGTAGTTCCCAAAGACTTTTCTCTTAAAACTTACTTTTTGTTAAACGCTTAACTCTTGGCGAAAGCTTTCCATTTTATATTTCTACCCGCATTTGATTACTCGTTTTCGTTTAGCTGTTATTTTCGTTAGTCGATCTGGTTTCTTAGAACGGTTACATGAAAGGATTCGCAATAACAATTAATTATTAGTAATTATTATAGTTCGTTCAACTGGTTGGGGATCATGTAACAAACAGAGTAATTAAAGCCGTGTTAGTATTTCTGTATTTCTGATAATGCAGTTAACATTGATGAGAGGAACTCATGGTGAATGCTTAGAGAGCGTGATGTCTGTTTGTTTGTGTAAAAAGTAATCAACAGATTGGTTAAACTAATAATAAATAAACTTAGGCGTAACACGTGTCCTTAACAATATAAACAATAAACTTTTCTCAAACTTAAACAACAAATGCATCGGCTGTCGCGGGCTTAAATGATCAATTATCGTTATTAATTTTGGGCTTTGATTTTGAACAAACGCACGTTCTCATTATGTTCCCGCGTTTTACATACTTAGGTCGATCGATCGATTTATAATATTAGTATACATTAAATTCAACATTTATTCGATTAGTTAAATGTGTTGCTTGTGTCGTATGTCATGTGCGTGTCTTCTGGGTTAATACATACATACATAAGTTTAAAAATCTTCCCTTACTCCACTCTTCTCGCCTTGGCAATTGGCATTTGGGTTTATTCTCCTGGCTAGGATTCAGAGTTATCGATCTTGCTGAATTTAAATGCTTTTGAGCTTATGCCAATTGCCACTCTTGCTTAATCGCTCTCGTCTAGGAATCAACGTTTTTAGTAATATTTACTACATAAACATATGTACGTGCATTGTTAATATGTATCTTTTGGATCGGTGCTTAAACGTATTGATATACTCTATCGCTCATCTACCGCCGCGCTATCCCTTCTGGCCCACAACAACAAGTACTTTAAATAGTTTTTGTAACAAATAATAAATAAACCACTGTGGCCATAACAATTAGTTTTCCTCCCCGATCGGTAAATTCTCTCTCTGTTGTATGTTGTATCTGATGGGCATAAGCTATATCCAATGTATAGCGAACAAAAGTTACTCGTATGTGTGGTTAATATTGCACTCGTTTAAAGAAATCCGCATACTGGCCTAGTTGAGGTTACGCCTGCGCCGGAACACCAAAGCAAAGATGGAACGGATGCGCCACCAGCGACTACGTCGCCCCGTGTGGATCTTCTCCGAATTGGAGTCCGTGCCCAGTGCCTTCTGCATCTCCTTGCGCCGAATTTCGCGGACCAATGTGTAGAACGCCTCGTCTATGTAATGACGCAGTGCAGCCGATGTCTCAAAAAAGGGACATCCGAACTGGTTGGCCAAATTCTTGCCTTCCTCGGTGGTTACGCGTCGCTGCGACTCTAGGTCGACCTTGTTGGCGATCAGAACAAGCGGAATGTCCTCAGAGAGACGAACACGGGTTATTAGTTTTCTATACTCGGATGCCTCCTGAAAGCTGTGGCGGTCGGTAACCGAGTAGCAGATGATGAAACCTTCACCGCAACGCATGTATTGGTCCCGCATGGCCGTGAACTCCACCTGGCCGGCGGTGTCAAGGATGTCGAGCAAGGCGGCCTCATTGTCGATGACCGCCTGTTGCTGGTAGGAGTCCTCTGCGGCAGAAAAACCGGTATACATTTAGAGGGGGTTGAGAGCTTTTCCTTAGACGCCTTGCGCCTTACTCACCAATTGTGGGGTCGTGGTAGTCCAGGAAACTGTGGCTCACGAACTGAAGGGTGACAGCTGTTCGGGTTTCGTCGTCGTTTTCAGGGGGCGGTGGGTGGTGTTTGGGTGGCGGTGCCAAAACAAAGCGTAAAAGAAATTGAGATAATTTATTGATTTTTCGCAGCTACAATCAAAGTGCGCAGTGATAACTCGGCACTTTCTTTGAGTATTCCAGTCAACAAAAAAACTCACCTGACTTTCCCACGCCTCCATCACCGAGGATGACGATCTTGTAGACACGCAGACCGCCCCGCATATTTTGGGGCGGCACCGGAGGCGGTTTGACTAGACTTCCGTTGTCCCTGTGGTCGTTAGGCACCCGCATCGAGTCTGTGTCGGCGGCACTGGTGCAGGACCTCAGCTTGCTGGATCGCTTCAGGGCCGCACAGCCGATGGACATGTCACCGGCCATAACTCCCGCTGACCTCACGGATTTAGTCCGAGTCCCTCCTAGTCCCGTTCAATCGGATCACTCGGAGAACCTCTTCACCACCGTCGCCAATTGTGTATTATTTTCTTGTTTTTTTCGTCTTCGGGGTTGGTTCTCTTAGTGATGAGAACGTGATCAACGTCTCTATAAGTCACGAACACGAAAATCAATTTCACAATGCGCATGAATACATACATATGTAATTTTATATTTAACGGATATAAATAAATGTGCTGAGGTACTTTTATTTAGAAAATATATTTAACTAGTTTAATTATTGCATGAAACCATTGGCCACTCCTCATATATATCATCTCAGATTTGCAACGCGATACTTAGTATCATTGGTAGAACTGTCATATTTAGCTGTCATATTTTCCACCAGATCTGGCAACTCCACTCACTTTATAAATAATTTTCCTACGGCGCGAGCGGTATTCGCATTTAGTAACGTGCTGTTCGACGATCCAGATCTCCCTTTTGCTCGGTCCACTCGAAAAGGAAAAACAAACGCTCTCCATCGAATTGGCATACATTTAGTGCCTTCCGAGCAAAATGTCGGGCGATGTGCAGCCGCGAAAGCGAAAGGATAAGCGCCGAAAACGCGGTAAGTCCTTCTTTGGATACCGTTACTCAAAATTTTTCGTTGACCGTTACTTGGGGTAAAAATCGTTCTGTTTTTCGTCGCCGCCGCCGCGTAGCAAGCAGTCCATTTCTTTTATTAGCATAATAATATTGTCGAGTGCCTTTAAAAATAACTTTGCCCTATTATATAAAATTATACATCTCGCCTGTTTTCTGTCGCTATGCGTGTGCCGATCGAGCAGGAAAAATATATGTGCATGACGTGTGCGGGGGACCAAGAAGTGGATTTTCCGATCGGGGCCTACAGAAGGGAGCAAAATGCGAATATAAGAAGAGAGTGATTTTCTTTGATTTATTTATCTTTTTCCGAGGCAAACGATATACACAGATGTTTGTTGTCCCTGGGGATATCCTCTTATCTTTCTTACTCTCTCTCTCTCTCTCTCGATATTTTTCTCCGCTTATCTCTCTCATCGGTGGCGAATGGAGAACTCACCTCGAGAGAAGTCACCTCGGCGGCAAATTAATTCCAATGCAACGGAGATCTAGAAACGAGATGATGTCTTCCGTAAAGATTCTGGGGCCATTACACCCACGGCACCGAATAAGTAGCAATGGTTATATGTAAAGCCATTTATTTTCACTTGGCCATCTGCCCAAGAGCATGACTGGCGGCTTCTTTGTTTATCGTTGCGCATATTTAGGCATAAACAAACCCCCTTCGCCGTCTTATCACTTTTGTAATGCCGGTACGTTGTCTCATTGTAACTAATTTTTTGTCTAGATGATCGCAAATCCGAGGGCGATGTTACAGTTCTGCGCCAATCCAGCTTTCAAGGTAGACTAATGTCATCCCCCTGCCCCTGTGTTTTCCCAACATCCAAACCCCACTAATGTTTTGCTAAACTAATTTAGTGTCTCGCACAATTACTAAATCCATGAAAATCGCCTGAAGGTGTATTCAATTAAACTGTTTGTAATCACATGTGTTTATTATTCATATCATGCAATTGCCGGATCTCAGATGACGACGAATCTTCGCACGGCGTTCACATTACAAAGATGGGAAACGAAGACCTCCACCTGCACGTGCACCACGAGCATGGAACCGGGGGTCATTGGTGTGCCAAGATCATATTCTTCGCTCTAATGGCCGTGCTACTTGGTTTAGTGGGTCTAATCATTATGGAGAACCGTGGGCTGGAAGATCGTAAGATTTAGAAATCTAAAAAGTAAAGATCGTACTAAATATGTGTTTCTTTAGTGGACACTCCATTATCGGAGTCACGATTTTCAAAAGTCTTCGATGGATGGGTTGATGAACATCGGGATGAGCATGATGCTCATGACGTACACGAACACTCGGAAGAGGCTTTAGATGATCCTGATGAGCATGATGAACACGATGACCATGATGATCATGAAGAGGAAGAAGAACCCCTGTCAGAGGAATTGGAAGAAGAATTAGAAGAAGAGGAAGAGCCAACTCAGGAGGAGGAACCCGAGGCAGATGATGATGATGAAGAAGACGAAGATGAGGAGAACAATGCGGGAGAGAATATAACCGCGGAAGATGCAGACGAAGAAGAGGATGAGGATAACGAGGAGGAAGGAACTGTGGAGGCCACTGTTGAAGCAACCACAGAAGCCACTGCGGAAGCCACTGCTGAATACGAAGCTGAAGACGAGGAAGATGAAGAAGCTGCAGCTGATGAAGATGATGATGTAGTGGAATCCACTGAGGCCCCACCGTCAGAAGCTGATGAGGTAAAGCGTATAGATTAGAAAATCTTAACCATGTCAGTTTAATTTATTTTTATTTTTACAGCAGGATGACGATGACGAAGACGAAAAAGAGCAGGAGGTAGAAGACTCTGTTGAACCCCAAAAAACAAAATCTGTAGCTCAAAGTACGCCCGCCTCAGATGAAAAAGATGATGATGACGATGAGAAACAAGAACAGGACAATAAAGATGCAGATGACGAGGACGAAGATGATTTTGAGTCCCTCGACCAGCAGTTTAATAATGATGATGTGGAGCCAACGAAAGACGTAGATAGCCAAGAGCAGGATCATGACCAGGATGATGAGGAGGTGCCCAAAGAAGAGGGCTCCTCTTGGTTGGCATCACGTAAGTATGGAGGGAATGAAACATTGAACGGTTAACGGATCTCGCAGGCCTAGAACCTTAAGAACTGACAGACAAAAATTGCTCCACCTTACCAAAAGAACACCTACAAAACCAAGAACACAGAAAACGAAATTGTACAAGAAAGTGCAAAAGACATTCGTTTGTTTTCTGATACTAAAACCTGACTCATTTACAGTTGCCGTTAAATTTGGCGTTGGCGTTGCACTTGCCTTAGTTTCACGCCTTGTATTGATAAGGAAAAGTCCAAATACAAGTGAGTCTTCAATGCTGATCTGCTCCCCGAATCTCCGCTCTTTGTATTCCGCTCTATGCTCTTGATCTCTATCTATATCCGCCACGCACGCCAGATGTTATGCTAATAAACCTTGCTCTGGGGAATCTATTGAGTAATCATTACTAAGCGCCGCCTTCCATTCTAACCCACCAAGCGATTGGTACAAAATCAAAAAAATGATATCTATGTTTCGTGATAAATTCTCTATGTATTAACAGAACTAAAACAAACCTCTGGGATCTGGTTTCTCTCTCTCAAATCCGAGAACCCATGAGCCCTGATTATTTTTTGCACTTTCTTCACATAGCTTATTTTGATTATGATTTATTATTATTATTTTTGAATCTGATTGTAGTCACAGCTTTGTTTAACTTATTCCACAAATGTATGTATGTACGGAAATTGTTGAATGGCTTTGTTCTTGCTCGATTAATAATCCCTTAACTCGAATAACGTTCGAATCTTCTGTGGTGAATGCATAGCTGAGGATGAGCCCGCCCAAGAGACTATAATGAGGCGAAGATTGACGATTGCCACGGCCGAAGATCACATACCGGACGATGTGGAGGAGTTGCCCCTACTAGACGATGGTTGGCGATATGAATTATTAATACAAAACTTCGGCTAGCCGAAGTTGCTTCCAAATCATTTGAATGACAAATGATTTGGAAGCCGATTCTATTTGATAAGTCTGGCTAAGTCCAGAGTTTTAACTTAAGCATATCCCATTGTCTAAAAAAGAATACTCCGAGGAGGAAATCGAAATCGAAGAGGAAATAGAGGTGGAGATGAGTGACATCGAGGAGAATGAGGAAGAAGTTCGACACGATAGCAACGATAATGTGGCCTCCATGGCTAGTTACATACCCGAGACTTTTGAACAACTAAGCTCTATGTACAAGTTTGCCCAGGAGCCTGCAAAAGAAACTAAATCCAACGAAAATCGGAACGATAAGGATACAGGGCAGCCGGCCGGTTCAAGCGATATCACCTATGTGGAGTACGAGGACGGAGCCATTGAGGACTACGAGCATGATGAGGATTCCGATGAGGATATTACCGACGAGGAGGACGAAATCTCTGATGTCGACGACGCCGATTTGATGAACCGGCTTGAGGCCAAGTATGGCCGCCTGCCTGTCAAGGAGTTCGAGAGTGATCCAGACTCCGACGACCCCAGCTGGACACGTAATTACTAAACGCACAAATCACCAAGTCTGTCGATGACCACCCGACTCCATACTCCATCCGACACACTTTCGATTGATCACTTAAATTATCGCTATCATAGGCCCAACACTACTTTAAGACACACGACAATCCGATCGCTTTACATAACAGATCGTAAGTGTTAGCTGTAGAAAACAAAGTATCACCTAACGCAAGGTGGAGCTCTCTAGGCCTTAACCGTTCAAAATTGCATTCCTATGTTTTTTGTAAAATTATGTTCTAATCGAAATCCTTAATCCCAAATAGAAATAAAGCCGAAAGAAGCTGCACCTGCTTCTCCCACAGAGAAAGAGGATCCTTTCGAGCAGGAGTTGCGCAAGGCCAACCAGGAGATGATTAGGGAGGTATGTGACATCATCGATTGTACCTTTTACCAGGATTAACCACTGGAACTTTGACATATCTCCGGTATATCTCTAGCTCAACAATCACTAAAGAAAATCACAAAAACATTACTCATTTCAAAGCTTTAGTTTATGTTTTGCTTGTCAAGTTCATTAGATCTTATAACTGTTTAGTCATGTAAGAAAATCAAAGAATAATTAATCAAGTCATAGGATTTAACATTAATTTTATATTTGTATAAACGTACTTTCCAGAGGATTATTTAATTAGGATGAACTCATGGCCAGTTCCTTCAAACAATACACACCCACTGCAGGAATCTTTGGTCGCGGGCTCATCCTTGAAACCCCTGGCAATTGCGTTTCATTTATTGAGAGAATGATTTAATACTAATTGCATGTTTCTTGTACTTTGTCTAACCCCTTTTTGTGTTTTGGCTGACGAATCGCGAACTAATATCCACCCAAAGAACTATGCCCAAGCCCTACGATCCTTTAACACGCTCACCACCAACTTCGCCGACGAGCCATTGGCTCATTTGGGAAAGGCTCGAGTCCTGGAACTCATTTCCAAGAAGGAACTCAGCAATCAGCGCCTGTGGGAGGCCATCGATGCTTACAAAAGATATTTGGCTTTTGGTGAACTAGTCATCAACGATAAGGAGTTCACGACCGCAGGCGAAAGTTGTATTGAAAATTTAAGATTTTTGGGTTAGTAAAAGGATTACTTAACCTCTCCTGGTTTTATCATTAGTTATCGCTTCTTAGGTTCCCATCGACAGGCAACGATGATTCACGAGCTGCTAATCGAGCGTTTGCCTAAGGATCCCCGGCTGCGTAACCAACTCTCACTCACCTATCTCATGGTCAACAAGTAGGTGAGGCAGGCTACTTAGACCTACAATTACTTTATGATTGTCTCTTAGTCTTCAGCAGGTTGAAAAGGTGGCAGTGGAAACCCTAAAACTTTGGCCAGACAATGCAGTGGCACAACTTCACTATGGATTGGCTCTCAGGCAGCTCCATGGAGATTACAACAAAGCTCTTCCCTATCTCAAATATGCTGTGGAATCTCAGGAAGAAGGTACCCAAGAGGCGTTTTTCTATTTATCACTGGGTGAGACCTTGCAGCGCCTATCTAAGAACTCAGAATCTCTAGAAGTGTATAGGAAAGGTGTTGCCAAAGGATTCTTCGATAGTCTCTATCAGCGTTCGCTGTACAATGAGCCCAGACTAAAAGCTCAACCTTTTTGGCAGCCTAAAGAAATTGGCTATGAAAGGCAATTGGCGAAACTGAAACTCAATTGGCGCGCAATTCGCGATGAGGGACTCGCCTTGCTTGGCAGAAGTGGATTCTTCGAAGATGAGGCAGAACAGCTGCGGGACAAAGGGGTTTGGCAGCAATATGAGCTATATACACAAGGACGTCGGGTGAAGGACAATTGTCAAAGGGCACCTATTACCTGTAGCCTGTTGCAGGAATTTCCCGAATCCAGCGGCTGTCGTCGGGGTCAAGTGAAGTTCAGTGTTATGCAGGCAGGAACACATGTGTGGCCGCATTGTGGGCCAACGAATTGTCGCTTAAGGGCACACCTCACGCTATTAGCTCCAGAACCGGAAAAAACTTCAATTCGCGTGGCAGAGCAGGAAAGGTGAGAAAAATGTATATACTATAGATATCTTTTATTAATGTATTCTCTATTCTGTTTTAGAACGTGGCGTGAGGGGGAACTTTTCATATTCGACGACAGCTTTGAGCACGAGGTGTGGCACAATGGAAGCCAACCCCGCCTAGTGCTCATCCTAGACATGTGGCACCCACAACTGACTATCACCCAGCGCCGCAGTTTAGTACCCATTTGATATGGAGTTGCTTGGTTCTTAATATAAATTGTACCGGTTATAGGCCTTTAATTTAGCTAAAATTATCCTAAATCGCATCGTTCATTGTTAGTTTAATCGCCATGTTGTATAGACATTTGTAATTATACCTCTTAATCGTTAAGTTCGGTTTGAATGCGTGTTTAGGCTATGTAGACATCAATTAATCTGTGTATCATTTACTATTAGCGTTGGCTGGCAGCTTACCCTCGCTTTTGTACTCTACAGAAATACAAAACCTTTTAGGATTCGACAATTGCTGTTTTTATTTTGTGATATGGCTATATAATTTTTTTAAAATCCACACCGTTGACATGGAAATGAGGTATAAATAGGCATTTCTACAGATATACAAAACCTTTTAGGATTCGACAATTGCTGTTTTTATTTTGTCATATGATTATATGAATTTTTAAAAATCCACACCCTCGACATGGAAATGAGGTATAAATGTGAGTTGCACTTGAAGCCCCTGGATCCGTATCAAGATGTTGTGCATCAGAGTGGGAACACTATTTTTTTTAGCTGTCGCTTTCGGTGATTCCTTGGATGTGTGCCTGCAGGATCTTGGCTGCCTGCGAGGCATCCTTATGCCAGGATATCAAAGTGAAGAGTTTGAAGCCTTTATGGGCATACCATTTGCCCAGCCGCCAGTTGGACCGCTTCGTCTTAAGGTGGATTGGATTTGTTACCATTTAAAGGATTTAATCCAATTATTGTTCTTAGAATCCTGTGCCAGCTAATAGCTGGGAGGGAGTACTTGATGCTGGAGCGGCAAAGGACAGCTGCTTGCAAAGAAACTACTTTACAAAGGACTGGGATTTTATGGGTGTGGAGGATTGTCTCTACCTGAATGTCTACAGACCCAAGGTATCTAGTTCGGTAATCCTTTTAAGCTGGCATATCCTGATTGGTTTGTTGATCTTAGCAAAAAGACGAAAATCTCTTGCCTGTGATGTTTTATATACACTCGGGCGGTTTCTTTAGTGGCTCCGCCCATCCGGTGGCTAGTGGTCCGGAGTTTTTGATGGATACCGGCAAGGTAGTCATGGTGACAGTTAGCTATCGACTTGGACCACTTGGTTAGTGCCTTGGATCACCTATTGTAATCTTATATTATGGATATATTTTTTAGGCTTCCTTAGCACAGGCGATGAGAACATGCCAGGAAATTTCGGATTCAAAGACCAGCGGTTAGCTATGCAGTGGGTTCAAAAGCATATAGCTAAGTTTGGAGGAGATCCTCAGATGGTCACGATCCTCGGACACAGTGCAGGAGGCATATCCGCTCACATGCACATGCTGAGTCCTAATTCCAAGGGTAATTGTGCGATCTAATTCTACGATCTTTGTCTTATCGTTATTCTTCCAGGACTATTCCAAAGAGCCATGTCTTTGACTGGTACCATGTTTGTTCCAGCCATGTCTATCTTAAAAGATCCCTTAAGCCAGGCAAGGCATCTGGCCAAAGAGGTAGGTATCGATCAAGCAGAGACTCTAAGCAGTCAGGATCTCGCCGAAGCCATTCGGAATGCATGTCCGAAGAAGCTTCTCCTTAGTGTGGACAGCTTAAAAGCTTGGGATAATATGCCGTTAATCAGTACTTTGCCTGTATTGGAATCGCCATCTCCTGATGCCTTCATGGTCGAAGATCCGCTAAAAGCCCATTTGGCTGGTCGTATCAACCAGGTGCCTTGGGTAGTTGGCATAAATTCTCGAGCTGGAGAGGGAGCCCTGAGCTTACTGCGACCCTTCTCAAATCCACAGCGTATGGCGGACTTTAATAAAAAGTTCCTAGAACATATGTCTTTGATGCTTAATCTTCCCGAGGGAACTTCTCCACAAATGGTTAAAGAAATATTGGATGCATATGAGTTCCAGGGAGAGAGCCTTAACAATGATACCATATTGACTTTGGCTGAAATTTGTGGTGATTTTAACTTTTATTTTCCCATTTATGAAACCATTTCATCCTATGCAAATTATGCCAATCTTGAAGAGAATCCTCTATTCATCTATATCTTTGAGTTTTCTGGCATGCACTCGATGTCATTAGTTTTCAGTGGTTCGACAGAGGATTTCGGTGTGGGAGCGGCTCATATGGATGATGGAATACATACTATAAGATTGCCGGTTCTCTTCGGTGATTATCCCAAGGATTCCGAAGATGCCAAGGTTGTTCAAAGGATGACTTCTCTGGTAACGGACTTTGTTAAAACGGGGTGAGTTTTGTAGGCTCTATAAGTAAATATACTTCATTTAATATATACATTTTCTAGGATATTCAATGAAGGATCTACTTGTAAAGCTGCCGATTTCAAAGACCTTGGAATGTGCAGCTACTTACATTTTGGTGGCACCACTGACAAATACCAGGAAAAAGTTCAGCGAAGTTTGAAACTTACAGCCTTTCCCATATGGAAGAAGTTGTTTATGTAAAGCGATACATATTTTACCCAACCCGATCCCATCTGGTAATGGTTAATTTAAGAGTGAGCAACTGATAAAAATAAATTATTTGCGAAATGGAACGGAACTTGTAATGGGAGCTGTTGTAGATACCCCAGATTACCATTGAGGCATCGTAAGTTGAGCTCCGGCAGCGTTCCATTTTTGTAAAAGTCTGCTACCCCCACCTCCCAATTGTCATTCGAAGGTCAATTTACATATGCAAAATGTGCAAGAAATGAGATTAAGTGCAAATAAAAGGCCCGGCGACATGCGGTGTGATAAGATAGTCGTCGATCCGGGGAGCAATAAATCTCGCCCGTTAGGGGAAACATCTTGCTTGGAGACTTTTTTCTTTAAATTCTACAATCTTCAGTTGGAGCACGATAAGTGAGAGTGAAAATCGTGACGTTTTATGGGAGGATGAAAACGAAAGTAAGGGGAGCAAAGATCCCAGGTTTGAAGTGGCGTGGAATACAGTGTGTGATAACTTTATTACATTAGAAACGGTACATTATAAGAATGCGTAACAATTTAACATTTAGATAAAACTTTTATGGGTAAGTTTAAGTAGTTAATAACAAAAACATAAAAATGGGAGGTGTGTTTATATTTGCAAATAATTATGCCACAAAAGTTTTACATTTTAACTAAATGATTTATTATTTTCACATAATTATGAAATGAACATTTTAGTAATCAGTGACCTAGAGAAGATGCTAAGGGCCTCTCCTATTCAAGATTTTATATAGTCTGTTCAGTAGCAGCAGCTTGATTTATTTGCTTGGGAATACATAAAAAGCGAAATGTCATTACGAAACAGGATAAAAGCGAAAGTTTCGATACGAAACAATAGCAGTTGATCGCAAGCCGTCAGCTCTGGCGGATCAGGGTAAGTGAGATAGGGAAACACTTTCTACTCGTTCTGGCGCGTGTTTCAAATTACCTCAAACAGATTCGGTTCGCGGCTGAGGTCGCTGCTAGATGCTAAATGCTAGATGTTAGATGCAGTTCCAGATCAATTGGTATCCGGACTGATCAAGCATACGCCGTGTGAACCGATCTCCAGCCCCTCGGTTAGATCGTCGATTCGTGCGCTGCTCTGGTCTGTATAAATTTTCCACAGCAAGTTCAGTCACTTTGTCAAGATTGTGGACAGAGAGCCACTACGATAGAGTCAGTCGGGACAGCGCAAAGTTTTCTTCACGATTAAAGTAAACGCGCCCTCTCGAAACTCGTCAGATCGATTTGGGCCTCTGTCGCGGAAGGTTCTACGCGAGACAGTTTTCTACCTACCTCCAGTAACTGCAGTGAGTGAGCTTTTCCACCAGGAGCTGCTGACAATTTAGAAATCCATCCAATACCGTTTTAACGTTGACATCATCTTGGGCGAATAAAAACAAAGTGGTGGAAGCCCCAAAATTGATCATAAATAACCAATCGATATGCATAATTAATGATCCATTAGCTCTGTTTTCAGTCACTTTGTGGACCGCCAGCGATGATTCAACTACGGACGCTACTGCTGCTGCTGCTGCTGCCTTTTGGCCAGCTCTTTGCTGGCCCTAAACCCTTAAACGCGGCCTTGGCCACTGGGCTGCCATCGATGGACCAGCTTACCGTCTGCCCGCCCAGCGTGGGTTGCCTGAAGGGCACCTATCGCCAGGGCTATCAGTCTGAGAGGTTCGAAGCCTTCATGGGCATACCCTACGCCCTGCCGCCTGTCGGAGATCTTAGATTCAAAGTGAGTAGTGGGGGCTCTCTCGATGAGAAATGGCTTAATCTCTTTCTCCAGAATCCAAAGGTTATGCCCAAGTTGCTCGGGGTGTACGATGCCAGTCAGCCTAAGATGGACTGCATTCAGAAAAACTATCTGTTACCTTCCCCCATAATCTACGGCGTGGAAGATTGCCTCTACTTAAATGTCTACAGGCCAGAGGTAAGACTAAATAAAATCCATCACAAACTTGGTTCGAGGAGTCCTTCAGCATTTAAATTTAACTTAACTTCTTATTTAATTAAGGTAAGAAAATCCATACTACCCGTAATGGTCTACATCCATGGGGGTGGATTCTTTGGAGGATCTGCTGGACCAGGACTGACAGGACCTGAGTACTTTATGGACACGGGCGAAGTAATCCTGGTGACAATGGCATATCGGCTAGGGCCCTTTGGTGAGCTCGTTATTGCTAATGAAGTGGAACATGTGTTAATTTTTGGTTTTTTTGCTAAGGATTCCTATCCACCCAAGATGCTCTGATGCCGGGAAATTTTGGGCTGAAGGATCAAAATTTGGCTCTGCGTTGGGTGCAGCGCAACATTGGTTATTTTGGTGGTGATCCCCAGAGTGTGACTATTTTTGGCCAGAGTGCCGGAGGTGTGGCTGCCCACATGCACCTTCTAAGTCCCAGATCCCAAGGACTCTTTCATCGAGTGATTAGCATGAGCGGCACGGCCAATGTGCCATTCGCCATTGCAGAGGAACCACTGGAGCAAGCACGTCTCCTGGCTGAGTTTGCACAGATTCCAGATGCCCAAACCTTGAGTACAGTAAAATTAGCAAAAGCCCTGCGCAGGGTAGACGCTATCAAACTCTTGAATGCCGGCGATGGTCTCAAATTCTGGGATGTGGATCACATGACAAATTTCCGACCTGTGATTGAAAAGGGACTTGAGGGCAAAGCTTTTTTGAGCAAGCATCCCAAGGATATTCTGGCCGATGGAGAACGAGCATCTATTCCCCTGCTTTTGGGCACAGTTCCAGGTGAGGGAGCTGTGAGGGTAGTCAACATCCTGGGCAACGAGACGCTGCGCCAAAGCTTCAATTCCCGTTTCGACGAACTGTTGCAGGAGCTAATGGAGTTTCCACCCAGCTTTAGTCAGGAGAGGCTTAAAAAGAGCATGGAATTCTTGGTAGGAGAATACTTCCACGGTCAGCATGAAGTCAATGAAGAAACTGTACAAGGATTTATGGATGTAAGTTGAAACTGTTTTTGTTAATTTCCCATCTAACTTTATTTTAATACATGAAGATTAATCAGGTTTTTATTAATCAATCAATGATATAATAAATCGTTTATTAAGAATTGTTTATTCTAAGATACTTATCTTCAGCTATATATGTTTATCTATACATCTACTTAAAGTTTCGTTTACTTTATAATATTTTCTTATTATTATTATTATCCAGTTAATTTCAGATAGGGGTTTCAAGCAACCCCTATACCATACAATTCGGAAGGATGTTTGCCACACCCCGAATCCTGTTTACTTATACAGTTTTAACTATCGGGGACCCCTGAGCTATGCTTCTGTGTATACTTCCGCCGATGTTATTGGCAAATACGGAGTGGTTCACTGTGATGATCTTCTCTATCTGTTCCGTAGTCCACTGATTTTTCCTGATTTTGAGCGAAACTCCACGGAAGCGAAGGTAATCAAGTCCTTTGTAGATTACTTCGTGCATTTTGCAAAATATGGGTAGGTACTCAAATTGGTTAATTGAATTAAAGCAGCGTAATAAGTGAGTAACTATTTTTCGTAGAAAACCGAGGAATGCCGAGTCACTGAACCCCTGTTCCATTGAGGTGCTCCAGTCACGTCCCAACGGTATATGCGATTACCAGGAATTTGCAAATGCGCCAGATCCCTCTAAGGGTTTCGAAATAGGCGTGGCCAGCAAGTTCCAAACAAGCAGAGTAAAAATCTGGTCGCTTATACTCAATGAAAACTCGAATGAGTCCTAGCTCTAATTCATAAATAAAGTAATATAAAAATGTTTGGTACTGAAAATGCATAGAATATAAGATGACACCATTCTGTTATAAGGAAGTTTTTATTTATTCTAGTATAATTTGGGAAAAAGTTTAAAAGAATTCTCGCAGATTGTATTCTAATTATGTTTGATTTTCCCAATTATATATCAAAATGATAAAGAAATTTACATAAACTTACTTAAAATATTTACTATTCTCATTAAATTGTTATGTTATTGTTTGTCTCGCTTTCCTATTCCCAAGTGTGCCAAACTTAATAAGCCATAAAATTAATTTGCAACACGTGGATTATATATATATATATATTACGGCATTCTAAAAATGTTTGAGGAGAATAAGCGTGCAATGGAAGCAGGTTTTGCCGGCAAATTAAGTATACGTCGCAGCGGCGGCAATGAGAAATCGGATCAGAGTTCTTCCTCACACAAATGAATTGCAATTGTAAATCAGTTGATTATTCATAGTTCAAGTGAGTTGTTCTCAGTTATCTTGGGATCTTGTAACTATTAAGTAATATACATATTAGCTAATGAGGGACCAATTTGCATACTGCATTTCCTGTGACTTAATGTATGAATTGTTTTATTATTATTTGCTAGACATTTAAAATCGGATAGTTCCAGCATACCTGTAGATAAAATGGAAAAGTGCAATGAACTTTTATTACTGGCAAATTGGGTTAGTACATGCAAGTGTCCCGAGCATCAGGATTTATGTCAACCTCGAACACAATTAAAATCAATAAAGCGCACAGAAATTATGCAGGGTTGTGACGGCTCCTGCGGACATTCGTCAGTTGTATTTGTTGCTGTCGAGGGGAAAGTTCAATCATGGAACTTCGTCGGAAAATCGCATTGCGAGTTTTGCCCATCTTTTTGGTCGGCTTTCTTCTAACAGTGGGTGAAGCGTATCTAAAGAGTGTCCGCGTGGATGAGATTCCCTTTGCCGGGAAAAAGGTTCTGGCCAATCGTCGGTCCAGCGGGATTCATCTTATCTCGAGTCTGGAACATCAGCGCACATTCTTGCACCTATTTCATGTGCCTTGTGAGTTCAGAAACCTTTTTTTTAAAGAATGTGAATGAAAAATGACAGTTATATATCCAAAACTAGCTAAATACCTTTTTCATAAAACATTGCAAGCCTAAAAGCAGGCTTTGATAATCGCTCTGTTTGGTTTTAAAATTTTGTTTGATTTTGGAATGTTTTAAAATTAACATAACCTATAATATATATAATGTACTGTTATAATATTTCTCCAACATTGTTCTATATATTTAGACATAATTTGTTTTTACGCCGCCAAAGGTAAATGGCCATATGTGCCGGGATTCATGAAGAACCGTGTCGACAATGCAGCTCGTAGTTTTTTTCATCAAAATGATAGTTTCATTAAACAGTTTTGCACCAAATGGATTCAGGTCAAAGAATGTTTTCGTCCATTATTCGGTGGGTTGATAGAAATTCCGGGAGAAGTTTAACACATAGTTAAACCCATTTCAGATAAATCAAACACTACTACCGATGCTGAGGTTGAGACCCTGGATGCCAAAATTCAGGGGCAGGGACAACGTTGCAACTGCGACAAGCTGCTGCTCTCAACGGAAGCCCCCGTTCCAGTTGTTTACTTCGATAAGAACTACATTGGAAACGTAAGTTCAGAGACTATTATGAACACTATCGAATTTCTGGAGAGTTTTCTGCCACCACCAACTAAAAAACATAGGCGCAAGAATCGAGTACGTGGACGCCTGGACGATATTGATATTGATTAGAAAGTACACCTTATAAAGCACAACCTTAGTCACCACTCTTTAAAAATAAAACATAAATATTTGCCATTTAAAGTCAACGTTGAAGTTTAAATTTAAACAAGGTGGGCATCTGATTGTTAGTGATGACCTGATAAAAATCGATAGACTCAACAAATTTTCTTTTAAATTACAAGCTTCAATATTGCGGTGCGAATATGGCCTAAAACCCAACTATACTATCGATAAGGCTATCGATGTTATTCATCGGCTCCCCGGTGAGGTATATATTAGCGGTCGACAAGCGGTCACACTTATTGCACGATTCCGATTGGAAAGGCAAGTGCGTTCGAGTCGCGGAAAAATCAAGAAAAAGAGAGAAGCACTGCAAATGCACTGATTATTTTTAAAGTACAACCGCGATTATACGAACTTGGCGAACAGGTGTTTATAGACAATCTTATTGGGCATAAATCGGCAAAAGTTATCTCAAAAAGCAAGGCGAAAAGCTTTGCCAGCACAAGCAAATTCTTTTGCATTCGCCGCTGCCCACCGCTTTCATCGCGAGTTTCACTGTGTGTGTAAGAAAGAGCGTGTGCAAATAAGTTTTGCCGCGTTGTCTGCTGCGAATTGCGAAACGAAAGAAGAGACAAGGAGAAGAGAAGACCGGTGAAGAGGAGAGGATCGAACGATCGGGTGAATGTCGCTGAAACACCAGAAGCAATCCTACCAACCGCTCCCAACGGCGGCCGCCATGGACAATCCGGCGATGATCCAGAGCAGCGACAGCAGTGGGAGCAGCTCCTCTGAAGATGGTGGCAGTCGGGAAGTTGTCAACAATTTGCCTCCACTCGGACTCCCTGCGACCTATTCGTCACAACAACTCATGGAGGAGGAGCGACATAGCCTACGACAACATCGTGATGATTTACCTGGCGAACACTATCAGATTCCCACCTTTAACGCCGTACCCTCGCGCTTCTCGTACGTGGTCAGATCAGATTGGTTCACTGTTACCGTTCTCTGCTTCGTTAACCTCATCAACTACATGGACCGTTTTACAATTGCCGGTAAGTTAAAGGAATCAAGAAAGTCAGAAAGTCTCTGGTTAAATTCATTGGTATCCAACTATCCAAAACTAATAAAGTTATTCTAAGATAAATGACGTCCCTAATGACGTCAAGTGGGGTTTTTGTTTCCGCACCAGATAACCATATTTGTTGACATTATAGAAACCGATTACTGTATACCAAAAACCCTTTTATCTTCGCCACAAAGTATTATAATCGTGATTGTTTAAAGTACTTTTTTATATTATTATTCGCTAGATAATATTAAAGTAACATACCCAAAGTTAATTTTATACACAAACCTATTTCTACGAAAAAATTACATTAAATTAAAATACATTTTCAGTTTCCAAATATTAAACTTACACATTAGCATTCCATAAAAATCAATTAAAGCATTCACTAAAATAATTTCGTTAGTTCAATTAACCTCTAATCAGCTATAGTTGTATTGTCTTAATCACTAGTAAATTTCACGTCATTGTCAACAATAAGAGGTCTCTGTTGTTTATAAAATGTACCATATAGATTGTTTTTAAGTGAATTTGCTGAATGACTAATCAGCTTACAAATGAATCACGCGATCCAAAAATACGGAGACAGGCATATACGAGTGAACGTTTTATCATATGCGGGTACTAATGTGATCCGATAAATGAATCCCTACCTCTTTGCACCCAGCTCGGGACATTTCCACTGGGTGGTAATCAATCACAGCCCCATTTCGCATATGTACCTAGGTACATAAAATATTTCTAGCACTCAGGTGCGATAAAAAGAAGAGAGTAGAGCGACACTAGCACCTGACCTGGTACCTACCGAGCTTAGCACAATGGGTGGTTGGTGATCGCCTATCGGAGATCAGAAAGTACCCACCCGCGTAACAATTACCGGGTAATCGCATGTTAAGGACTATAAATAACTCGGGCACACACACTGCCCATATAATAAGTGTTTATTATTAAAAGCATTAGCGAAGAAACGGCTCTTAATTCCTAAGATTGCAGTATGCGGGCGGTTTGAAATTAAATACTTGTTGAATACTCTGAACTTCTTCCCACTGCAATTGACTTTTCCGTGTTTACTTATGTCTAGAAATGGAGTAGTAGACTACAGATTGCTGATTGCCTGTCTGGTTGTATCACATTCAGTTATACAAAACCGAGTGTAAATTAAATGGAAACTTGTTTAACGACGACGGCAATTGCATGGCTCAACAAGTTATGGCAAGTTTGTCACCCCTTGTTGCTTACACAAGCCCACTTCAAACTGTTTAATTTACATGCCAAATCATTATAGATAATAACTATAATTAATCACTTTTCACAGTCTTTGTGAACGTGAACTTCGAGTCGGCAGAATTTTTTCCATTCAAGGGCAAGCGATAGTCTTTTACTCTATGTGCATTCGCAAATAATTTGCAATGATAATTTACTGTTATCACTTATCAGTTGATTGCTGCACAGGCAATTAGAAATCGATTTTACAGCCCTTTTTAAGCTACAAATCACGAGCTGTTGATCCGTGTAATGTCAGAAAAAAATTGACTATAAAAATCATACGATGTTTAATCAGACAGGAAACGGAATTACTCACAGGAAAGGGTGATAGCACTTTACATACCATACGGATAACGAGCGCGTCCATCAATAACACTGCTTATATGAGTATTATAAATTGAATAATATTTCATTGCTTGCATGGAAAACTCAAAAATTTCCATGTGTGCCCGATTGATTGGAAAAACTTGTGTTTATTTTGAGAAATACTGGGAGCGCAAGGCGAAATAAAAACTAAAATAAACATTGGCCAGCCAGTCACTCAAGGTTTTTGTTTTGCCATTTTTCCAGTGGCATTGTTATCGTTTTCCCATTTTAAGGTCTTATTATGAAGTGGCTGAAACCAGAACCAGTGCACAATAAATTGCATTGGATCACAGGTGCCAAACACGTGGAGTTGACAATAGGTTTTAACCGTTTTTGCAGTGATTAGATTGCCTTACCCTTATATGTTTAGCTTTTATTTTTTGTTGGTCTGCCCTTTATTTTTCATGGAAATTTCGACATTCGCCATTCGATCGACAGCAAAGCCACGTTTACGGTTACACCTTTGTACATATATAAATATGCACGTATTTCATTCTGCATATAGACAAACCGACAGTGGTATCACCCGATGTCTGGCTAACCTAATGGAATGCATTTAATTATAATTTTAAGTGCGTCTTGGCCTTTGGCTTCGACCTCCGACTTTGCTGAATTTTGCCAGAGTTTTCAAGCTATAACTGATTGCTAGAGTGGTGCGATGTTATATCCACTGAGTTTCTTTTGTGAAAAAAATTTTTCTGGCCCTCTTCATTCATGATCATGATCTGTGTTGTTCTGTTGTTGACAGTAAATTCGCTTTCTGCAACGACAGCAGCGAACTTTGATCGGCCAAAGCTCTGGCAGTTATTTTGGTCAGCAGATATGTGGGCTGAATGAAAGCATATAGATAGATATATAGGCTAAGATTCCGTTCTGCTGTGCTTCCGACGTAATTTTCTTGGCCCCCATCCAACGAAAAATATTCGAATAATTGTCTATGTCAATTGATCGAAAACAGATTTTGGTAACAAATTTCCTTTCTGTTTTGATTATTTCTTAATTTCGTGTTTTGATACCCAATGTAATCACCTTCTCTCTTGCTTAATATTGTAGACGATTTTTTGTGCATATTTTGCATTTGTTAAAAGTCGCCGAGTTTGATTTTTGTTTCCCTTTAAAATGTTTTTCGAGAAATACACCGAAACTTTCCATTTTGTTGCCATCACAGCTGAAGAAAGAAATAACAATATAAAAGAAAAGAAAAAAAAAGTTAGCCCTGACACACCGAAATTGGCAATACCCTTGGAAAATGAGCTTGAATTTTATAAAGACTTTTGACAATGAATAAATATTTAAAAAATACCAATCAAAAATTACTCATAATTTTATTGAAATAATTATATTTCATTTTAGTAAAAACTACTAAGCTTAAAAAAATGTTAACCTATGTGACTTTCATAAGTTACATAAACCTTAACGTAAATTCCTAATGCATATTTTTCCATTTTCTTGCGTTTGCATATCTTTATACCAATTGTGTTTGAGGTTTGTGCACATATTCTACGTCAGTGGTTCTACTCATCTGCATATTTAGCCATACATACATATATCTGGGTCAACGACCTACGTAAAGTGCAGTGCACACTTTTTGCTCAAACAAATTGAATTAACGAAAGGCAAATGCAAAATTCAAATGCAAAAAAAAAGCACGCAAGAATAGTGTAAAGGTTGGGGTAGGGAATGTCTGGAGCTCGGTGGGGAAGTCTTTTTCCCTGGGCGCCGCCGCTTTCACAATTGATTTCCACCTGGCCACATAAAAAGAAAGTTTTTCTCTAAACAATTCGAGTGCTCCGCTAAGCATTCAAATGCATTCCAAGCGAAAGTCACAGCCTCAGCCACTTTTTTTTTTTTAATTTTTCTTGGCTTCGAATCGTGGCCGAAATATCTGTCAGATATTCGTTTAATCATCGTCCGATTTTAAAGCTTACGGTTGCATATCGCGCGATATTTTTCAAGGCCGGCGACACCAGACGCCAAAAAAGAAGAGACAGCTATATGAGGGGGAGAAAGAGAGAGGGAGAGATATAGACAACTTGTACTGAGAACAGTCACTTTCAGTCGCAAACAACTTTTTCATTCATGGTAATGAGAGTGCCTCTGTTGTTGTGGGTTTTGCAGTTGCCTGGTTATAAATATTGGATTTTTTTAAACGGCTCAACGTTCTGGAGTTTCCCTGCAACGATATAGTGCGTTTTTATAGTTCAATTATAATAATTTTTTCAATATCATTTTATAAAATAATTCCTAAAAAGTCAATTTTTTTTTATTAAAACGCCGACTCAGTGTAAAGAACTTGTTTTTGTTAAAGTATTTCTTCCGTTTTGAAGAAGATTAAAAATAGTATTTCTGAGTAGTTTTTGAAAAAGACTCAGATTCATTAAAATTATATAGAAATTTTGTGTCATGCTATGATAAAGTAGTAGAGACATGAATATAATGTAAAAGCTTATGGTAATGACCAGTAAAGTTTTTTCTGTGTTCCAGAAAGTTCGACCTAGGGGGGCTCTTACTAGAGTAGTTTGATTTTCTAGATAATACTTGTATTAACACCTACTAATGTGAATCGCACTGTCACGTTTATTGGGCACAAAAGAGAGAACAACCCAAAAAGAGGGAACACCAAGAGAGAGCCAAACAGGTTCTAAAACTGCGGCAAGCGGCTAAAAAAATAATATAAAGACTAAAATGTTTCATACGTTGACGGAACTTCCATAAAAGTGTAGAAAAAACGGAAGAAGAGGGGAGTTGGTTGACTTAGGGTATTTACGTATTCATAGAAGATTCGCCTATAGTATTTCTGTTTTTGCCAAGAATGCCCATAAACAATTGGAATTCCTTGCGTAGAAGCAGATAACCCGTTGAGTGTATGAGATGGCAATATGACTTATACAAATATGTACAAGGAATGCCTCACCCAGACCAGCCCCCACTCTAACCCCCTCCGTCTGCTGCCGCCTCTCTGTTCAACCCACAATCGCAATGCAATAGACACATACACACAAAGTTATCGCGTGGCGTCCTCCAACCGTTACGTCACTGGGCAAGGCAAACAAACGCGCTGATTGGTCGAAAAACATCGTACGATAAATTTCTCAAAAGCGAAATGAGCAAAAAGACCCAGAAAATGGAATAATTAAAAAAAGCAAAGGCTGATTCACTGCAAGAGCAACTTCGTGCCACGTTTCGCTTGGGTTCGTAGGGGTTCGTGGAGCCTCGGCTCTCTCTCTCTTTTCTGGCTCTCCCTCTCTTTTTTGGGGCACAACTTGTTGAGCTTTGTATGTCATGTCATTGTTGTTGGAACTGAATTTGCCGGCTTCTGATCTCACTAACTCTCTCTCTTTGCTCTACTCTCTCCATCTTTCGATCTCTCTTTGCTCCACTCTCCCTATCTTCCCCAATACCCTCTCTACGTGTTCCTCTCTCCTACACGATTTTGTGGGCCGTTGTTTATTTTTGGGTGCTCAAGCACTTTAAGTAGTTATTTCATTATATTTCTTCTTTTTTTGACTGTTCCGCAAAGGCCAACGTACGAAGAGAAATAGATATAGACAGACGGGGCTTAAAAGCTGTTTTTTTTGGAGGTGCATGTAGAATGTAGGAAGTAGCGCTAGATCGGCGAACAGTTATTGACGGAGGTCGTTTGGCCATTAATTCGCTAGTTGCACATCCGTTTGTTAATGAATTTTTAAATGCCTAGGTGAAGACGAGACGTGCAGGAAATATATACATACATTACTGAGAAAATGTGTGCGAAGGTGATCGAAATGATCAAAATTCAAGTCATGACACAGATTTGCATTGCGATGCACCAGATTGAAACTTTGATTATTATTGATAGTAAGATTAACCTCTTGAAATGATAACTTTTATCAGTGCTTAAACATTTTAGATAAATTACTGATAGAGATGGACAATAGTGATTTCCAAACAATAAAGTAATAATGTATGATAAAAATAGCACATTATATCTGTATTGCCAATAATATATCATGATGGATAAGAACCTTGAGCTGCACTAGATTGTCACAGCTATAATTAACGATTGCTAATGTAACCACTGTTGACTGATAAAATAATAGAAAGTGGGCGTTGTATCAACTATGCTCAATTAAAGCTTTCTACCCCACAATTTGCCTTATCTTTTCATTTATGCGGGTGTTTAATAGATACCGATGGGTTAATAAATGACTTTGGGAAATAAATATGATCCATAAACACAAAAAATATTTCCGCAAATTTCTCCCAGTCATACAGGAGCTACAATGACTGGAAAGTGCTAATTGTAGAGACAACTTCCCCCTTAAACTCATAAATTGAGGACTTACGTAAAACACTCGAATATAGCAGACTTGTATTAACGATTTATTTATTTTGCCAATTAACACAACCCCTGCTGGGGATGGGCTGATATGTACAAACTACAATGTGGTATATCGCACATCACGCGGATTCCCCGTACATACATACGTGTAATAACAAAGTAAAAACATAAAAATATCTTCAATTTTTCCTCATCACTTTTTGAAATGTATTGAGAAAATAAATAATATTTCGTAATGTCATGACTTTGTAGCTATCTCACTGTTAAATTAAAAGGCAATGACATTGATTCACTTAACATTAGAGATAATCCCAGTGTTTTGTATGATGCAGCGATGAACTTGGAAAAATAATGTTGCAAGTGCACATTTTTATAAAGAACTATATCAAACTGATAGTTAATATATATTTTGATAAGGATCTAATGCAAAGTCTTATTTCATTTCACAGGAGTTCTTACGGATGTTCGAGCTGATTTTGATATTGGAAATGACAGTGCTGGTCTTCTACAGACCGTATTCGTTATATCGTATATGGTTTTCGCTCCTATCTTTGGATATCTGGGTGATCGTTACTCCCGCCCCTGGATAATGGCTGTTGGTGTGGGCCTTTGGAGTACCACCACATTACTGGGATCATACATGCAGGACTTTGGATGGTTCATCACCTTCCGGGCATTAGTGGGGATTGGCGAGGCATCATACAGTACAATAGCGCCGACAATCATCTCGGATCTCTTCGTTCACGACATGCGCTCCAAGATGCTGGCACTTTTCTACTTTGCCATACCCGTGGGATCCGGTCTGGGGTGAGTGTTCAATTCGACATTGCCGACCAATGTCCAGATCAATGATCTGTAAACAATCCGGGAGGATGGGCTTTCTTATCAACCGTCTGTGGTAGTGACTTTGTATTCGTCTTATCAACCGCTGGCAACAGCCGATGGGGGCCAAAGTTTGAGGCTGCGGATGATAATCAGTAATTCTCTACTGGTGAAGCGTGAGAAGAGTGTCACGTGTCTTGTGTATATTAAAATTGATTTCTTTTTGGAATGCCACAATTGACGGCTCTAATTCAATTAGAGTGTTGGGTCAATTGGTGGGTTGATTGGAATTTATGCAACGCCTAATTGGCCGCCAATGCAACACGGCCTAAGAGTCAATTCATTGGGATCAGTCTCATCAATGACCTCTTCCTTCGTTTTCAGATATATTGTGGGATCCAAGACTGCGCACTTGGCCAACAACTGGCGCTGGGCTTTAAGGGTTACGCCCATTTTGGGCATTGTCGCCGTCGCTCTGATCATTTTGATCAAGGATCCGGAAAGAGGTCACAGCGAGGGATCGCACAATTTGGAGGCTACAACCTACAAACAGGATATCAAGGCTCTGCTTAAAAATCGTTCCTTCATGCTTTCCACAGCAGGATTCACGTGTGTGGCCTTTGTGGCAGGAGCTTTGGCATGGTGGGGGCCTTCTTTCATCTATCTAGGCATGAAGATGCAGCCGGGCAACGAGGACATTAACCAGGACGAGTAAGTGTGCTATCCCTTGGTCCCTGAAAGCCTCATTTTCACGATATTTGATTTTTTTTCCTGGAATTTTAAAGACCGCTTTTTGGCCAAGATATCGAGATATTTTAAAACTATTTCGTGAAAATGGGGCTTATATCCGCCCTTCCCCCAACCCCGACTCCATAATTCTACGAATATCGAGCTGTGCGCTTTACAATGGTTTCTGATCTGTCGTCAAGCATCTCGTACAAGTTTGGTCTGGTGGCCATGCTGGCGGGTCTTATTGGAGTACCGCTGGGATCCTTCCTTGCCCAGAGACTGAGAGGTCACTATGAGAACTGCGACCCGTACATCTGCGCAGTGGGACTCTTCATCTCAGCTCCGATGGTTTTTGCTGCTTTGGTGGTGCCACAGACAAGTGAAGTCATGTGCTTCTTCTTTGTGTTCGTCGCTCAGGTTGCACTAAACCTGTGCTGGTCTATTGTAGCTGATATCCTATTGGTAAGCTGGCTCATTGGAAGATCAAGAAGCAGCAGCTGCAGCAAAATCGCAGAAATCAAAAGCTTAAAGCCAGCCAATCGATTATCAAAAGTACTCAGTCGTTTTGAATCTCTGAAAGATTGCTTTCTATTTAAGCCATCTAAATCTTGCCCTAATCCCCAGCTCGTTTAATTGTTTATGCCCAGGATGAAATGCACGAAAACTTATTTATCCATCTTAGGACTAAGGATTCCTAAAGATTGATAGCTAGGCTTACGCGTATGTCGTCGGGCTCTTAAGCTTTGGCATAACTAACCGAATGTACCCCGAAATTCCAAAACCTGCCCTTAGTGTTGCGTTCAACTTTGGAGTCATCACAATGGTGGCGGGCTTGCTGGGCGTGCCCCTGGGCTCGTTCCTGTCCCAGTACCTGATAAAACGTTATCCGACGACGGATCCGATAATCTGCGCCTTTGGGCTGCTCTTGAGTGCCCCGCTGCTGACAGGCGCTTGCCTTCTGGTGAACAGTAATTCGGCAGGCACCTATGCTCTAATCTTTTTTGGGCAATTAGCTTTAAATTTGAATTGGGCAATTGTTGCGGACATACTGCTGGTAAGCCAAGATCTCGAAACGGGAATCAAATTGAATTCCGCTGTAATGCTTTTGTAATTTTGCACTCACGTATTATTTGAATATCGTAACTGTAATTACACACAGTATATCTTAGTTTAAGCATTAACTTTTTACTGTTATAATGAGTAACACACTAAGCACAAAAACACATACACAAACACAGCTTGCCTACCCACAAACGCTCTAACCAAATTTTATGTTGTCTTCACCCGCATCCCATACTGGTGGTGGTCATCTGATACTCCATGTTGTGGTTGTTTTTATCATTTTTGGGTGTGGTTGTTTAGTTCAGTAAAATGGACTTCTTTCTACTTTAACGTATTTCCCAGTAAATGGGAGGTTTTTATAACATTTTCCTTAGCCTATATCTTTCTTTTTCATTTCCTTGATCATTTCTTGCAATTCATTTTTACACCCCCTGGGAGAAGACAATTTCATTTCTCCTTCATTTCTCCTTATTACTTTTTTTGTTGGTAAATATAATCAACATAGAGTTTCATCTTCTTGTACTTTAACTTTCATCCCTCTGCCCCAATTAAATGGGGGAAAAGGGAGAGTCCAACCCCCGAAACACTTGCAGCGTGCACATATTTCAGCACCCAACCCCAAGTGTATGTCGTATAACCATATTAAAGCCCCACGATTCCCAAAATTGCAACCCACCCACGTTCCATACCCATTCCACGAGACCAAGTGTCGAAATTTTCGTAATCTTATTGGGTTCTTCCGTCTAGCCTACTGACTTTCCGGGGTTATCTTTTAGGCTACTCACGTTTGTCCATTTCGAGGAGATAAGCCTTTGATAAGGGGATGATAAAGTCAAAGCTTTTAATCACTATCGCATTTAGTTGGGATTTCATAATAAATTTAAACAGAATATAAACAAATCATAAACTAAATTTCCTAATTGCAATTGAAGTTCCCTCATAAGAATTGACTTCATTTCATAAATACAAGTTTATGATACTCGGCTCATATTATTAAATAGCCTGAACTGATTAAGTAACCCAGTTTGATAAAATGGCCCAATTCAGTTACGAAGGTGCCGTTGCAGTGCAGTAAGCGATATGATACTAAAAATTAGATAAACCTTTTAGATAGCTGGATGCTATCCTATGAATGGACAGTTTATTCAGCCGATGTACGTAACCACACGTCAAGATAATAGATATGGCAGAGGCACACACACATATGCACATCCAATACGTGAACGTAATTCCTTTCATGAGATACGTATGTACGTATTTCGTACGTACGGTGGCATGTTCTAAATTTGGCAGTACGTCAGGCCAGGCAATATGTATAGTCCCACACCCCCTTCAATTCGTTGCAGTGAGTTTTTTCTTTTGGCCCCTCTTTTTTTTACCACGCACTTGATTTGCGTGTGTTGCTCTTTTTTGTTGCCATTTTGCCATTGCAAACGATTCCGTGACAGAAATAAGCAATCGCATTTCGTTTGCCACCAACACGCCCGATTATCTAACCCGAAAAATATAATATAGACGATCGGCCCACCTTGGTGGCGCTATATTAATTGCTGCCTGCGATAAGCAATTGTGATTAGAGATTACCTTTATCAGAAGGCTTTTGTTTTGTTTTTGATAGCAGACCTATAAGATGACCTACAGTAAATGGGGAACCCTACATATATACATGTAATATCATAAATGCTTTGCGTAATTTTTGCTTCTTAGCTCATACACCCAAAAATAAACACATAGCTAAAACACACCTATCGAAATCATCACCTGTAGTTATAACAGTAAAAACTTAATGTGGCCAACAGTTTAGTAGACAACAAATTGCCACATTCAATTTAAAGATAAATCCTCGAATCATTTTGAATATCAACTCAGTTCTTGAGTACTGAAAAGGAAGGCTAGATCTGTTCCCAGGCAGGCTCGCCCACTGTTCCCATTTAATTGGACACCAACCTGAGAACGCAATGCTAAAAAACGGCTTTTCTATTTGGGGGACCTGTTCTTTGTTCGTCCCCAAAATTCTCGAGTGGCTCCATCTTTGGCGAGCTTTTGGCAATTTTGTATCTGTTACTTGTACACCTACACATATGCGCACCCCACATGCTTTTATCATATTTTTATTTGTATTTAATCAATTATGGAAATTATTGGTTATGATGTAGAATACTTTCTGGAGAAGGCAACTATAATAGTTTAACACCTGGCTTGCGAAAGAAAGTTTCTACACCTGAACCGATAGTTGTGTTTAATCGATAGTTGTGTCTTAAGAATCGGTTGTGGCTTTTGCATTCATTTTTTTGCTTTGTTGCTTTCGTTGTTGCTGTTGCACTTAAACCCTAGAAATGAAATATCACCAAGTTTTTGTTTCCTCTTGAAATATAGTATGTGGTGGTACCCACACGTCGTTCTACAGCGGAGGCCTTCCAGATCCTCATCTCACATGCGTTGGGTGATGCCGGCAGTCCGTATTTAGTGGGAGCGGTAAGTGATTACAAGATTTATATTCTCCTAAATTATAATTATTAAAACGGTACACTCGTAGATCTCTGAAGCCATCATGAAGCACCTGCAAAAGAACCCCAGCGATTCTGGCCTCACCACCGAAATGGAGAGCATGTCCCAAGTAGCGGAATCCCGAATGAGCAATGTCACACAGGCTATCGCAGAAGTAGCATCCAATGCGATTGAAACAGTGCGCTCAGTAGCATCTACCTCATCGGAAGTAAGTGTAATCCAGACATCATATGTAGTATCACTCATGAATAATCAAATGTTTACTTTAGTACTCTGATAAGGAGCAGTTCGAGGGATTGCAGTATGCCCTCTTCTCCACCAGCTTTGTGGAGGTGCTGGGTGGAATATTCTTCATGATAACCGCCTGCTTCATCATCAAAGACAAGTACAAAGCCTCGCAAGGATTACAGGGTAAGTAAAGTGCTTTTGCGTCGAGAATTTCCTCTATTACCTTCTATCTATTTAATTTCTAATTAAAAAGTAAATGGTGCTCTGAAGAAAGAAAACAATTATTTAAATTAAAATTTTGTAATCCTTTTACAAAGAGATCAATACTTTTTAATAAGAAGTGTTCCTATTTGCCACTATTTGGCTCAACAGTTTCCCCTCTTGATATTGACAGGCGACCAGGGACCGAGAGCGGTTCGATCGTCAGCTGCCTTGACCAGCGGCCAAAAGGACGTTGAGTCCTTTAACTCGGACTGCCTGGTCCTGTGCACTGACATCGCTCTGCGCGAACGCACGTGATAACATGAATATTAAATCTGATTGAGTGCTTTGCACCCATAGATTACTTTTTGTCCCAATTTTCCGGTAGGTGGAATGCTCGAAATTATGTTGCCTCGTTCCGTTCTGCGTGCGTTCCATCGTTGCGTTCTACTAATCTCAGTTACTTGATTCTAACCATACCCTGTTCTTCATTGCTTTTTATGTGATTTGTAAAGTGTAACACGTGTCTAATGTATGGAAATCTAATTGGTTAATTTCAGATGCTACGGCTGATCAAGAGCGTCGGGATCAGCGCGGTCAAATTGCCTAATACCAGCCGATCCTAGAGGTTATGCTGCGCACTCAGAGGTCCGATGGCATGCCTGGTGAACTGTTACTGACTGAAAACCATCTTTAATTTATATTATGCTCACTCGCACCACGCACATCCCGCATCGGATCGTACTGGAAGCTTACGGGGACATTGCTCTCAGTTCGGCTGACAAGTCCCCCGTATTCATGTTCCTAATGGGAAGAATCGAAAGGAAGAACCACCATGCCAACGTTCAAGCACACTAAACTGTTTTGTATATATATATTTACAAAACACTCACTCACTCACAGGCACTTACCAATTAATAACATTACACAGATCATTTTACAATTAAACGGTTAGGGCCTACAATACCCATGATGTCGGGGTACTAGCTCTGCTATAAATACGTAGTCGTAGATAGATATAACTCTGGTATTTTAGACTAAATCAAAATATAAGAGTTTCAAGAAAGTACGCATTCGAAGAAGTGCTCCTCCAGATTAATAATGTAAATAGATTATGTCATGTTTATCGAATGCGAAATGCCTGCAGTTTGGATATTTATATATTATCGTATCATTTAAACGGTAAGCAGCTGCGATACCCGTGATGTCAGGATAGCCCTGCTCTAAAACATAGTCGTAGATAGCTAGAGCTCTGGTATTTTAGGTTTAATCAGAATTAAACAGTTTCAAAGAAGTTATCCTTCAGATAGGATAATGTAAATAGATTATCACAGGACTTTCGTATGCAAAATTCCTGATGGTTAAATATTTATAAATTATCGTGTGTAAATTTTATATGGATTGTAAATATAGATAAGCACCGGGCCATTATATAAGTGCATAGTCTATTTAATAAGTTTTATCATAACGCCTTAGTTTTACACTGAACATAATTTTAATCATAGCATTAGTTAGTTCTGTAACAAATTGGAAGAAATGTGTGCACCCTCAACAATTATTGAATATTACATCGTAACTATTTTAAATGAAAACTGCATTAATCAATCCTCTAGTTTGTTCTTTATTAAATCCTAATCGAATGCTAGCCTAATCGGAATGCAAATACAAAGCGACATAAAGACTGGAAAGAATCAAAAATTGGTAGATTGATATTTGGCTTAAAGTAAACCTAACTAAATGTTTAGCGACTAAGGATTTCTGGGGCAATAAATATACACTTCTGAATAACTTAATTCCATTTTTTTAATTAAACTGAAATTTGTTGATTTAAATATTGGGGGTTCTCATCAGCCGTCCATTTTTGTAGGAGTATAATTGAAAGCTCCAGTAATTTTAGTGTCACAAAATTCTTCTTTAATTGGTAAGAAATGTTTTACATATAATTTTTTCTGTGTTTTAAAAAAGCAATTAAAGAGAGATTTCAGTGATACCCCTACCACATAATAACAAATAATACATCTAGCGTCTAAGAATCACGTCTTCAATATGTTTTAAATATTGCGTACTTTTAGGCTGATAATTTTAAGGTACAATTATCGATAGTTGAATGAAAGTTATCAAAATAGGTTTTTGTGGCTTAATTGTTTCAACATAGCGCAGCCACACTAATTTTGGCTTTTTAGTGCCGACACTATTCTAAATTCATTTATTTGTTATTGTCGCTTCGTTTGGACTTGTTCGTCAAGTTTACCGCGATGTCTATTTACGCTAACGTTCAAAAGGGACCCGCCATCGAGGTTTTTGCCTTGACCCAGGCCTTTAAGGACGACACCAATCCCAGCAAAGTCAACTTGTCGGTGGGCGGTAAGTAATAAGTTAAATTTCCCCCGCCGGATGAAGTATATGTGTAGGTGTATAGAGGCAACAAAGTGTGTTACTGTTGAGTGTATCTGTATGCGGCTCAATTTGCTATCATTTGCTAGTCGGTTTGCCCTTGCAGTTCGCCTCCTTCGCCCCCTGGAACGCCCGTTTCCGCTGCCACCCATCGCCCCAAACTGCTGGAGGTCATTTGGAAGTCAAAGTGGCATATGAATTGTTTAGAATTGTCCGTCCTTTTTGCCGAGATTTTTTCCATTTGCATGAGTGTGTGCTTTCTAATTAGAGAGCTTATAGCAAATTGCACGTCTTATGGATAGCTTACATCAAATACACTTTCTAGGGAACTATTAGACGTTTAGTTTGATTTTTAAAATATTACGTTGTACAAATACTAGACAATTTATTTTTGTTTCCCCGTAAGAATTATGTTATATCATTTCATATCATCTTGATAAACTATCAATTTATCATAAAGTTGATAACGTAGTAAGTCCATTATTCTTAAAGTTTGTTTAATGTTATATGTGCGTTTCAGTACTGAACATATAAAGCAAATATAAAAAATCATAAATGTACATCACTTCCTTTTCCGAAGTAGGCAATTTCTCTGGCGACTTTCTTCGTCTAAATTTGTTTTGACGTCATCTGGTGTAGTATTCAGTTTTGCTCATGTGTTTAAAGGCTGATAAGCCACTTGTGTGTGAGACTCTTGGCAGGTACATACATCCAATCCAATGGCAATCTTGCAGGTCGTCTAAGAGCAATGTTGCTGATTTGGACAGTCGCCATTTCACCTTTTCTATATTTATGGTTGTTATTGCATAATTTGAATAACAATTCCCACCAGCGAACTTGTTGATTATTTATTTTTTTTTTTCTCAGCAATCGGCGAGTCATTAACCTTTGCTTGATTGAAGTTGACTTATGTTAATTCGACTTGTTTTTATGTTTAAAGAAATGGAGATTGGTTTAATCTCTTTCCTTTTTGATCCTCTTTATAATAATGAAACTGACAAAATAAGCTATTGCTCTGGTGAAATAAAACGAAGTTTAGATCACTTTTCACGTGGTTTAATTTAAGCGAAATTAAAAGTATTTTTAAAATCAGTGTACCTTGTCCCCACTTACTTCTAAGTTCGCATTTTATTTTCATCGTGTTTATTGATCCAGTCGTTATGGCTGTTTATAGGCACTGTTTCTAATGTTTTCGTTTTTTTTATAATGCTGCAAAAGTGTAAATAACACCCGACCAATTCATTCAATTGGTCTCAAATAACCCAACGGCAGTGTTTTTAGTTGAGGCAATAAATAAATGAATTGGCCTAGAAACAACGCAGGAAAACACTATCAGATTGCGTACAGCATTACGGATTGATTAGGCTTGTTAAGTCCGTTAAGATAAGAATTGAATATTGTACGGATTTTAGCACTTTGAACAATGTATTCCCCCAAACACTTGAGTAATCAGTTGACTTTAAGTAACTCAGCTTACTAATGAGATCTTTGATTTTGTTTATCCACAGCTTACAGGACAGACGCCGGAGTTCCTTGGGTTTTGCCTGTGGTGCGCAAAACTGAAATCTCCATCGCCAGCGATGAGGCTGTGAACCACGAGTATTTGCCAGTAACTGGTAAGTAAACTAAACAATTTTATAATAATCTATAAAAGCTATAGGTTTTCCATTTTTGTTTTTCAGGACTTGATACGTTCACAAGTGCAGCTACGGAATTGGTGCTTGGTGCTGATTCCCCTGCCATCAAGGAGAACCGCGTAAGCTTAACTGGATTTCCATTTTTAAATCTTTTAATCAACTATGTAGATATTCTCCCCAGGCCTTTGGAGTCCAGACCATTTCGGGCACGGGTGCCCTGCGAGTTGCCGCTGATTTCCTGCACACACAACTAAACCGCAACGTAGTTTACTATTCAAATCCCACATGGGAGAACCACCACAAAATCTTTTCCGATGCCGGCTTCACGACCTTAAAATCATACCGCTACTGGGACCAAAACAAACGACAGTTGGACTTCAAGAACATGGTAGCTGACCTGGACCAAGCTCCGCCTGGTGCTGTTATCATTCTGCACGCCTGTGCCCACAACCCCACTGGTATTGACCCTACACAGGAACAGTGGACTGAGTTGGCCGATTTGCTGGAGAAGAAAAAGCTATTTCCACTTTTTGATTCCGCTTACCAGGGCTTTGCCAGTGGCGATCCTGATCGCGATGCTTGGGCCGTTAGGTATTTCGTTAAGAGGGGCTTTGAGCTGTTCACTTGCCAGTCATTTGCCAAGAACTTTGGCCTCTATTGCGAACGTGCTGGCAACCTGACAGTAGTGCAACAGCATGCATCTACCAAGGCGGCTGTTCACTCACAGCTGACGCTACTCATCCGTGGACAGTACTCGAACCCACCCGCTTACGGTGCCCGCATCGTGTCGAAGGTGTTGAACACACCAGAGTTGCGTAAGGAGTGGATGGCGTCCATCCAGACCATGTCGAGCCGCATCCGCGAGATGCGCAGTGCTCTGCGGGACAAGCTAGTGGCTTTGGGAACGCCTGGCAACTGGGACCACATCGTCAACCAGATCGGTATGTTCTCGTATACAGGCCTGAACGAGAGCCAGGTGCGCGTCCTGATCGATGACTTCCACATATATTTGCTAAAGACGGGCCGCATAAACATGTGTGGCTTGAACACAGGCAACATTGAGTACGTGGCCAAGGCGATCCACGCCGCGGTTACCGGGGCAGGTTCGAACGCTGCATGTCCTTGCGACAACAAATTGTAAACGTATCAACAGAATCCGATCGATGGAGTGTGCAACGATTAGCTATATAACGAGGGGGCAAACAAATTTACCTATCTCAATGTCAGATCACAGTTGTCTGCACCATTAGCATTTAAATCAAACCAACAGCAATTGCAATTACTAAACGTTTATACACGGCTTTTACATGGATATATTATACACTTGAAATGGTAAAACAGTATGGAATTTGTATACGACATTGGATTTAATAGTTTACACAAATTCTGAGCAATCGAAGAAAATGGTTATAAATTACTTAGCTTGTCAACCAAATCTTTATTGACTTGTGTGTAGTACTTAGTTACAACGACAATAACATTACTGAAGTATTTAACCACTACAATGTGTTTTTCTTTGTGTTAATAAGTGTAAATGAATAAAGTATCTATATTTTTAAATATTTTTTAGAACTTAAAGCTAACGAATTTTAGATTAAAAGCCAACTAAGGGTTAAAGGCTAACATTTAAAACGACCGCCCTTTGTGAACTATTTTAAAACTTGATCGATATATCGATAATAAATCAGCTGTTCATTTTATTGAACTTCAATCTCTAAAAGTAAAGTATAAATTTATGTTTTGGACAGGAATTCGTAAATACTCATCAAATTGAAGAATTTTCCAATGGCAGGTCGGTATTAGCATTATAAAAACATTGCATTTTTATTAATACGCGAATATTTTCTTCAGAAGATCCAAATATACCCTCCACATCGTCGAAAGCTGATGAAGCTCCCCTGTTCCCTCCTGCAAAACCTGGAAAACGAGTCGACTATGGGACGAACAATACACTCGAGCTGCTGGAGCGAATTCCCAGCCAGATAGTGGATCTCAAGCTGGATGATGTACTCACCGCTGTTAAGGAAGTGGACAACCTTTGCGACTATCCCCGCTGCAAGACCAAAACGAGCCTGATGGGCCAGGATTGTCAGCACTGCAAAAAGAGATTCTGCTTTAAGCATGGACTGCCGGAGGTTCACGGTTGTGGCGAGGAGATCAAAAGGGACGAGCGCAAAAAGTTTCTGCATCCCAAGCCTGCCAAGACAATAAGACAGGAGGAGGACGTCAAGAATGCGAAAAAGCGACTGGATGCCAAGTTAAAGGATATGCAGTTGGGTAGAACTCAAAAAGCCACTGGAGGAGGTTCAAAAAAGAAAAAAGGCAAATAGGAATGTGTATGATAATTTTAGTTTATTAAATCATTAGAAATGCAAGAATTTTTATTATATTATCTTATTATTATATATATATTTTAAATGGTGATAAAATGATTTTCTTGAAACGCCTTAGTTTCGCCTAGCTATGGGCCTTGGAACGCCCGAAATCCTACGCTTGGCGGACTTGATTACTCCGTCGGTATTGTATCTTAGATAAACATTCGAGAGATTCGGAAAATCAAATTCCTCATGATTACTCTTATCAGAGTTGTCTTTCTTCACTTTGTTTCCTGCATATTTCTCAAATTTCAGTTGCCACTCCCCGTTGGCTTCGTCCCAGTGGGTATTTTGATTAATCAGGAATTGGATCTCCTTGGGCACATAGGAATTTAACACTAACTCGCATAAAGCAAGTTCTCTAGATAGGCTCCTAATATTCTCAAATATTCCCTCCTTTTCACGCTGGTGCTCCTGCTGCTGATCAGCTAACTCAGATTTCACACCCGTTAGCATCTTCATTACCCGATTAACCTTTTTAGTAATGCCATGATTTGCATCCTGAAGCGTTAAATATTGTTCTTCAATATCAATCTTTTCGCTGGCCCTTTCCTGTAAAGTTTGTTTGAGGGCCTCTTCAGATTTTTCATGTTTTTCTAGCTCTGTAATTGATTGCTCTATTAGCTTCTCTTGAGTTTGAGCTTTCTCAAGGAGATTTTCTCCGCCTACGAGTATTTTTTCTTCCAGGGAGACAAGTTTATTACGAAGCTTTTCCTGCTCCACTCTAGCAATATCAATTTCCTTCAGATTTTGGGTTTTACAGAGGCCCAATTCCTTTTTGGTTATAAAATTTTTTTTTACTATTAAAGCCTCCATTTCGATTTCCACGGGAGACTCCCATTCGTCATCAAATGTATTATCTTCTTCCGTGGAGTTTGATATCTCTTCCAACCGTCTTCCTTCCTCCAATTGCTTTCGAAGACGAGCGATCTCTTCCTGAAAGTGACGTAGCAAAGCATCCTTCGGTTCTTCGTTAATGTGCATTCGATTCTGGATATTCTTGGTACGACTAGCATAACGCAAGGTTGATATAGTTTCAACATAGTTGCTGTCCGCTGGACTAATAGTGGCACACATCAGAGTCTTGGAGTTGCCTCCCAGGGAATCTTGAAGAAGTCGGGTTAACTTTGAGTTTCTATATGGTATATGGGTACTCTTTCCATCCACCAAAGCACTGATAACGTTTCCCAGCACCGAAAGCGAAAGATTGATCTTTGTGGCCTCTTTAAGTCTCTGCCCACTAGCTTGCGTTTTGGATTGCCTTTCGGAACCTGCCAAATCAACTAACTGTAGTTTACCCATCCTAACATGTTTGACAGCCAGCTCACTTCTCTCCACAGTTATAGAGAAAATGGCATGGGACCTTGAGCTGTTCTGATTCATTTTGGTGGATCCAATCGCGCGGTTTTTGTTTCCCGATCGCATTATGTTCGCTAGATCATCGGCATTGTGTACCACATATGTAGTGAGATCTTTAACAAAGACCCCAATATCAGGTCTCTCCTTGACTTCCAAACTTTTTCCCAGATCCTTCCCAAGAAGATCACGCACTTCTTGGTTGTATATCTCCATATAGCTGACTCGGACTAGGAACTTCTGGTTTCCTTTTGCCTTTGCAATATGTCCAAAGATATGGGCAAAAGCATTGGGAATTATGCCTTTTGTTTGCGGGAAATCAGGATTTCCGATCATGGTATAGGTTTTGCCAGTTCCTGTTTGTCCATAGGCTAAAATGGTGCCATTGTAGCCCTCAAGGACTTTATTCACAATTGGACGAGCGGTGTCCACATAGATATCCAATTGATTAGAGCTGCCATCGAAGACATTATCAAAATAGTAGATTTTTGATGGTTCATTAGCCATGGCGTGGGGATTCACTATTGTAAGGGAATGGGTGATTTTATCCAGTGAAATTACATCTCGAGCTCCGACGGTCAGTTCATTTTTGTCCATGGGACGGACTCGCACCACCACACGTACATTCTCGACTGTTCCAGTAATTTTTTGATCCTGCGTCATCATGCTCAATAACTTAATTCTGTACCTCCTTTTTAAGATTACTGTTTTTACTTATTGCGTTTCAAATTCAAAATGTCTGGACTTGTATCTATAAATTACTGGCAGGTTAATGACTGTGAAAAAAGGGCAATGTAACTTCACCCACATTATTGCTGCACCTGCATTCCTTACAGTGGGTTGAGAGGACCTCTGACTGAGTTGCACTCAGAGGCTGTAAATTCATCGTTGCATTGCGGCCAATGAAAACTGCCCAAATGGGGTTATTTTAAATCAAATTGTCTTGGTCTTACGACTTTGAATTGCAGAGAAGTGTCCTTTAAATGTATTTTTTATTTAAATATAAATATATGAACATATATATAGTCTACTTTTAAAATAATTTAAACCGATTTTGTGAAAAAATTTTAAGACTTATAAAATAGTTTATAATTCCACCTAAACCCAAAGATCGATGTTGATCCCTCAATGATTTGATTTTCCAAATTCGGATACCGTTAGAAAGCTATTCAATACCTAGGAAGTGTGGCAACTCTAATCGGCGTTGCCACGTTTCAACGGACAGCTGTTGCTCATGAGCTGATGAAACTTTGCCGCATTGCAAGTGCAGAGGCGATTGACTGTTTATACGTACGCGAATACACAACGAAGAGATTATGTCGAAACGTGGGCAACCGGCGTGGCAAGCACCCAAGGCGGCGGATCGGCCGAAGCTAAAGCTGTTCAACAGCCTCACTCGCCAAAAGGAGGAATTCGTACCGCTGGACGGGAATAATGTAACGTGGTATAGCTGCGGACCCACCGTTTACGATGCCTCCCACATGGGGCATGCCAGGTTGGTTTCGATTAGGCCGCCACATCAGCATTGGTCTTATCTTTATTTTTTCTCCACAGATCTTACATTTCCTTTGACATTCTACGACGCATTCTGGCCAACTACTTTGGTTACAACATCCACTATGTGATGAACATTACCGACATCGACGACAAGATCATCAGACGGGCACGGCAGAATTATCTTTTCGAGGAATATACCACCGAGGCTGCCAAACTCCCCCTGGATAAGCTGCTGGGTCAGCAAAAAGAGGTACTCTTACGGTTCCAGGAATCATGCGCCAAGAACACCGATCCCGATAAAAAGATCATGCTGGACAAGACTCTGCAGCGCATGAACGATGCAGTGGAAGCTCTTACCAAAGCGGTTGGAAAGGGAATTGAACAAGAGATCTCCGAGAAGCGGCAACACTACTTAAACGAAGCCAAGGACCCAATCTCCGAATGGTTGGATGCGCAGAAAGGCGCTCAGATCAACGATAATACAGTGTTCGAGGCTCTTCCACGTTACTGGGAAGACCAGTTCCACAATGACATGAAATCACTGAATGTGAGTCATCATGAACTTAACAAAATGAATCATTTTTTAATACGACATTTAACAGATTCTACCACCTGATGTTTTAACCCGAGTTTCGGAGTACGTGCCCCAAATAGTTACTTTCATCCAAAAGATCATCGACAATGGGTTGGCCTATGCAGCTAATAACTCTGTTTACTTCGATGTAAATGGTTTTGACAAGAGGGAAAAGCATCACTATGCCAAGTTGGTACCGGAGGCTTATGGCGATACCAAGTCCCTGCAAGAGGGCGAAGGTGATCTGTCTGTAACCGAGGATAAGCTTTCCGAGAAGCGATCTGCCAATGACTTCGCTTTGTGGAAGGCGAGCAAAGCCGGCGAACCCTGGTGGGATAGCCCTTGGGGCAAGGGTCGTCCTGGCTGGCATATTGAATGCTCTGCCATGGCCTCTGATATTTTTGGGCCATCTTTTGATATACATACTGGCGGAGTGGACTTGAAGTTCCCCCATCACGATAATGAACTGGCCCAATCAGAGGCGGCATTCAACGAATCCGAATGGGTTAAGTACTTCCTGCACACAGGTCACCTCACCATCGCGGGCTGCAAGATGTCCAAGTCGTTAAAGAACTTTGTCACTATTCAGGAAGCCCTTAAGAAGCACTCTGCCACTCAGCTTCGACTGGCATTCCTACTGCACTCATGGAAAGACACGCTCGACTACTCAGAAAACACCATGGAAATGGCCACACAATACGAAAAGTTCCTCAATGTAAGATAGAGTAAACTCAATCTACTTAAGTTTTTGTAATATATTTGGTTTTATGCAGGAGTTCTTCTTGAATGTCAAGGATCTAACACGGCATGTGCTTTCCGAAGAGCCGCGAAGTCAGTTCGATGCCTGGAGAGAAGTTGAGGCGACCCTGCAGAAGAAGTTTGCCAATTCACAGGTCCAGGTTCATACAGCTCTCTGTGGTATGTATAAAAAATAAGAGATCGTATTTCCATATAAAATAATTTCTATCTATATCTATTCCCTCAGACAACATTGACACTCGCAGCGCACTTGATGCTATTCGAGAGCTGGTGTCCGCCTCGAATGTTTATATTCGGGACAATAAGACTAGGCTTAATAGCCTGCTCCTGCGCAATGTTGCCACTTATATTACGGATCTCTTGCATGTATTTGGCGCTATCTCTGGACCTCGCGGTGGCATTGGATTCCCCGTTAATGGTGGCTCAGGGGCACAAGCAGCCGGCGGGGATTTGGAGTCGACGGTGTTGCCTTACGTTCAATCCCTGGCAGAATTCCGTAATTTGGTGAGGGAACAAGCCAAAACTCTGAAGGCATTCGATATCCTAAAGCTCTGCGATGATCTGCGAGACAATGTGTTGCCCAACTTGGGTGTGCGCCTGGAGGACAAGGATGGTGGCAAGTATGCCGTTAAGCTGGTTGATCGCGACTCACTTTTACGTGAGCGAGAGGCTAAGCTAGCCGCTGAATCAGAGAAGGCAGCTGAGAAGGAACGCAAGAAACAGGCAGCTGCTGAGGCCGCTGCGGCCAAAGAAGCTCAACGCCGCGTGAATCCCAAGGAAATGTTCCTCAGCGAAACGGAAAAGTATTCGGCATTCGATGAAAATGTAAGTGCAGCGATACTAAAACTCCAAAACTTTTATATTAATATTTAATCCTCCGTGTAGGGACTTCCAACTCTCGACAAGGAGGGAAAAGAAGTTAGCAAAGGGCAGATAAAGAAGCTTCAAAAACTCCAGCAGCAACAGGAGCAACGTTACAAAGAGTATTTGGCTTCCATTAAAGCCTAAAACCTAAGATCAGAGCAACCATGTTAATGATATTAGCATAGCATTTAACCAATCCAAAACCTTAACACACACCTTAAAATATACCATTTAGTTAAAGCAAGAGATATTTGTTCCGAGCTTAAAAAAAAAATCCAGCCAATAAAACTATTTTTCTACGCTAAGGTCAACTTTTAATATTTACTTACAGGCTAGTTCCAGCTTATTAAATTGTCGATTTGGAATCAAAATTAATTATCTTTAATAAATAAATTTGTACAAAAAGAAGTCCAAAGAATGGACATAAATTCAATCAATAATTTCACTAAAATATTATCTAATTATTCCGATAACAATGCAAATTCAAATTAAATCAATAATAAGTCTAACCTATTGTGAGAAAATAAAACCGGAACAGTCCCCAGTAATCGTCACTTCCACAAACCAAATTGGTGTTCTATGTGAGATCTAGATATGATGGCTTATTTATCTGTTTTATAATAAGGTTTTCCCTATGATATATTCAACTGCAACATTAGTATTCTATAAGAAGAGTTGAGCGCGATTTCCACAAGTCTTTGGTATTTCTCCTTAAGTTCCAATGGAATGTTGGGTTCGAAGTTAAGCACCCTTACAAGCTACCAATATCATTGTAACGCTTCAACTTGTCTGGGAAATTGTCTCGGAACAATACGGGGTCCGCTCTGAACTCCACCGTGCGCAGCGGCATTCGGCCGTAAATTTTTGAGAAGCGATCGATGCATGCAGATCGTTCCCGCATGTGATTCAGATCAGCGGATAGCATTTCCGTGTTGGTGCACTCTGGGCACTTAAACTTCTTACGAGGAGTAACCTTGATCGGAGGATTGTTTGTGATGTTAGCTACTAGGAAGTTCATTGCAATGTCTTCGCAGTTCATATGCTCATCCACCCAATCCTTTATATCGCCCGGCATTGCATGTGTGTACATGTGACTCCAGTACTTATGGTGGAAAGCAGCTCCGGTAAGAACCATAGATATTTGGTTTGTCCATTCCGATTCGTAGTGCCAGCGCATGGTGACATTATCCCAAACATGAATTCGACTAGGAAAACCCACAATGTGATCGGGAAACTCGCGCCAAACTTCGTAGCTAAGAAAATCACATTATTATTAAAGAAAACATTAAAATTTACGACATAAGCATACCCAAAATCCAACTCATCTGTTGTCAGCATTATGATGTCATCATCTATGGTAAGAATAGCTTCCGTTTCAATTTCCGGATATGGATAAAATCGATTAGATAGCTTGTTTTCCTTGGTTTGTCGTATTTTCAATGGCTTAGATATAGATGGAAAGGTTGATACTTTTTAAAAAATAGAAATAATTAATATATATTTAAAAGGATTTGCTTTTAAAGAACTCACAGTGCGGTGGAGACTTTTTTTGGTTATTCCAAATCACCAAAATGCTTTGCAATGATGGTACCACAGCCAGCTTCTGAATCAGCAGAAAAAGACTCTCTACACGATCGTAGGTAAGGATAACGGCAGTAAATCCATGTGATTTTGGCGCTAATGAAGGCAAGAAAAGAGGATTGAAGGTGGAACGAACGTTGGTGTCAATGGCATTCCACTGGCGACTGCTGCGAGCTCGCAGTGGGAATATTCGACTTTCAAGCACCTCCAGTGCAGTCAGCGTCACAGTTTTCAGATCCTTAAAGTACTTCGAGTACAACCACTGCACTTGCTTCTGCATCTCAACGATCTTAACACTGGATATAGCCTTAAGCTTTTGCATCACGGAATGAAGTCCGCTTTCGCGTATACGAACGGAGGCCAATGACCAATCGATCACATCTTCGAAAGGCAACACATAGTTGTCCACAGCAATCACGGGAATACACTGCTGAGACATAATCTCGACAAGATCGGGCTGACCCATTCGAAGGCTACGGCCCAGCAAGCAAAATTTACCGCGGGACAATAAGCGAGGGTACTCCAAAGATTTGTGGTGCTGGGACAGAGGGCAGCGCATCGCAAAATCCAAACTTTCGCAAGCTCCCAAAAGAAGTAATTGCTCGCCGTGGGCCAAAGACAACTCCCGCAGGGTCCTCACGAAACGAGGAAGGATATTCAGCTGAGCTACGACCAAAAGAAATTTTCTTTGGGCAGTCGCATGAGCATGCTGACGGACCAATCGCGGACTCCACACTGGAATGGAAACGTCAAATCCAGGTCGGTATGACCAGGAGTCAAAGCCACCGCCGAAGATTATGGCATTGTCTGTATTGACATCAAGCACAGTGTTATAGGCTGGAGCACCGCCGGGCAGCATGTTAAAGATAATGTGGTTAGCGCCACGATCCCAAAAGTCTAAGGAAGCTAGAGCAGCTCCTGCCAAGTGCTTGTCGAAGACATTCTGGTTAAGCAGATCCAAACTAGGTAGGAAGAGGCAAGCCTCATTTGGATTTGAGGTGTAGTAGCGGCTCTTTAGTATCGCTTCTAGGATCTGGAAGTACTCGCTGGACAAGGTTGTGGCCACCTTGTCACTTCGCTCGTCCACAAACTCCTGCAGCGGATAGATGTATACCTTCAGGCGGTCGTGCTCGCATTTGTAAATGTTCAGGCAGTCCCAAAAAGTGCAGTTGACATTCCGGGTCCGTTGCTCGGCTTCGGGGTTCAGGGCGACCTCCTGGATGTGCTCTAAGTCCAAGATAAGCGTGTGCGAGTCCCTTTTTCCATGGAAGAATCCATCCCGAGGACTGTTCGAGAGATCCCATAGCAGAAAACCCGCGCAGAGGGCCACAATCACTAAAAGGCCATATGTCAAGAAGTTTAGGATCTGCTCCTTTCGATTGGGGTGCGATATAGCTCGTGACTGGGTCACAATACTCAGCAAATTCTTTAGTTTAGCCATTTTATTGCAATTTTTACATTTTATTCCCGTTTTTTCCTTCTTGAAATAGTATGACCGCAGTATTACCAAACGAAAATTCTGAAAACACCAGTGCTGGGAACGGTTCGTTGTTAAATTAAGCAAAAACATTTTCAATATGCTTCTTAAAAATCTATATGGTTAAAAATAGTTTTCACAAATAATTATTAAACTAAAAATTTTGTTCAATGCAATAATTTTCTTTATTAGTTTTGACTAGTAATCTTAAAAACAATTACCGGATACAAAGTGAAAGTTTCACCCATTGTACATGTTTTGGGTCTACCAGCTATTTATTTACTAAATCTGGTCTATTTAGGCTTCAACGTAACGCCTAGTTTAGTGGCCTTAATGTCACAGTTCGGAAGTTGTTTCTTCAGGCTGGCGGCCACTTCCTCCATGTTCTTGACAAAAATCATGTCGAAGATGACGAGTTGTCGCAGGTTTTTGAGTCCCCCAATATCAGCGAGGCCGGAATCGGTGATGTTGTAGCAGCCGGAAACCTGCAATCGCTCCAGTGAATTACTGATGTGATGAAGTCCCTCCAAACCCTCATTCTCCAAGTGCTTGCAATTGTGTAAGATGACCGTATCGATGTTTTTACAGCCCTTCAAATGATCAAGACCAATTTTCATAATTGATGAATTCGATGCATCCACGACTTTGATGTAGAATTGAGTATTTTCTGCTGGAAGTGAGTTGTAATCCTTCCAAAGCTTAGTGGGATTCTCAACAAAACGAACACCACCTCCGTTCTTCACAATCCACTCGGCGCAGAGCCGATTCGCACCGACTTTTGCCAGACGCTCTGCATCCACCTGATTGAAGGCGACGGCCACATATCCCCAGATTCCTCGCTGATCCTTTGAATCTCTTATGAGCAGTTGCGTTATCCTGGGAAGCTTATTCAACAACAACATATCGGTGACTAACAGATCAGCTGAGGCCGCCCGTCGTTGTACAACACTGTGTTTTGACGAATTTGGAAAGCTTTACGGTTTTAAATTCCAACTTCATTTTGTTATGTTCACTATTTGAACTCAAAAATATTAGACAATTAATGAATGGCCAAGGTCGACTCTATAAAATTAAAAGTTATCAAAATTCAAAACAACGGGATAAAAAAAAGGGCATATGTCATTGGGGGTACTGTTCATTCCGTCATTGTGCACTCTCAAAAATTTTAATCTCACATATGAAACTTTATTTTCTAATTTTTGCAAAAAATAAATAGAGATTTCAATATTATTTTTATTTTATGTTATGTTAGCATAGCATAATTTTTAAGACTGTTAATACAAATCCGTTAAAATGTTAGTGTCTTACAACACTTTTTTATAATATTTTTATATTTAAAATGAAACCAATTTGTTAAAAAAAATTTAATATTATTCTATTAAAAATTTGAAAATTGGATATTCTAAACCGGTTTTAATTGTTTATTTTAAAACTACATTTTTTTCATAAATTCGGTTGCTATTTATTATTTAGTACATTTTTCTTGGTCAATTTTAGGTAATTTTTAAGAGATCAAGGTTTGTTCAACGACCAGTTAACGGTCACTCTCCGTTAAATTTTCACAGCCGCAGGTCGTTCGTGCGCGTTGTTGCTGCAATCAATTAATTGAAAACAAGAACGGAATAAATATCTTTGGTAAATGATCAAAGCGTGCGCCGTTGCATAGTCAAGTTAAATCGCATTTAGTGCTTCAATTGCAATAACATCTCCAAATCCTCAAAAGTTCTAACTCAAGAAAAAGAGAGATAAAGATAGCGTGTGTGAGCATAAAATCTCGGCAATAACAAAAAACATACATATGCTTGTGGTGACGATTAAAATGACAAGGAGCCTTTGTTTACTTTGCTTGATAAGTGAATAAATCCCGTTTTTAGAACAAAACTGAGGAGCAACAAACAAAATAGCAACAAATACCCCTCCTACCCTCCTTCCCTTCGTAAATCACGCATTACGTGCACTACAACCACAACTACACTGTTGTTGTCAATGAGTGCACGGGTGTGGGTAAGCGCGTTGTGTGTGTATGAGCTTGCCGCCACCGCAATTGAGGAAAAATACACCATCACAACAGCGGCAAATAAAAATAAGCTCTGAATGTGTGGGTGCGCGTGTCGGTGAGGAGCAGTGACGTCGACGTCGGCAGCATCGAATAGAATCGAACGTGTTAAAGTGACGAATAAACAACAAGCGGGATTTGGATTCAGAATCAGAATCGGGAATCATCATCATCATAGCAAGAGATAGACAAACAAACAAACAGACAGAACAGAACAGACAGCCAAACATTTGTTCATTTCCTTCGCACATATATATATATATATATATATATGCACATGTGTATATACGACGTACGTAATAGTTTGCCGCCGCAGACATTAAGGCTCTGTTCTGTCTCTGTCTCTTTCCCTCATGTTTACACGAACGCCCACATCACCTCGCCCATCTGCGTTTACCGTTCGCCGTCACTTTGAATAGGTAAGCAAATGGCGCATTCCGCCGCCTAATTAAGTTACAAATTTACTTTTGCCAAATTTTAGCATTTGCCTGTTACTTTTCCATGCGGGTTTTATTTCTATTGCTTTATAGTAGAATTTACTTTTTTAAAATGTGAATTCTCGGTTATATGTTTATATATAATTAGTTACTATTGCTTACAATTAAAATATACTTTTATTGTAAGGATTATTTTTACTTCATACGAATAGATGGATCTACAAAATCTTTAGATTTAACAGGACCTTCCTCCATTCCATTTCTCTTATATTTAAAAGAATTACACTCTATAAAAGTCATATTGGATATTTCAAATATTTCTCCAGTTCCAGAAATAAGTTGAAGTTACAAAATTTTGAGTGTATATCTTTTTTCTATTCTGAACTCCTAAGGCACCCAGCGGGGCCTATGCAAAAGATGAATGATATACAGCCTGGCCATGCTAGATGATAAATGGCGCGCTATATTAAATTATTTATCTCGCTGGCTCCCCCGAAGCCCTCTCTTGAGTTCATTGCGCCCCCTAGATCTCCTCTAGCCGCACCGCCCCCTCGAATGCTAATCTGTGGTATCTCACATTCAGATTTGTGGCGTAGATTTGAGTCGGAGGTAAATGGCTGGCAGGGCAGCACACGCGCCTACAAAGCCACATAGATCGTAACAAAAGAGCTCAGACAATTTAAGATTGGGAACGGAGAACTAAATTCCATCAATCAATTTGAAAATATGAAAAAATACTGAGAAATCCATCAAGAATTGTTTGAGAAAACAATATGACCTTTGTCTACTTGTTGGTCAAAAATATTTTAGGAAAGTAATTTACAATATAAACCTTGCTAATGATATGATTCATTTTAGTCTATAATATATGATATAAAATTAGCTTTGCCCTTCAATTAAAAAAAATACCCACCCACCAGAATGGAGAGATTTAACTAATACCAGTATCTTGCGGATATCCCCCATGTTGCTATTTTATTTTTATCCACAAGCTATTCCCATGCTGAGTCAACTGACATTTTCTCAATAACACACAGTTTTAACAATTCATTTTTCGCTGGAACTAATCGTGGAATCGTAATCATTTCCACTAGTTCTAATAACTTTCCAGCAGAATTTTCTAAACTAAAAAAAAAAACGATTGTATTTTACATTCTACTTTATTGTTTTCGCGCTGTGCCAGTTATTCCTCGGCCAGTTGGCTACTATTGAATTGTTGCCATTTTTTCCAGATTCTGCTTTTTCCGTTTTCTAATTAGTTATAATTACACTTAATGCAATTTAGTTATGAGGTTCTGTTTCTCTATGCCCATATTCGTGAGCTCCTCAGATGGCTGTTCGTGCCGTTTCCATTTTTGCATTTATACATTTTAACATTGATGGGGGATTTTATGATTAGTGCAACTAGTTCGTGTTGTTGCATCTGACTGGTCTTTCTGTTACAAGGGCCGTCTAAAAATCTAGAGGAAGCGGTGGGTTGGGTACCGGATTGGGCACACAAAAGCCCCATCGGACACCAGGCGTTGATGCAATTTGTATTTGTAAGATTTTACTTGGCCCGATAAGTGAGTCTCTTGGGGCATCAGGAATTTCTCCCAACTCAATGGTTTTAGGTTCTATGGCCTCTGGAGAGAGGATATATCAAGATTTGTTGGTCATAAGGCGTTCCTTCTGGTTTTAGCACTAATGGTTATTGAGTTAAGTTCGTTTTACTTTGCATATTGTACTTAGGAATATTTTCATTAGAGAATTGTAGAGGGTAATCGGTTTGCTTAAGAGCTTAGAACATATTTATAAACTATTTTATAGATAATTTTAAATAGGAGTACTTTAATAATTACAGAAAAAGCTGTAATGGACCAATTTTCTAATTGGAACAGGAAAACGTTTTAATAAAAAATAAATTTGAGGACCCTTTAAGGAATCAGAACATATGAGCTATCATTATTTAGTTTATACCGTAAAGTAACAAGAAATTATCGTTTTAAAAAAAGGCAAAATGGATGGCTACGAAGTTTACTTTCAGTACCTGGACATAATATATTAATAAGCAGCCCCGGCGTAGAGCGAGGTGTGAATTCTAGTTAAATTCAGTATCACCTTCGCATCATATGCATATGAGCTGCAATTTTAACCGTAGATTATATCAGGTGGTCTCATAAATAAATGCATTTAATGCTCCGCTGGGTCGCATGGACTGGATGGGGTTTCTTGGTTGGGTTTTGGATGGGTTGCTGTTTTCGATTGGTGTTGGCTTGGCCCTAGGGAACTGCAATTGGCGCAGATGGCGAACCGAACCGAAAGACTTGACCATGGCATGTCGCTTGTCTCACGAAAGCATCTTGGGAGCAATGATGGAGTCAGTGGAGGAAGCTATAGCTATAGGAACACCGGCCGGCTCCTCATCATTAGCAATTTGAAATGCACTCGAAGTTTGGAGCGAGATCGGAGATGCCGGGGCTGTGAGTGTATCCAATTATTTCAGCATTTTATGGCGTAAATTTCCTTAAACCCAAACCATTTTTCAACTGAAACGAATCGCGGGGAGAATACAAAAAAAAGTATACCCAGGGAAGAGCTCAGGCAGAATAACGTATGCAGCGGATCTTTCCTCCCCTCCGATTCCCCTGTCCTCTGAAAGGAGAGAAGCACAGATCCACGGCAGCTACAAATCTTAAAAAGGCATCAAGATTATTGCACAGAAAAATTCTTTTCTTCACACCTCGACCAGACAACCCAACGTCGTCGTCGTCTTCGCTCCTCAAAGGTCTGCCATGGAAAAAAATGGAAAATAAGAAAAAAACGAAACAAAAAATGAACAGAATAAGAAACTCAAAGAATTAAATGCGACTTCAAAGAAAGGTAAAACGGCAAGCGGAGCACGGACAAGAAATATGGTCAAAACGAAGCTACGAGGGCCAACACCACCAACAATGGACATCATGTGCAACAACAATAAAAACCAATTTAAGCCGACGACCAAGCAAGCGGCTTGAAGTGTGTGGCAGGAGTGTGGGGCATACACCATAGAGTACAGAGAGAGAAAAAAATCCTTTACATTGTATTAACATGCCGTACAATCTCATACAGTTCTTAAGAAAACATATTATTGATACTAGTTTGTTGTATAAATGATTGTTGTGGTTGTAATTTTGGTTTCACAGACTTGCAATTTGGTATATGAGGTGAAATCGGAGCAATAAAGGCTATGCTTTCTGTGGTTGAAAGAGATCTGACAATATAATTTTAATAATACTTGATCAATGTTAAAATCCTTATAAGTTGCTTTTTATTTTGTTAAATCAGCATTTTCTGATACAGAACAAAGACTAGATTCATTTATCGTTTTCTTCAGTGTAGTGTCTTGCGGAGGATTCCTCGTGGGCTTACCTTCTTGTCGGCTTTCGTTTAACTGACGTCCCGAACACCATAGCCACAGAAACAACAACAACCAAGGCAACGCATACACACAATCAGTTTCAGAAATCAGATTCGGTTCGAAGTTGAATAGTTTTGCTGCTCGGAATTATGTGTACGTATGTTTTAGTATCTACGTGTATGCGGGGTATCTTTGTCGCTGCCCCGATCTATGCTGGCATTATCTGTTTGTCAGTGCGTTTGTGTGTGTGATTGCTACGTGCACAGCTGTAACTTTGAATTAGGGATTTCTCCAGGGTTTTTGGCCTCACTTGGATCACTTTTCGAGAAAAGAAGAAGAAAGAAAAATAACAACATGTACCAAACATGTCAAAGTCAATTTTAAGGAAAAAGGGTTTTTCGGTTATATGCAAATGGGAACTAGTTTCATTTCATGGGGTTGACATTTTTATGAGATCTCAAAGATAAGATTAGTATAGGAAATCTTCCATTTAAATAGGTTCATATTTTTAATGACATTACTAAAAACCTTCACTATTATCCACCGCCATAAGGGGAATAATAAATTTTATTATGGTTTTTAAAACGTTTCATGGTAGTTTAGTGTAGAAGGGTACTTCGAGGAACCTTTTTGTGTGCAGATCTCATACAAAACTTTTACAGTATTGTCATTTTGATATTCTTTTCAAAAAGACCTTAGCATTTTTACCATGCTTATTCAGTAACTCTCATTCATAGAAAATAAAACATACTGATGAATAGTTCATTATTCTAAGATTTTTTCAGATTAACAATAACAGAGCATGAAGGACATTCAGAAAAAAGTCAAGCTCATGATCTATTATCCTATTATTACTTATCCCAAATACTTTTCACCTTTCCCACACACACACCCACCATCCAAAAAGGGCAACACAATCCGCTTAAAAGAATTGAGAGGAAAAACCCGAAACGAAACCCAATCAAAAGACCTTTCTTTGCCAGAAACAGATGCTCGAGGTTCTAACACGCACACATTGAAATACCTCTTGTATATATATACATATATGTATATATATTTGACCGATCATATCCAGTAACAATGCAAGTGAAATCCCAGAATCTCTTCCTCTTTCTGCCCAGTTGTGCAGTTTGCTGCTGCCTTTGCTCCGTCTTTGGAAAACGAGGCCCAATCCAGTTTTCTGTTGTTGTTTTTCTGCCCTGCAACTCCCTGCAGATCTTTAGTTGATTTCGTTTTGGCTTTTGGTTCCTGGAGTTTTTCAGAATTTCGTGCTGTGCCTTGGCCGCACTTATAGCTGTTGTTGTTGTTTTTGGAGTTGGAGTTGCCTTTTGTGTTTTTATTTTTTCTTCACACCTTCAAAAAGGCAGCCAAACTGAAATTTCAACGTCGACTGGAAATCCAATTCAATTCCCAATGGCGGCCCCACTGCAGGAGAGTGTGGGAGCGAGATGGGCAACACCGAAAGAACGAGAGGGTGAGATACCATCGACGAGGAGAAGGATGGAGTTGGGGGGATTCTTCCCACAGCCGGTTTTTGGTGTTGGTGTCGCGCTTGGTTTTCTCACTTGGCCCGAACCGAAGCTGGCTGCCTGGCCTTTTGTATTTCGTAGGCCGCGTTCTGGGACCTCGACGACTGACAGCTCCAAAGCCCTGCGTTCTTTATTATTTTCGTTTTTTATTCCTAAATCGTTTTTTTTTGCCAGGGTATATTGTATGACTGAACGAAAATAATAATAAGTTTTATATCTCCTATAAAATGCCAAGTTTCAAAGATTACCATAATGCGACTAGGGTTTTTTATACCTGTAAAAATTGTCTATACGTCTTCATAACCTATATTATAAATATAAAACAAGCAAGAAATAGTTTATATTTAGATTTAGATAATCTCATATCAAATATTAAGACCTAGCAAAAACAGCTCTCCAACTATACAAAGACCTAATCATATGAAGTATAAACTAATTACTACAGGTCATCCTTAAGTCGATATATTTTTCTGTACCATTCTTACTTGATTCGTTATGTGTAAGTCTTCTTTTGCAGGATCAGTTTATTTTATTTTCTCTCGTTTCGTTAAGATCTCTTGACAGTCAGCTCAATGTGCGCATTTTTCTTTCTTTCTCGCCCGCTTTTATTTTTTTATTTTTCATTTTGCTGCTTGAATGGAATACAATTTGACATGCTTGGGATTTTCATGAGAGCACAAAAAATCGGAAATTATTGCCGCCGCAGATTAATTTTGAATGCGCTGCTTGAGCTCCTCCTGCGGCTTTTGGCTTTTATCTGATATTCAGATACTCGAATATATATACAAGCAGCTTAAGTCTCGGGGATTACAAGTTGCCGTTTTGGTTCAAGGTGAGAGATCGAGCTTTGGAGTGGCCGTGTTTTTCATCGTGACACTATCTGGAAATACATACGTGTACTTCGTTAGTCCGGCGAGGCCTTCCAAGTTTGACAAACACAATAATGCCGTACAAAACTGTAGTATCAGGGGTGAGTTTGTTTATCATCCGCCCTGATAACCGCACATTTCGGAAGCCCGACTGTTTGTATGACTGCGACGGGTAAAATTGTGCAAGTCCGTCATTCGTTCTCAGGTGATATCAACACCGAATACATCGTAAAGGCTTTTCTGGGAAATCAGCTTGATGCAGGATAAGATTAGTCCCACACAAAAAAATATTGCGTTTACTTTACTTTATTTTTAGCAAGCAAATAGTAAATTTTAATACTTGTAAAGATTATAAATGTACAATTTATTGAGAAATCACAGTTTAATCACAGCAATTTAGTATTCATGATTTTATTTACTTGAGATCCAAACTTCTAGGCTTTAGCCACTCGACGAGATCTTGCGGCTCCCAAAACGTCTTGACGTCGATTTTGACGCTGCACCTTCTGTTTCTTCCGCAAATCAACGCTCAGATTAATATTTTCCATAATGTCGCCGAGTTTAAAAAGCTTTCCGTTAATATCGACGCACTCGAAGAATGTAGCCGCGGGAATTTTTTTATTTTTGCACCTTTGACATAATCCTTTAGTTTGAGACACCTTCCTTGGGTTTGTGTTTACCTGGTTCCCGTCCTTTGTTTCCAAGGAATATCTTCTGCGTTTTGGTTCTTTTGGCATTTCTGAAACATCCAAGGCTTCCGTATCAGTATGCCGTATTACAGATGACTTTCTTTTCAATGAACGCCTTGGTCTGGTTGTATCCAATCCCGATCGACGATTTTGTCCCTGCTCCCTTCGGGAAGTCACTTCTAGTTTTACATCTTCCAGCTTAAAAGCAGGTTTAGCTAAGCGAATGCTATGGATCGTAAAATTCTTTTTAGGTATAAGTTCCTCTTGCTCCATAAGATCTTCTCCTTCGTCCATTTCAATAGGACACTTATTATCAGTCCTTTCACAGGGCTGCACTTGTGGAGTACATACCAAATCATTTGAATCTACTTCCATTGAGATTTCCATGTTCTTCTTGGGCCTTCCATTTCGACGTGGTTTGGCAGTTCCGAAGTTGTTACGCAATTTTTTGCTATTCGACTTCCGCTGTTGCTTTCGAAGAGTCGTGCCAGTACCTATGTCATCGAATAGCTTATAAAGCTTGCCATTTATATTTGCGCATTGAAAGTACACCTCCTTTGGAGCAAAATTCTTAGATTTGCACTTGCGACCGGTGGTACGTCTTAGGGATCGAGTAGTTTTTCGTACAGGGACCATGAACTCTTGAACCTTCTTCAGTTCGAGTTCTTTTCTACGCCTTTCTTTTTGGTCTTTAATACGTTGGCTTCTACGGAGCACAGGTTTTTCGGTAAGCTGTTCAGATATTGTCGGATTATTCTGGTTGGAGACCATAACTGTAGGATATTCAATACTAACTCCATTCAAATCTTCACCTGCTAAAAAATCATTGCTTTGTATTGTGTTGCTGAATTCGTTCATTTTATTTTATTATTTTTTAATATGTTGGAACTTGTATATAATATATTTAGAAATAAAAATACTTCGGTTTTGTAGTTAAGAAATTAATGTCAATGGTTCCCAAGTTTAAGAATTCCAAAATTTGTTAACCATTTGGAATAAAGTAGGATTACTGAAACTTATATTGAATGATATCTAAAGTTAAAGTATCAACTTCTCAAAACAAGAAAGTTGTCATTAAAAAAATCCAAAAAAAAAGACTTAGACCACCTTCCTGTTCACCTGACCGCTGCATACCACACCCAGAAATAAAATAGATATGCCTAGGATATGATATTTGGCATATGATATCACACGCCTGGTTCTTATCAAAGAACAGCAATAACAACAAAGGCGCAACAACAACGGCAATGGCAACAACATAAGCTTTTGTTGCGCTTTATTTATTCTTTATTTATGTGCCTTAGACCAATCAAGCAAAACGGTTTATCATTGAAGCGATAAAAAAGACGTTAATTTATTATGCACACATACAGAGAAAGGCAATGGCTTGTATACATATACATATATATCTTCAGAAACCAGCCGAAGCAGAAGAAAATAATAATAATAACAATAAATGTTTACTAATTGCGCAAAATTGAACTTGAAAATGTGAAATGAGTAAATACACAAGTCAACAAACTTATGGATTGAGTTCTTTGTGTGTTTGTCCGTCTCTTTTGCCCAGTAAACCCGTTATTATTGACCTGCGAATGATAGCAGTGGAACCTTTGTATGATAGAAATATCGTAAAACAGATATTTTTTTTACCTATTGAAGGCAGTAAAAAACTTAAATTTCTAAGTAAAAACAAACTGAACTAATAATAATATCTTTCTTGTCTGAAATCATATTCATATTTATATGAAATACTAAAGGTAGTAACAGGAAAAAGTTTTAAAACTTTTGCACATAATAAATTGTTTTTAAATTTTAATTATTTAATATGAGTGATTTTCCGCTAGAAAGAAAGTTCAAGAGACTACTGGATAGCGCTCGAGTTAACAGGAAACTCGGCTCTTTTTGGTTGGATTAACAGCAGAAGTTGGTCTGCAAAATATAAACAACGAACCAGCGCACAATTATAAACTCTTTTTTAGTTATTTAATTAGCGAACCCAGGCTGAGAGGCTGAATAGTATGTATGTGCGGGTATAGAACGACGTCTCTCGTATCTAGAGTGGAAAATTAATGGCTACAAAATTAAATTTATTTTTGCAAAAAAAAAAACAGGAAAAATGAGCAGAAGAGGCAAAAACAACAACAACAACAATATCAGACCTGGGCTGCCAGACAGCCTGGCAATTTTGTTTCTTATTGGATTTTTATTCGAGCTCGAGCGCGCGTGTGTGTTTGTGTGCAAGTGTGCGAAATTTATGTTGCTATTTGCGTCGCGGTGGCTGCGCTGCCCACTGTGCTGCCTCTTATCATGGGTTCTAGTTGTTGTTTTTGTGGTTGCTGTTATTATTGTTCTTGTTTCTAGTTGGCTGCTGGCACGTTACCTAATTAGTTGCCGCAGACAGCGCGACGTTTTTACCTTTAACGCTCTATACGACACAGACAAATACATTTACATTTACGTATTTTACGTATAGTTGTGTGCGGTCGCTTTGACGTAACACATTACGACAACAGGCCGCGACGTCGACGTCAACTGCACGCGATTTCCGTTCTCTGCCCACGCACATTGCACACATCACCACAGCGGCAGAAGCAGAGGCAGCGGAATAGCTGCGCAGCAGCAGTAACGGGCGACAGAGAAAACTTAGCAGAAAGATACAAATACAAAGACCACAAATAAACACGCGACAAAGCGCAGCTTCAGCGTTTTGTCCTCCTCTTGCTTCTGCATTTGGCTTGGTCTTGCTAGGTGGAACAGTGGGATGAAGTCTGAGATTAACTTCTAAATTTCAAATTAGATATCTTTTGTTTTGGTTATACAAAGCTAATTTTACACAGGTTTTCTTGAACCAACCTTCTTTGCTTTTGAAAGTTTAAAGACTAATTTCTTTAGAAATCGAATAGCATTCATGATTGCCATCCAAAATAAGTACTCAAAAACCAACGCACGTCTTCCACTGTACTGTGGGTTTTGGCAGCATCGCACCGCTTATGTTGCAGCTGCTAGGCGACCCCACCTCACCCTACCCCACCCACTGTTTGCCGCACAGTCACCTCTACCCCCACTCCCATTTTTCACCTCAATTTTCCGACCGCCCACTGTTGTGGCTTTGGTTGTTTTTGTTTTTTGACTCTGTTTTTTCTTTCTTGTCTTTTTTTTTTTAAATATACTCTATACACGCCAACGACAGCGAGAAGAAAAAACACTTGAGCAAATGCAACAGTCAGCTTATTCACAATAATATTGTGTATGGTATATTTTTATTCGTTTGGCAAAGGTAATAAACAAGAGAAATAGAAAAAACCAAATACAAGACAGACACAAAACCATTTGGGCGAACCAAAACGCTTTCGTAAAGAAAAAATAAAAAAACAAATCATGACAAAAAAAAAGCTGTGGGCGACAACAACAAGAGTCGAAAAGAGTGAAAAAGAGGCAATACAAAATTACCAATTTAAATGTTAAAATCCGAATCGAAGGCTCAGCCGAAAGCCACTAAAAACTAAGTCAAATAATAATGCAGCCAAGGCATTTAGTATTAAAGTAAAATGCTAATAAAGAAGTCAATATGTATACCCGAATGCACAGATACGATAATTATATAAACAACGAAAACTGATTGTCGATGTCGTTCTCAATGATCATCAGAAGATACACACGTTGATCATGACTACTGCTATATGGGGCTAAACACACTCGTACCATGCGTGTAGCATAAACATATGTGTGGATGGAACTGGGGACCATTGTATACATATATCAATGGGTGTATTATCATATCATCATCGCCAACGGACAGGCGACAACGTCGACATTTTGTCGTTTTTATAAGAAGACAATAACCGGGGCCGAGCGTTATCTAATAAATTGTGAGGGAGTTGACAACGAACGATTGAAAAAAAAAAAAAAAAAACAACCATCTGAACATTGAAAAATTAAACAAAAAACCATCAACGAAATCTGCATTTGGTCATAAATTTTGTTGTTGTCTGTAAGCTGTCCGAAAATGAGTTCAGAGTGAAAGCCCTTGAGGAGATGGTTTCTGGCGGCGTGGGTTTTTCCCTCAATCCCCGGCTTTTTACCTTTTTCGCTGTAAGCAGAACCGAATTAGCATCCGATGATTATGCATGCAAATCGATTCAAAATGGTGGCACATCGGTGGGCAGAGGAAATTAGCGCTCTCTGCTGATTGGTGTGTGAAAATTGATCCACAAGATCGAAAGATTAACCCACAGATAATGATTTAATGGCCCGCATCATGCTTAGGATGTTCGGTCTTCATCAAAGTGCTGATCGATAGGTGCGAATTCGGTCGGATTGTTCGAATGATGATCGATAGCCCTAAGCCAGCTTGATTCCACAAAATTTGGCAACTTACGATGGATCAAATTTATCAAAATTAAACGAATTCACCTTTGAAGAAGCGTAAAGTTAATCCCAAATGCCAATCCCTTAAGTTTACTTTTAAAACTGTTCTGCAATTATATTATGGTATTCATGATGTGATATGGAAATTGTAATTCCTAAGTCGTGAAAATTACTAAGATATTGAGAACAATGGAACAGATTGTAATGTATGATATTAAGAAACCAATAGGTCTTGTCTTTATCCGTTTAATTAATATTTACCCTTGATTTCAACTAGTAAAATTTACTCATTCTAAATAACCAATTTCCTGAATCCAAAGGTAAACCCTTTGATTAGTTTGAGCTTTTCCCACCTCAAACGAACCCCTTTCTCTAGAGCAAGCACTTGCCCAGCCAAGTAGGTATTATTTACCCCGCACGATCTGTACAAACATCAACAAATATAAACATTTCCCTCTGTAGATACCGCGATCAAAGACAGTGCAAACCTATTGATTAGATAATTGCAGAGGGCTGTAAAAAAATAAGAAAACACCAAATGTAGAACGGGAAACGTGCGACAATCTTTAAGATACAGATAGGAAGATAGGAACTCCTCTACGGAATTGGGGCCACGTCTTTGACTGAAACTAATCAAAGCCTCTTCACTTTGGACACTTGAGGTTTTCCCTGGCCTGGCCAACGAGTATGTAACTTACTATATATAGACAAAGCGAGTGCAGCGCAGACATGGAGCTGTGAGAAATGTGGAGAAAACTCTTTGAAGAAAATCTTGAGACCAAAGTAAGCGGTTTGCTCCTGCTCTTTTTTTTATTTGATTTCATTACGCTTCGGTTTTTGTTGCCTCCGTTTGCGTGTTACTAAATTTGGTTGTCTGGGCATTTCTGTATCTGTATCGAGTGTTTGTGCCAGACCATTTTTAGTAGCCTGTCTATATATGTACGTACGATACTATGCTATATGGTATTGTATGCCAAGTCTCCGGAGCTGCGGTAATTGCCGAGCATTTTCTTTAATTCGTTGCTAGCCCTTTTTTGTGGGTGTCTCTCGATGGTGGCCTGGTGGGAAAGTGCTCCAGCAGCGTATTTTGTGGCCGTATCCGGGACACCAAGAAGGTGATAGCAGCCACAAACTGCGCAGCATCCGTATTTTTATTTCGTTTATCTCCCCGACGTACTGTCACCGAATTTAGCGAGCTTTGGACCCATCGCACTCACCCAACGCCCTATACATGTATTCAAAATGAAAGCTGCACACGCTGCAAAATTCTGGAAGATGAAGACATTACGTCTGATTTCAGAATGCCGAATGCCACCGGAGGCCTCATAGTCGTTGACGTCGTCGTCGTTGCCTCGACAATGATGATGTTGATGATGATGATGATGTTTTGCTGTTTGGCTGTTTTTGCAGCCAGCAAAGCACTCGGTTTTGTTTTGTTTGCATTATAAAATTGTTGGCTCTGCGCGTTTTTTTCGCACAAAACATCCGGTCGTATTTTAATTTAATGAGTATAAATTCTCTGCTCGGCCAGAGACACTGGCACTTTCTGCACAATTATTATTTATATTTATAAAGCGTGCAAATATATACACTTTTGAGGTTTTATGATGTGAACAGCACAAAAAACACATCATGTTTTGAATGGTTTTTCTTGCATACACTTGCAGCAATCATAATGATTTTTTTATAGCTCTTAAAGAAGATGAAAACTAGAATTTGTAAAGTGTTCTTTCATGTATGTGACCACTAGTATATTAATTAAGTAGATTTGACTTTTAAGATCCTTTTAACCTCAATAATTGTACACTCTAAAATAAAATCTGTATTTCCTTTTTTTGCAGGCATCATGCATGGGATTTCGGAGTGCAAAACTGACGGAAGAAGCTTTCCAACACTGGCGGCCGTCATTCGCAGGAAATAACGGCGCTTTTTTAATGCCACTTGGAAATTAACGAATTTAACAAAAGCCGCAAAATGCACGTTTTGGCCATAAAAGGCCGACAACAGAGGGAGGAGAATGATGATAGCAGCATGGTCATTAGTAATCATCGAATATGCAACATGAAAACAAGTAGGGGCAGCAATCTAACAAGCGATGTCGATGGCAAGTTTTTAATGTCATGGCGACGGCGTCGGCGACGCAACAACAATGCATCAGCAAGTCGCAATAATGATAATTACAAATATTCTACAACCAATGATTTCAATAAAATCAATAAATTGCTGCTAATTACGTACATGCTGCTGATAACAGCAGCCACAATTTGTCAAAGCGCCGCCGCCCAATCGGCGTCATCAACTAGTGGTGGCGGTGGAGTAGGAACCGGATCGAATGCGGGTTCCCCCCTAAGTGCGTTTCTCAAATCCGGTGGCGCCTCCTACAATCCACAGTTACCGCAACAGCAACTCTTTGCCATGCTGACCAGAAATGGAGGATCGTCGGGATCAGGATCGAGCGGTGGCAGTCGTGGGTATACAAACGCTAGACAACACTTTATGGCCCTCAGCGAAGATGACTCAGATGCCGAGGTGGACGAGGAGGATATGGCTGCATTGCATTACCCTTTGGCCGCCTCACATCCACCGGCTGCAGCTCTGGGTTCCTCCTCCTCCGGTTCGACTCAATCGGGATCACTGGAAACGAATGGATTTGTGGCCGATGATGGCGGGCAGTATGAACAGGCCCAAAAAGCACTGGAAGCAGCGGCAGCGGCGGCTAAGGCTAACAATAAGTACAACATTGATTGCCCCAAGGATTGCAAGTGCCTCAATGCACTCCTCTTCGACTGCGACAAACTGCATCTGGAGAGGGTACCCGTCTTGCCCAGCTATGTGCAAACTCTGTAAGTATATTAGCAATTAAAGAAAAGAATATACTCCAAAGTTTTAGAGATATGATTTTAGTATTAGCTCTTATTTCGTAATCTTCATTCTATAATAGTTTTCCCTGAATTTTTTTCAGTTTAGTAAAGAATTTCAGATTGTTTCAGTAAAAAATTGCTTGCATCAGTTTTCTTTTTTTGATAAAACGATTTCTATGTAACCTAAATTCTAAACATATATATTCGTACAACCATCAGAAAAATGAGGATAATGGTGGAGTTTGGAACGTTGGGTATTATTTAAATCCATAAATTGCTGGGGGATGAAATGGCGAGCCACCCCCCGCAGATACTCTGCGAATATAAATTACATAGTGGCACAACCCTCAACATCGACATTTGCCCTCAATTTTTTTTTTACTTTTTTGGGGGGTTGCGATTTTATCATTGCGCTTTTAATCAATTTAATGCATGGCAAAATTATGCAAAAGCCGTTCGCTTTTTATCAGTAGCTTTGCATCAATAATTGCTACATAATTGAGTTGCATTCGACAGGCCAAGGACTTTATAAATGCAATCAATTAAATTCAATCTATTTCGCAGGCATCTGGCTAACAACAAACTGAACGACACAACCGTCCTGGAAATTCGTAATCTGTCCAATTTGACTAAATTGTAAGTGCAGCTTAGGTTTTTTGAAAAAAATATTTATTAATTAATTAAATTTACTTTTATTTTAGAACTTTAAAGCGGAATTTATTGGAGGTAATACCCAAGTTCGTGGGTCTTACTGGCTTAAAGCATCTGGTACTGGCCAATAACCGTATTACCAGCATCTCCAGCGAGGCTTTGGCAGCTTTGCCGTTGCTTAGAACATTAGATCTGTCCAGGAATCAGTTGCACGCCATTGAGGTTAACTCTTTTCCGAAGCCCAATAGTCTAGTTCACTTGTAAGTCATATGGACATTCTCTGATTTAAACAAGTTGTTAATCTATTTTTCTTCAACCCATAGAATACTCAGTTTTAATGAGATAACCAATGTAAATGAGCATTCATTTGCGGCTTTGAATAATCTCACAGACCTGGAACTTAACAACAATCGCCTGAGCACTCTGCCCATCAGGGTGTTTAAGAACTTAAACCGACTGAAGAAGCTGTAAGTCGTCTGATCACACGATTACCTGACTAAGATAAAACTGTAATTACTTCTTCCCTTTCTAGAGCTCTTAACTTCAACCAACTGGAGATTAACTGGTCCACGTTCCGTGGACTGGAATCGATGAAAAATCTTCAACTGAAGTCTAATAAAATCCGGGCACTGCAGGACGGCGTCTTCTATGTGATGCATAACATTGAAACTATTGATCTGGCCATGAACCAGATCAGTTCCCTCTCCCGCCAGGGTCTCTTCAATTTGACAAAACTTCGTCACCTCAACCTGTCCTATAACGCTATATCACGCATCGAGATGGACACTTGGGAGTTCACTCAGTCCCTGGAAGTACTGGATCTCTCAAACAACGCCATTAACGAATTCAAGCCGCAGCACTTGGACTGCCTGCATCGCCTGAAAACGCTAAATCTTGCCCACAACAAACTGCAATATTTGCAGGAGAATACCTTCGACTGTGTGAAAAGTCTGGAGGAGTTGAATTTGCGACGCAATCGTTTATCCTGGATCATCGAGGATCAGAGTGCAGCGGCTCCGTTTAAAGCTCTTCGTAAACTGCGACGCTTGGATTTGCACGGTAATAATCTAAAGCAAATCAGCAGAAAGGCGATGAGTGGCCTCAACAACCTGGAGATACTCAATCTCGGTTCCAATGCTCTAGCCAGCATTCAAGTAAATGCCTTTGAGCACATGCTTCAGCTAAACAAATTGGTTTTTAAATCATTAAACTTCATCTGTGACTGCGACTTGATTTGGTTTCAACTGTGGCTGAAGAACCGCTTCCCTCAGCAGGCCGATAACGCGGTCTGTGGCTACCCAGAGCATTTCCTTGATCGTCACCTTAATTCCCTGAGCAGTTCGGAGTTGGTTTGCGGTAAGTGCCATTATTTTTTCTTAAATATAATATATGAGTAAGAGTCATTAATTGCTTTCTATAGTGGACTCCCCAAAACCGAGTGTTGAACAAGAGCCTGACAACATGCTTGCTGTGAATGGAGCCAACATCACCCTGGAGTGCATCGCCAGTTCTCCAACAGCCGCTTCGCTGGCCGCAGCTGATGAGTTAAAGATCAAATGGCGCCACGACAATCAACATGTCCAGGAGCGACCAGGAGAGCTGCATGATGGCGCCAGTACAGAAACCCAGATTCGTCACGATTTAAGCACCAATCAAACCTCTATCTATGGCTATCTAAGACTTGCGAACGTAACTTACGAAAGCGCTGGACGCTATCAGTGCGTGGTTTCAAATGCCTTTGGAACCGCCTACGCAGAGAAGTTTAAGATATCTATAGGAAGTAAGAATGCTGAACGACATTAACATCTATTTATACTAATCCATATCTTCGCAAACACAGTTCATCCTACCTTCCTGCAAGTGCCATCGAATCTCACTCTGGACGCCGGCGAAACAGCGCGGTTAGTGTGCTCGGCCAGCGGTGATCCTACCCCTGAGATAGCTCTGCAGAAGTTCGGCGGTAGTGAATTTCCGGCAGCCACGGAGCGAAGGTTACAGGTGATTCGAGAGGAAAATGCCTTTTTGATAACCAACGCTAAACCCAGCGATTCAGGAATCTACACGTGCACAGCCTTGAGTGCTGCCGGCGAGATAAAGGTCAATGCAACGCTGGTGGTCAACGGTAAGTTGACGGAAACTTTTATTTAGGACTTTTACCAATGTTTTTTTTTGTATTATGCAGATAAACCACAGACGAGCATTCCAGTGGTGCACCAGGAGGTTGTCGTGGGTCGCACTTGTGTGTTGCAGTGCCTAAGTGAAACGGCCAATGCTGATTTTGAGCTGGAGCATCCGCACCGCGAATGGTTTAAGGAGAATAAACCGATACACATTTCACCAACGGCACCAGATGGAGATCGTTACTTCTTTTCAAATAATAAGGAGCTGCTCATTATCCTCAATGCCCAGTCCAACGATGCCGGGCACTTCCGCTGTGAGATAACGGACAACTCTCGGACTTTCACGCTTCAGTCGGAGCTGATAGTGGTTAAGGAGAATCTCAACTGGGACGTCTTGCTGATGGGCATAATTCTGCTTACCGTCATCTGTGTCGTGTTGGACTGCTGTATAATTTGGTGCACTTTGCGCTATCAAAAAAGAAAACTGCGCATGAGTCTGGCTGCCGAAAGGTTGGCGGCTCGTACACAGGCCAGTCTGCATTCCACTCTGGACAAGGATCAAACGCAATTGACCACGTTGAATCGCACGCAGCTAAGACCGCACCAGTCGCAGTTAGTTCTTGATGGAATTCCCACTCACCAGCAGACGCAGTTACGCCCGCGTAGCCTGGCAGATATTGGATGTGGCAATGGTGAAGCGACCCACAGTCGCCTTATCGTAACTACTACGCCGTCTTACGAACAGCGCTGCCTGGAGCAGGGTCTGACTCTAAGCTATTTGCAGCAGACGGATTTGGAAGCCCAGCAGGATCATCTATCCAGTAAGGACTCGGGCACCGGCTCAGATGCTGCGGTCAAGAGAAGTCTGGAAGACTTTGTGGTGGCTATGCCCAGACATAAGCATCACACAGACGACGAGGAGGAGGACGATGAAGATAACGAATTGCAGTACGCGCCAACACGGGCTCTTGGCATCTCCGAGTACGACGACATTGAGCTGTACGAACTGAATCATGCTGCAGCCGAGCAGCAGCATTTCTTGCAGAACAACAATCACAACTACGTCGGTGGTGGGGGTGGTGAAAGTGGTGTGGTGGGCGAAGCGGTACCTAAGGTGCTGCCCCGCAAGTGCAGCGCAGGAGCCAGCGGCAGCAACTACAACTCCATCCAAAAGTGCACAACAGTGGACATTTAAACGGATGCTAAACCAAATCAGCACGATGATCAGGATCATATACCAAAAACTGGAGGCTCCACCGTAGCCCCACCCGCAACCCGCCCCCAAAACGAACAAAGACTGTTTAAATCGTAATTATAATTTGTAGACGGTGGACCAGACTTTTTGACTGGCCACGATCGCAGAGCAGGCGGCCTTATTGATGCCTTTGCTAAGGAAATAGGACAGCTAGAGAAACATACCAGTGTCTTCGTAATTTATGAAATTAATCTTTAGAATCGATTTTCTATAGCTTGTAAAACCTAATATTTAATAATCCTTATCGTATATGTATATTTATAATTTTCTTTCGCTTGTGATATTATTTATTATTTTGATTGCCCGAGTTTTAGACGTAACATATTCACCTCTGTATATATCACTTAGGATTTAACTGTAGTTGGTACTAGTTTCGTAAGTCGGAGCACACTCGTAGATCAAATTATTGCCAGAAAATCGGCTATGACAGCTCCAAATGAGTGGGAGTATACCTTTAATGAATATTTTGCAGTTATATTTTTGAATTAACTAACGTTTTGGTTGAATTGGAAATTAATTTACTTTATGATTGGCCTCGAGAAAATATGAACGGAAACAATATGAAACAAAATATTTAATAAAATGATGCATTATTCCAATACATTAATACAACTTTTAATTCTTTATCGGAGAAACTGCTAAAGCAGTCAATGGTATTGTATAAATTATTCTATTACAGGCTTCGTACCTACACCATCAAAAGTACAGTATTTGATTTAACTTTTAGATTATGTATATTTATAATATGCTTCAGAAAAATGCTTGATCAGTTAGAATCCTCTGAGCTGTCACTGTACGCAGCTAAGAGAGAAAGACCAGCAGGTGCGGCAGCTGGCGGTTTTGCAGCTATCGTTTCCGTTGATACAGATGGTGCTGAGGTCGAGGTAACGGCTGGTTTGGATACGATTGAAGACGCTACTGCTGCTGCCTTCGGTTTGAGCAGTACCAATGGTATCTTTCTTTTGACCAGGGACTGCGAAGCAGATACCTTGCTGGATGAGGTAGACAAAACACTCAACGTGCTAGACTTGGACAGTTTGCTCGGTGGTGGAACTGCCAGAAGATCCACTGGTTCCTCCTTGACTTCTTCAATGATCTCCTCGGCAACAACACGGGAGCCTCCTTCGGATTTATTCTTAAAGTTTACAGATCTAAACGAGAGGAATGTGATTAATAAAACGCTTTTAAATGGAAGCCCGTAAGAACACACTTTATAAAGTCCTCGTCCTCGCGCTCCTCACGCTCCAAGCGCTCCCTCTCCGTTTCCACCGTGTTGTACTGCTGAAGCAAAGTATTGTAGTCCACTGTCTGTTGGCGTCGGTTGAGGTCGCGCAACTCTTCTAGGCTTTCGATCATTTCGATCTCGTTGCGCGACTGCTGAGTGCGGTTCTCGAGCAGCTTCATCGGATTGTTGGCCTCCTCCTCGCGCAACTCCTGTTCCTCACGGCGGGCCTGCTCCTCGGCCAACTTGAGGGCCATGAAATTTCGAGTGGCCCCCGCTTCAATCTCGTAGTCCGTGTTCTGAGGATCCGTCTTGAAGGAGATCTCCTGCAGGCAACGTGTGCACTTTATATAGAACCGGTAGATCCTAATACCCAGGTAGGTTTCGTTGTCCACGTCCTCCTTGCGAGCGTTGAACTTCTTGCCCTTATAGATATATTCACCGCAGGTTTTGCAGCGCATATTGAACGGAGCCATCAATCTCACTGTATACTGGCGGTTTTTTGCCAGTTTCATGCGCGGAATCTTCGAAGGATCGAAGTCCGGCGGGTAATATTTCTGCAAAGGATATGGTCAGAAGAGAATCTTAAGGATAAGTATAATAAATATATACTTACGTTTAAAACTTTTCGCTCAGACATTTTGCAGTGTGCAAATAATTGTTTTCTATTCTAAAACACAAGTTTATTATCAGAATAGGGATGTGCAGAATGTATAAAAACAAAAATATATCGATACTTATCGACAAAACTATCTATTAAACGTAGTCCTAAAATAATGTTGACATTGAACTGTGTTGTAAAACATAGAATTTTCTTCGCCTTAAAGATATGTTTGTCTTGCTCTAAACCTTCTTAAATTTAATTCACCGCCAAATTTTAGATACAAAGATAAACTATTAAAGGAAAAATATTTCCATCAATTATGCTGTTTATAACAGTGTTCTATGTAAAAAAACACATTCTTTTATTATAAACCAAGGTTGAATCCTCCTACTTATTTCCCTTATTTTCTTGAATATATTTAAAAATAATTGTAAGCCCATTGTCATAAAAGCAAAACAAATTTCACTGTGATACATGCACTTCTTTATAAATAACATTTATGTACAAAAACGGGGATTCATATACAATTTTCAAGTGGAAATCCACTTTAGGCACTTTATATAAATACATATATAGACACATCTTTCTTTGGCTATTATTGCTGCTGAGTCGTGCTCGTATAAAACAAATGCTATAGAAAATCCTTTTACATATTGCTGCTAGTGGTTGGGCCATCGTTCCCGCCTGCTAAACTGCTCCTCCGCAGGCCGGAGAATCGAGCTGGTAGCTGCAGTGTTGGCGTATCGTCTTCTATTGGAGCAGAACCCACAAAAGCATCTCCACTGCCGATATCCACGTCCGGGAAGCTTACCTTCTTGGGAGCGGAAATGGCAGGAATGGTGACAGAATTTGGACGCCCTTCCATTTTTAAGGCTGCTCTAGGAATTTTATGCTTCACTAGTTCATAGGTGCAGGCATAGAGGAACGTATATTGCTGCTGCGTCTGTACCATTTTCATCCTCTGAAAGTTGAAGATGTTTAAAGGTGAGTACAAATCCTTAATTCTAGTCAACGAACCTGAAATCGCAGTTTCTTGACTGTTTCGAAAATATTTATTTTCGACTCGCTCTTCAATCGCTGCATGATCAGATCCAGACCTATAAACGTTCCCGTCCTGCCCACTCCCGCACTGCAGTGGACGACGATGGGCGAGTAACTGGGTCGCCTCTCCGCCTTGACCTTCTTCACGAGGGTAATCAAGTGCATGGGATCCTCTGGGCAGCCATGATCGGGCCACTTTTTAAAGTAAAAATGGATAACCTTCTCCTTAAGGCCGTACTTGTCATGAACAACTGTCAATTCCGTCCGATCATAAAGCTCAAAGATCTCCTTGGACTTTATGGTCACTGTTAATCCCCGCATGGTATAGGGATAATACTCATGACACTTGATCTACAAAAGGAGCAAAGTTTTAATGAACTTTCAACGTTCAAAATATGTGCTCACCGTATTGCCCTCTCGGAATTGAGTAACTTGAACAATAACCCGCACGTTGTACTGCAGGACCATCCGCCAAAAGTCCATCACACTCTCTGGTTTTGGTCCCTGAGTGGCTATGTACTCCTTCTTACGTGTGTGACCCTGTTAAATAGTTATACCTTAGTGGAAAATATCTGGGATCCAAGCACTCAACTCACATCTATGAAGGAAGCATTGATGTAGTCCGATCCCTCCGCATCTATATCCAGGATAACCCGATTCTTGTCGTCTATTATTTAGACGAATTTAATAAAGTATTTAAATATTCGAAACTTATTACTTACAAGGATATATATCCGCGTAGCGATTCTTGTGGCAGCCCAACTCGGAGGCGGAGTAGCTCAACTCCAGGGCCACTACGGTAATCTCCTTGAACTCCCTCGCAAGTTTTTCTGGCCTGGCCACTTCTGCATAAAAAATTGCAAAGTTCTTGGCAATAACATTTCCAAAAGGATCCTCAATACCCTGACCGGAATCACGTTTCCTGCGGAAAAGCAAGAAATTTAAAACTAAACAGTTATCTAGAGAAGATTTCCTGCCGAAGACTTACCAGGCCAACCGCTTTCGCACCCAGAGAACCGCCAAGCCCAGGATGAAAGCCAATAGCAGACAGCTGCAAACGCTAACCAGGATCAGGGTCACTTTTATGGCCGCCTTCGTTTTGAAATTCAGAACGGCGGCATCGCTATATCCAGATGAGGTGAATAGTCTTACCACAACGTTATAATCCGTATCGGCCAACAGTGGTCCATTGCAGTACACTTTTGTGGTCTCCGAACACTTGTCTACTCCGATAGTAAAAACGATTTCCATATTGGATGAGTTTAACTCAGTGCTCCTTCCCAGGCGTTCGACGGGCTCGGGATGCCAGCGTTCCTCGGTGGTTTGGTACTGCAGGCTGCAATCTCCGGTGCCATCGGCTCCGGCATCTTGGTAGGACAAGACCTCTGGCCACTCGCTGCTAACATCGTATTTGAGGGGTGGAATACCTGCACAGTTCTTTTGCGATACCAACAGCGCCACATATAGTATGTTACCGGACTCGGACGTCATGATGTCCGCAGGGAGTCGGACAACGGCCGTTTTAGTAGGACTGGTGGTCTCCTCGACATTCGCACGCATTTGCTTTATAAGGTCTTCACTCGGTATTGTCGGTACTGAATAATGGTAAAGAAAACTGTAGCACCTTTACCCTTACCCAGAAATCGAGATACTTACGTCCCGCTGGAGATTGCCATGTCCCAGCCACACTGCGACTAAGCTGATCCACATCGCGATTCTTTACAGAGATCTGAACCGTATAGTCATACGATGGCAACATTTCCGTCTCCGTGTAGGACATACGACCTTGGAGATTTTCCTGGTCCAGTTCTACCTTGCGTTGGAATTCAACGGGAGTATAGTTGTACCTCGAGCCGCTGAAGCCCAGATGGAAATACTCGATGTCACCGTTCGACACACATGGCACCTTCCAGGTGATTGTCACGTTGGCGCCGTACTCAGTGTTGTTGTTTTTAGGACCCTGCGACGTTACGGTCAGCTGGGTCACGATGTTAGATACTGGAAGGTTATAAAAATATTAATTTATATATGATTAAAATGTACATAATTAGATAATAATTACCTGCAGGCATGGTGATTCCAATTACGGGAGCTGTATAATCCCCCAATCCAAAGTCATTCTGTGCCGCCACTTGCATCATATACTTTACAGCTGGAGCCAGTCCTGTGAAGTTAACATTCAGTTCACCCTTGGTCTCCGTCTTGGTATCCTGGGCCACATCCTCGCAGTCCTCGGGAACAAAGTAATTGGCCTCGTGACGCATCAAGAAGGCCTGGTAGTACTTAATGGCACCGTTCGTATAGGTGGGCGGATGCCAGTTAAACATTAGGCTGGTATCCGTGCTTGCCTCCAGATTCAAATCCTCCGGCTCTTCGGGATCTAAAATAAGGATACGTTTTTTAAATAGAATTAAAGGTAAGATAGCCTTGAGATGTAACTTACAATACGTTGAGGTCTGTAGACCAGCCAAAGTCTTCGGATCCGAGGGACCTGCGATGTTATATAATACCACTTGGCAGACGTATGTGGTGTAGGGGGAGAGTGGGGTGAGACTTGCATTAAAACCTGTGAACGAAAAATTACAATACTTTTCCAATTATATATATCCTGCATACCGTACCAACCTTGCTTGCTATGTCCATAATCGATACTCTCCGCATACGGATTACGCACCTGGGTGGTGGCGTTGCAACTGAAGAGTGCAAATATTGTGTGACAGGTGTTGTTATAGTCTGCATTGAAGGCAGTTAGCTCAATAAATTCGGATCCAGCTTGCTTCATTTCCAGCTTCACCTGCATAAAGGAAAATATGTGTATTATTGATGTTATTTTTTTCAACTCTTACCTTTAAGTTATCAACTATAGCTGCTTTGGTCTCCACTTCGATCCGTCTCAGTTCGCCGTCGAGACTTTCTCTGGTATATGGTATGATTTGGATAATATATATCTGACAGGCCAGAAGATTCTTATCGAACACCACGGTAGTATTTTGGGTAGTAAGACTTAAGGCCTCAACTTCCACTACTTTATCGTCCTCCATCCAGCCGGACAGTCGATAGCCATCGATGCAGAGATCAGCGTAGGCGGGAGTATTCCAGCTCACTACCATTGAGTAGGCACTGGGCTCCACCACGGGTTCTAGGATCTGGGTGGGCTCTACAAGAAGAGTATTGGTCTAGGGTTAAGGAGGAGACGTGATTCACTTACGATCTTCGCCCACTGTGCTCTGTTGCTGGTACCGAACCCCAGAGCTGCCATTCAACTGGGTGGGCACAATCTCAACTATGTATATACCACATGGATCAAGGTCCTTGAAGATTGCGCTCCTTTCCTGTGTGACCAACTCATAGACTTTGGTATCCGCTCGTTGAGTGGGTCCCGTCAACTTTACACTATAGTTGGCCACGCATCTGGGATGATTCTGGGGAGCTGACCAAGTCCAATTCAACTGCGTAGAGTCGGCTGTAGGGCTAGGCTCATAGACGGCACTGACCGCTGATGGAGGTTGAGACTAGTAAGTTATGTATTTATTTTAGGGGCTATACCCACTTTTTTCGGCCGATGTGAACTGCTCCGATGCCTTGGCCGTGTTGTTCTCGTTGATAAACACTTGAAAGGTATACGGCTCACATCCTTGAAGATCGGATAAAATATATTCTCTTAGGTTTCCATCGGATGAGACGTCACTCCAATCGCACTCAACTGGAAAGTGAAATACATATTACGAAAAAAATAATACTTTATTTAAGAGCACTTAACGCTTACCTTCATTGTCCGGGTCATCCGGAACTGTCTCCATTGTGGTGGCAGTGACGTAATCCATATCGATTGTTGTCTCAGTGCTGGGCTCTTCCGTGGTAGTATCCAGATTTTGATCCTTTCCGCAATCTTCACGTCGCCACTTAAAAACATAGTTGCTGATGCAGTGCTTCTCCGTGGGATCTTCCCATTTGACTAACGTAAACCCACTGGGTAGGTTCGTTATATTCATCACGAGATCGCCGGGCTCGGAATATTCGGTGTCAATTACATTAGTATCTGTATCAACCACTACACTGGCGTTGTTCTTCGTCTGCAGGACTACAGTGTGCGTCAGACATGCCCTTAATCCCACAAAAGTGCAGGTGTTTTTATCGCTCAAGGGCTGCATGCTGTTTGAGTAGTCTGACGATGTTGCCGAAACCACAAAGGACTCCACACACGCCCGGTCCGTCGTTTGCCATGTTACCTTGATTGTATTCGCAGTGGCCACAACCGAGTTCACTGTCGTTCTGGGCTCTACGCGTAATTTTTTTATAAATGAGTTAAGATTTAAATAATATATTAATAATTATACTTTTTCTTTACAAATTTACGGAAGTTAATTAAACGTATTATCATTTAAGTGATTCAAGTTAATTGAGTTGAAATATGAATCACAACTTTAAAGAGCAGTGCTGAAAGGGTCAGATAAGACATAACATTCCGCCTTTGGACTAGAAAAAAATCTCCAAATTTGTATTCGATAGACTAAAAACCTAACTTCTTGCTCAACGAGATATGGCATTCCATTTTACGACCAGGTTTGGCTTTGTTATAGTCAAAATTCTGAATATTTTTGTTTGTGCACTATTGTTTTGGGCTTTAAATCATAAAGTCCTTGTTCAGCGGACGCACAGACTTTGAAAGCTTTAATTTATAAACTTAAAAGCTTATACAAGAGTTACAAGATTATGTTCTTATATTATTTTTAAAAGTACTCTCTCAAAGAATACATTAACTTACGTTTATATTCGGTGTATGCGTAGATCGTTTGGTCGGAAGGTGGATGCTTGCCAAGCACATTTGATCGGAATGAAACAGTACAGGTATAAAAGGTGCACGGATTAAGGTTCTCGCTGAAAATGATTGGTATGTAATTTGTGGGGGATCTTACTAAAATAAAATCATTGTCCATACCACACATGAGCATCATTTGCTTTGGTCTCCGTTCCTGATCCATTTCGGCAGGTTACTGCATCAATGGAATATTCCGTCTCGTCAGGAATGCTGAAGCCCAGTGTATAGACTGTAGAAACCACATTCACTTCCACCTCTGAAAATCCACAAATATCAGTATTAGTTTAAGTGAAGGAAGTCACAAATGTGTTAAATTATTCTTGGGAATGGTGATAACAAATCAGGGTTAGAATATCTGAACTAAAATCTTTCGAATCGGTAAATAACTTCTGTATAATTAATCGTTTGTATTTCTGCTAATACTTTACAAGTGGTCGAATACTCACTATCTGCTAGTTCCTCGGCTCCTATCGTTGCACTCGGGGATAGATCGGTCTGTCCTTCAACCCAGGTGATCCACAGGGTGAGAATCAAACCGTATATCCTAACCGATGGCTTCCAGTGTCTGGTGTCCATCTTAGAGCCTCATTGCTTTAGTTGCTATTACAATGAGTAATACGTTATTAATTATTAATAATTAATGATTATCACGGCGGAGCTAATGCAACCGGTTGCTTCTGGGATTTTCCGTAAAGCATTAACCTCGCCCAATTGCAAATCAGTTGGCTTATACACTTTTAAATTGTGTATAAACGAATAAATAAGAGTTCACTGTACGTGCGCAAACGAAAGGTGATTCGTAAACAATTTGTGGCCGCCGAACTTTCGTAAATCTCGCACTGTGGGAAGTAATTGTGGATACTCAAGTTGCTGACCAGCGCAACAAATGAAAGAACATATAAATATGTTTAAAAACGTATATATTTTCGAATTACTACTCTAGCCTGCAAGTGATTTATACTAATAGTAGAAATACCTCGACTAATTAGAAAATGTAAACAATAAATGGTACGCGATACCACAGGGAGTTATCTCAAAGTCGGGGGCTTACACTCAATGTTGGAGTCACGGATTTTTATTTCAGCAGGAATATGTGGTCGTAATAAAGGGTAGCGTTGAAACTGCTTAAGCAGCCGGCAATGTAAGTAAGTTTTTTTTTGTCGAGTCCCGTGAATCTTATCAAGACACTTCACATGCTGGAGAAGTGGCCAGTAGATATAGGCACTGATAATAATCGGGCTTGTTGGGCAATCCATTAATACACAACTTATTCGCTGAAAATCATCGAAATTCAAATGCAATCTTTGTTAGCAATCCCATCACGCAGTCGCAAATGGAATGGCAATATTAATAGATATAACTATAGCCGATATGCGAACGCGTCACCGAGGTTCTAATCGAACGAATACCTCGAAATTGGCAGCACTAATTACTAATTTCAGTTGTCGTGCCAACGGAAGGCAGACGAAGACAGCTCTTTAAAGCAAATAAAATGACACTTTTCGATACTTATTAATGACACATTGTTATCAGAAACTGCGGGAAACTGGAGACTATAATTGCCAGGTTTTGCTCTAGATGGCTGGCTCTTGTTTAAACAAATCGCATCGCCCAGGGATTTCCAAAACACCAAAACACCAAATCAGTCAAGCGGCCTTTATCATTGGCAAATAATCAAAGTTAGTCAGATAACAAGCCTATGTGTATTGCTCATAAATGGATTTCGATTTCGGTATTTTAACGCCATAAAGGCTAGCTAGGATCTGGTACAACCGTCCGTTGCTAAACTGATTCATATATATGTTTTGTTAAACGATCGACCGATCTAACAGATATAATTGGCTAGTGGTTGTAATGCTTACTGCTGATTAAATCAATTACTGATAACACTCGAGTGCCTAGATTTTGGCAAATGATTAACATTATTCGGCAATTTGCACAATGAAAGGTTCTGATATTGTTTGAAACAACGCACTCACAGGTAACAGATGGACGGATTTTTATTCTTGCTTTTTCGGAGAGCGCGAATATTTGGGCACTATACTAAGAACTAAAGTAACGCCCGAATGCCAGTAATTATAACCGTTTCCGCTGAGCGTTTCTCAAACACTGAGCGTATATCGGCTGAGTTGTGTTGTTCTGGCGCTGAGTGAGTACTGATAAGAAAAGTTTACTCCCATCGTCAGTTAGTAAGATAACAACAAATTTATATTTAGAGAACTGCAGTGTTGACAATCGAGTTTCGCTAGTTGGGTAAATTAAACTAAAAGTAGTATAGTTAAACTAAACTTCAAATGTTTTTTCCAAACAAACAATATTTTTTGCGAAATATAAGCTATTAAATGTTCCTTTTTCAATTAGATGTTTCTTTTCACCTTGATTTATTTACAAAGTCATATCCTTAAATGAACATACACTTTTTAAAATTGGCGCCAGTGTTCCAGACTTTCTCCACTGCCAAGTAAGCTTTTAAGCTTTTATAAAATATATAAAATCTTTAATTAAATACTTCCTAGTATTCAATTTTTTTAAAATTTATATGAAATGCAAATCGTATTTTATTTGGAAAATATTTATTAATATATCATTAGTCATTATTTAAGTCTAACCAGTCAGATCATCGATTATTCGATAATAAATCGACAGCGAAGTGATTCTTTTTCAGCTGCATGCGCTGCGGTCACACTTATCGAAGCATTTTCGTCCGCTCGGTCATCATTCTGCGTAATTCTTTTCGTACAATTCGATTAAACATAAATAAATAAACGCAATTATAAATATATGAAATATTAAATTGATGTAAGTAATATAAGCATGAGGCAAAATGAAAGCTATAACTGAGTCGCCGCGTTGAATAAAAACTAGTCAAAATGGATTTTTCGCAACTGTGTAAGGGGCAACTGGGAAAAATAAGAAAGAAAAAATGTCATATGTACGACACAGATAGTGGTTCAGTGTTAGTGCGCGCGTTATGTACCGAGTAAAATAATTAAAATCGATAAAAAATCAAGATATAGTGCGTGCCAAAAGCGGATATTATGTCCTTTTCCCCATTTTGCATATTGTCTTTTGGGACATTTCGTTCTCTTGGCCCCTCTCTCTATCCAAGATGGCCGTCGTAACAGTATTTTCGTTTCAAACTGTTGTTGTTATTGTGTTTGCTTTGTGTTTTTGTTATTGAAAAGAAAACGAAAAAACAAGCGAAAGAGTTATGCAAATTATGCACAAAATAGTGTGTGTGTTTGAACAAAAAAAAGTCAGTAAATAAGTGAAGAAACAAATAATAAAAATGATTACACTTTTTACAACCACCAGAAAGCGATGACACATCGCGTGCGTTAGTGTGCGTTTGTGAGTGTCGATGTCTGTGAATTTTCGCGCATGTGTTGGATACCTCCCCCTCGCCAAAAGCAGAACTGATCGATTTTTAGCCAAGTCGAGTCCCCGAACGGGCTGATTCCTTGCATACTTCCCGTTCCAATCCCCCATATACTAAACACCTATTACCTGGCAAGAAATGTCCAAACCAGTTCTGCCAATGCACAAGAAATCTCGTTTTATTTTCTTTGCTATACCAGTGTTGTTGTTGTTAGTTTTTACAGTTTTTCCGTTTTGGGCTTTTTTGCTGCGGCATTCTTTTAGGTATTCAAGACCCGTTGCGATTTCCCAGAATGTGTGGAAAGCGCTCCTGACACTGCAAATTGTTTTCTATTATCTAGCGAGCTTTTTGCACGTTCCCAGCAATTGGTTAAAGTAAAGCAAAAAAAAAATATATTTAAAAAACAACTATTTAACTGCTAGTTCCTGCTTTCAAAGCCCGCTGTGGGGTTAAAGCTGGAGTTCAAAGCTTTTTGGGCTATTGTTTTCCTTTTCCCTCTCTCTTTGCACTTGAAATTGCAATTGCATTTGCTCGCCATATGTGTATGTGTGTGTTAATCAATGAAACACGCAAATAAACAAGCAAAAGCAAGTGCAAGGTCTGTTTGCCAAAGGGGGAGAGAGAGAATCACTAGGCCATACAAAAGAAATGGGGGAAGAAGTGGGATAGGGAGAGGCAGATCTTCGTGGCATCCTTAATTTACGTGTGTGTGTGTAAGACGACGGCAGCCCTGGTCTATTCCCCTTGCCAACTATCTCGCCCACGCGAGAGCATTTAAAATTCAAATATTAAATTAGCTTGGGCAAGTGCAACAATGAGAATCGCATTGTTTTTTCACTGATTTAGTAACATTTCTGGCGAAGCGTGCGACCCAAACGCCCCCTTCTTATTGTTTTTTTTTTCAATGTGGCCCACCACAGCCTTACGGTTACAATGCGCATGTCTTGGTGTTTCGGAATGCCTGGTTGCCACAACAGAAACACTGTTGACTCCGTTTGGCATTCGAGGGGTTAAAGCGACCCCATCTCTTAACCCCCCACTCACTGCCCACGCTCCACTTTTTACCCATTAATACTTGTGACGTTCTCAACGCTTTTCATTGATTTTCCTTGGATATATTTAGATGCGCAGTTAGCGAGCAGCCAAACATCCACCTACAATATTTAAATGAAGAGCGCAGAATGCTCCCATCCCCACACAGCTGATAAGGCTGTAGAATAGTCCAAGTCTCGCTCAGCGTGACTCACAGTTATATTGAATGGCGGTTCAATCGGCCTGCAAACTCGTTTGGTCAGTTTTGTTTCTTAATTTATTTTTTCCATTTTTGCTAGTTCAAAAAAATCGTTAAATATCATTTGGCCAAAAATAATTTGAAAACGTCATTTCCTAGTCCGTGATGTGTGAGAGTGTAATATACTGTTGCGGATAAAATAATAGCCCTGAACTCGAAATGTTTGAATAAAGATAGGTTTAAACTTGCTTCTTTTAGATTTTTAATGAAAATTACAAGTCGATTATTTCATTTATTTATTCCCCTTTTAATAAACTTAAATACAAATTTATAATAAATTTAAATTTGTGTTTATCCGATTCAGGTACCACTATATAATAAATAAAAGATGTTGAGGATTTTAAATGTTGTTGAATATATATATAAGTAATTCTAATTGGTTGGTATATCTTACAAGTAATCAATTAAAATTATTAACAATTTTTGAGAAATACTTAGAATAAAATGTTTCTATAGGAAGAAGGGCACCTAAGTTAGTGCTACAAGTTCTACCGCAAGTGTATGTGTTTCTTCAGCTTCTTCTCTCGCACGCTCTTTCGCAGCCTTATTTACCTATAAGAAGTTGCTTGAACTACCGTTAAGTCCGGCTAATTGGCTTTGCCTTGCCGTCTATTTTACTGGTAGTTAGTTGGCAACGCGTCAACGGCCCATCGTTATCAAGTGCGCCAGATATGTGTTCGTTTTTTGTTTTCGATTTCGGCTTTATTGCGTGCTATACCTGTGATTTGTCCACCTTGAGTTTATTAAATAGGTCTGGTAGACCCCAAAAGCTAAACATTACACACAAACACAAAATGATTATAAAAAACTAGCTGCAGTGTTGTTTTTGCCTAATTCCATTTGCAAGCTTAGATTTTCGCGATTGGCTATCGACCCTTGAACTTATTGATGACGAGTGCAACCAACTTAGTTCGCTTTGAGCTTTAAAAGTTTTCTTGATTATTAGTTTGTTGTCCAATTATTCGAGGTAGGGGCAACACAAAATATGTGCCAGAAACCAAAGACGATGATAATGATGATGCTCCGCTTTGGGGTTTGGAAAAAAGGAGAATAAAACAATATAATGACTAGACGAAAGATGAGCATAAGAAACACAAATACTGTTGCCAAAAAATCCAAGAAAATGTGGGTGACTTGCCCTCCATGAGAATTCAAACGAAACTCGTTGGCATTTTTGGCATTTAACTTTTGCGAAACCAATTTCCTGTCTCCGGCAAAGCAATTCATCATATGATTATACAGTAATACTTCGATAGGCCAGATTTAAATAGCTGAAAGGATTACAATTCTTAGACAAGAAATTATGAAGTTTATGGCTAATGCAAATTTTATTTTTCTGCCGCCAAAACAATTTTGTAACTTAACTTTTAATGTTTGAATGAGAATAGTACAATTTTATCCCAATTAAATGTCTATCTATTCTCTTGCAGAATTGCACGAATTGACGGCAGAAACCCGAATCGAACGAGAGCAGCAAAACAAGCCAAATCGGAAAACAGTATGAAAATGGTGTTGTCGCAGCGGCAGCGCGAGGAGCTGTAAGTCGAATTCATTTAAAATTAGTAGGCCGCAATCAAATCTTTGTCATCCCTTCTCAAATAGTAACCAAGCGATTGCCGATTATCTGGGCTCAAATGGATATGCCGACTCATTGGAGACCTTCCGCAAGGAGGCAGATCTCAATACAGAAGCGGAAAAGAAGTTTGGCGGTCTGTTGGAAAAGAAGTGGACCTCCGTGATCCGGTTGCAGAAGAAAGTGATGGAACTAGAGGCTAAGCTTACCGAAGCTGAAAAGGAGGTCATCGAGGGTGCACCTACAAAGAACAAACGGACGCCCGGCGAATGGATACCGCGGCCGCCAGAGAAATTCTCCTTAGCCGGCCATCGTGCTAGCATAACGAGGGTATGTTACTTTCATATATTTTAATTCAAAATTCATTTAAATCTTTATAATTTCAATATAAATACATATTCAATTAATACAGGTGATATTTCATCCTATTTTTGGTCTGATGGTTTCCGCATCAGAAGATGCCACCATTAGGATTTGGGACTTCGAAACTGGCGAATATGAGCGCAGCCTTAAGGGTCACACAGACTCGGTGCAGGATGTGGCATTCGATGCCCAGGGCAAGCTTTTGGGTAAGGAAAGTTAGTTTTTAATAAATCTTAAAGATACTAATTGTTTGTCGTTTCCTTTAGCTTCATGTAGCGCAGACTTGTCCATCAAATTGTGGGATTTCCAGCAGAGCTACGAGTGTGTCAAAACCATGCACGGTCACGATCACAATGTCTCGTCGGTGGCCTTTGTGCCCGCCGGAGATTACGTACTGTCTGCATCGCGAGACCGCACTATCAAAATGTGGGAGGTGGCCACAGGGTAAGTTAGGAAAATGAACTTTGGATATTATGGATAATAAATCAACCTGCGGATTTATCACCATTAGCTACTGTGTAAAAACTTACACAGGCCATAGAGAGTGGGTGCGAATGGTGCGAGTACACATCGAAGGCAGCATTTTTGCCACATGCTCAAATGATCAGACAATACGTGTTTGGTTGACGAATTCAAAAGACTGCAAGGTAAGCATTGCGACGTGCAGTTTCATCTGGCGATGTAGTCTCACATTGATTGGATTATCCTGCAGGTTGAATTACGCGATCATGAGCATACCGTGGAGTGCATTGCCTGGGCGCCGGAAGCCGCAGCCTCTGCGATAAACGAGGCAGCCGGAGCAGATAATAAGAAGGGCCACCATCAGGGCCCGTTCCTGGCATCTGGCTCTCGCGACAAAACCATTCGCATTTGGGACGTGAGTGTCGGTTTGTGCCTGCTCACACTGAGTGGCCATGACAACTGGGTGCGTGGCCTGGCATTCCATCCGGGAGGCAAGTACCTGGTGTCGGCCAGCGATGACAAGACCATCCGGGTCTGGGACTTGCGCAACAAGCGATGCATGAAGACGCTATACGCGCATCAGCATTTCTGCACCTCCATAGGTGGGTCTCAACAGAACCTTTATGTATCCAATTTATATTGACCCCCTTTAAATTTGCTTGCAGATTTTCACAAAGCGCATCCGTACGTTATTAGCGGTAGCGTAGATCAAACAGTTAAGGTCTGGGAATGTCGTTAAATAAAGGAAAACTTGGCAAGGATTCTGCTTACTTCTCAATTTAAACATAAATAAAGCTAATATATTAAATCACATACCCACACACCACGCCCACACATACGAGCAGTCTCAGCCACCTCCGCGGAAGTTTATTTTCCAGACGCTTTCTGTGTCAGCGTCCGAAAGCAAAATGAACATAATTGTATTTTAAAACTGAATGAATATGGCGAAAACGAATTATTTATTTAATTGTACGACCTTCTAACTAAACTAACTACCTACCTACTATTTACAACGTACATATACATTAATGCCTAAAAATATACCTATCTACGATTATCGTTTAAAGTAAAAGCTCACTCCTTTATACCCCAGCACATGCTCGCTAAGCAAACAGGCATATAAATGTGAGTTTGTCATAGAATTTGATGAGAATGGAAAGTATTTACAATGATGAAGCGTAATTTATTCGACAGCTAATTGTAGCAGTTGGCACAGAAATGTTTTTCCATCCACAAAATGTACCCGAGCACACGCACTCACTCAAAATTCAATGACGTTGACGTGTTTGCAAACTAAGCAAAATAATAGCTAAATTCGAAGAAGAACATAAAAGCAAACAAAAAGTATTTGAAAACTTAGAAAACTTGTACTCACAAAGAGAAGTTTGTTATTGCAAATTACTTGAATTGTATTCAACACGCTTTTTACCATATTTGAGGTAGATTTTACCATAACACTTTGCTTCTTTTAAACGTATACATTTTACCCAAGTCCCGTTTTGTGTTCTTTTTCGCGAAAGGATCTTCAACAAAAGCAAATACCTTCAAAATGCTTACAAGTTTAAGTTGGCTTTAAGTTCAAAATATAATTTACGTTTACGGTACATAGTAGAAAAATGCTGCAAATTTATTTGTAATTGTTTATTTAAGAGAAACAGCAAAAAATATACCTATATATAAATATAATATAAATAATTATTTGTGGAAAAACGAAAAATCGTATAGATGTATCAAGAAAAAAACATAAAAAATTTGAAGGAGAATTTTTGGATTCATAGAAATCAAATTAATGAAAACAATAAAAACTCGCTTCTTCAAGAAACCAAAAAAAAATGTTTATGCCCAGAATTTGAACAGTGGTTTTGTCAAGGGTGTAATCAAAGTCTTGACTATGTATTGCCTTCGATGTCAAATTTTGAAAGCATTTATTGTACTCAAAAATGCAACATTTGATGCACCTTATTGATATAAGATAACAAAACGCGCACTAAAGCCATGAAAACTCTATGCATAATTCGCAAACAGCTTTTGTCTCAACCAAACTGCTTTAGATCGATGGCCGCAGTGAAAACCCCAGGCACAGGCGATGTATAGAAAATCGCTTAATATATATTACAAAAGTACTACAAATAAAACTGAACTTTGTTTTATTACTAACTAGACTGCATTAATTCGTTTACAAAGGAATTTAGGACTGATTTTGGTTATGTAGTTTTTTGTTTTAGTTCTTGGTCCACTGTCTCTAATTCGTTAGTCGCTTCTCCAAAGTTTTCAGTTTCTGCAGAAGCTTCTTTACTATCGAGTGTTAAACTTTGCTCAGCTATTTCAGATTGTTCCTTGCTCCCATCCACCTTTTGCCCCTCATTGCGGGTTAAGTCTGGCTTTTTCTCTTTGTCACCTGGGGTATCTTCCTCTTCAGAATCTGTATTGCTAGACTCTGAGGCTTCCTTAGCCTGCGGTTTCTTTCCTTCCCTTGGCTTTTTGGCCCTCTGCTTCTTCTTCAGTCGTTTGGCTCTTTTCTTGGCCGTTTTTTCTTCAGCCGTCCGACGATTGTCGTCCAACTTCTGCTGATAGGCTTCATCTGCAGCCTCGCGGGAACTCTGGTTCTGAATGTTTTTCTGGCGGGCGTACTCTTTTCGGCGCAGGTGGCGATACACATGGAACTCGCCGGAACCCGCTCCTGCGCTACTTCCCATAACATTCCGGACAAAAGTAGGCACCGAGGACATAAAGTCTCTTTCACGACGCTGCTCTGGTATAAGCACCGGTTTATCCTGGCAATTAAAAAGTAAAAAAGCAAGCATTAATAAGAAAACATCATATCGACCCTATCAAAACATACAGGATTTTTCATCAGTTTTTCCAGCTTCAGCCGCTGCAGATCTGTGGCGGTTTTAACGAATGGCCTTAAAGGCTTATCCTTGCCATCGGAATCACTTTCTCCAGATCCTGCATCTTTCTTTTTTTTCTTTGGCTTATGTTCGGATTCTTTTACCAAGTTTTTTATAAGCGACATTTTTGTTTTCACAACAAGCTGAATTTTTTGTGTGGCCGTAATAGGAAAATTTGAAATTACCTACCAAATTAAAACGCAAAGGTTTTGTGGTTAAGTTAGAACGGTATTTTTATTTTCAAAATTGATATGCTAGCTATAAATACTAATGATAACAATAAAAACGTAATTTCGAATTCTTTATTCGTCGATTGTGTTTTTTACGTGTATAATTTATTTTATCACGAAGGCTTCACCTCCTTCAAGTGATGACTCCACAAAGTCAAAAATACCGTGTGAAATGCCTGAATAACATACTAAATCAGAGCATGCGGCAGACCCTTTTCAGCGGTATGTTTTAACTTTAAGCCGGGGGCCACACTCTCAGCCGTCAACAACATAACGCGATATTTTCTAGCGAATCGGCCGAATTATATCCTCGATAAGTAATGTGCTGAAAGGAACTGAAAAGAACTATCAAAGACACACTTGTCATAAATGCGTAGGAGATCGTTAGCTAAACAACAATTACGTTCGCAATCGACCAGAAAAACACTAAAAATCTAATCGAAATCCCGAACTCGGCGAGCGGTTAGAGTTGTGTAACACGGACGGACGACGGGCCCGAGAAGAAGAAACGTGAACTAGAACCCTCTGTGTCTCCGCTGGTTTTGTTGAGTTGAGGGAAAGCAGGAGCTGACGGCATGGCGCTTGAGACGGAGGCGAAGAATTTGAATGCAACGGCCACGGGCGATGCGGCAACAACAAAGAACAGCGGCAAGGCCAAGGAGAACAACAACACGGCCGGCAGCAAAAAGAATCAGAATCCGAATCAAAACTTGGTCAATGGCAATGGCACAGCTGCCGACGGTCCGGCTGCGAAAAAGAAAGGTGCGTTCAACTTTCCGCCCACGCCCATGGCCCACCCCCCTTTTACCACCCATCCAACAACACCCTCATTTGCTGCCTAGGAAACTGCCCCAATATTTTATTTGCAGCAAAAGCCAATCACATAACAATTTTAACATTACGTAATGGCCTTTTCCCCTATATTGCTTTAAAAGCGGCGCCCGTTGTCTATGGCTGCCCTCTCCCCCCCTTTTATTTTTTTCTATCCCATTCCCCCTTAGCCCCGTCCCCTTTAAAAACCGCGTGCGTTACAATTGCATTTGTAAATGTGTGTATTGGAGTTCAGTGCGTGTGTGTTTTAGTTGCAAGTGTATTGCTCTCCCATCTCTGCCTCTCGCTCTCTTTCTCTTGGCATGGCAACGCACATGTTATTAACCCGGCGACGGCGGTGAAATGTTCATTAACCCCCCCGGGTGGATTTCTTGTTGCGTTTAACCTACAATTAACACGTGCGCGGCCCGAAATGCATGCATTTAACACACGCAAATTGTACGGCAATTATGTAAATCATGTTTTCTGTCCGCCGGACGCATCGTTGTAGTCTCAGAAGAACCAAGCTCTATCTACCTCTCTATTTGGCTCTCTTGCGGTTAATGTACATTGTACTTATCACTTTTGCTTTCTCCCTCCCTTTGCTCTCCCTCGCTCTCTCTTTTGGAATCTCTCTGTAACTCACAGTGCTGTAATTTAGTATATGGCTGTTGAAATTAGCATGGAGGTGCTACAATTCATTTTCACGAAAGATCGAAAGGAGATTGGATTATTCGTTAAGTTGTCCAAACGGACTCCGTGCAAACCAACGGACCCGGCCCCTTTGGCCTTATCAGCCAGCTTGTCTCTTTTTGTTTGTTTTTCTGCTGTTTTGTTGTATGTTCTGTACATGCCGGCGAATACATACACAGTGAGCGGCAAAAGTTTGAGAGCATGCGGTATTGTTATGTAAAATTTGAAGCTAGAGAAAAATGTAGAACAGCCTTTGGAATGCTAAGGAATTATGCGGCAGTTATGGTAAATTTATTTAAATTTTTGTCCCACTTCTTGTTCATCATTTGTAAATATTAAAAAGTAACATTAAAGTTTAATGATTAAACCATATGAACTTAAAAAAGTAAAGTTTGTGTGTTCTTAAAATAAATGTAAATTAGATTTAGAAAAACATACTGTGAATTGAAAAAGACCAAGGAAAGGTATTACTGCAAATCATCTCTCTTAAGAAGTCTTTTACAGATAACTAAATTCATTTGTAATATAATTAAAAAATAATTGACTAAATAAACATTATTACCTGTATTTAAGTTTCAAGTTTAGAAAGCTTAAATAGTGAGGAACGTCGTTAATAAAAATTACGAAACCCTTTGCGATATTCTTTAAAGAAACATTTGAATAAATGCTGGTACAAAGTTCATGTTTCTTTCATTCTTAAAATAGTCACACAATGCTACAGATGTCTATCATAATATTGACTAACAAATGACTTTTTTACACCCGGACAGGAAAGAAGAACCGCAACAAAAGCCCGACCGAACCCGCTGCAGAGACCGTGGAATCTGCTCTGAGCAACGGACATGCCGAAAAGCCAACAAAAGAGGACGCCAATGAATGTAAAGCCGATGCCGATGCCAATGCCAATGTGGAGAAAACTGAGACCGAGGCAGCACCTGATGCCGAGGGAGAAGGGGAGGATATTGACCTAGATGCCCTACATGACGTTGGCATCACGGTAAATATCAGCAGTCCCGGCGCAGACCTGCTTTGCGTCCAGCTATCGAGCATGGAGTTGGTGCAGGAAATTCACCAGCTACTAATGGACCGAGAGGAGACTTGCCATCGCACCTGCTTTTCGCTGCAGCTGGATAACGTGACGCTGGACAATTTTGCTGAGCTTAAGACAATCGAGCAGCTGGAGCAGGGTTCCACCATTAAGGTGGTAGAAGAGCCATACACCATGCGGGAGGCCCGCATTCACGTTCGCCATGTGCGCGATCTTCTCAAGAACCTTGATCCAGCGGACGCATACAATGGTATAGACTGCACCTCGCTGACTTACCTTAATACGATTACCCAAGGTGATTTGTTGGACAAGAAGAAGACGCGACCAGACTCTGTAGACTGCACGCCACCGGAGTATGTAACTCCAGGGGTATCCGAACCACCACTTCTACCACTGCATCCAAATGTGAAAAACGCCAAGGGGCCGCAGGCTCTCAAGGTACTCACTACGTCAGCCTGGAACCCGCCACCTGGTCCTCGTAAGCTGCACGGCGACCTCATGTATCTGTACGTCGTTACTATGGAAGAAAAACGCTTCCACATCTCCGCCTGCTCCAAGGGCTTCTACATCAATCAGTCGACAGACGATACTTTTAACCCCAAACCCGACAATCCCAGTCACCTTAGCCACTCGCTGATCGATCTGCTCTCCCACATATCACCATCGTTCCGACGTGCCTTCCAGACCATCCAGAAGCGACGCACGATGCGCCACGCTTTTGAACGGGTGGCTACGCCATACCAAGTGTACCAGTGGGCATCACCCACTCTGGAGCATACGGTGGACGCAATTCGTGCCGAGGATGCATTCAGCTCCAAGTTGGGGTAAGTGCTGTCTGTGACTTTTTTATTTCCTAGTAGAAATTGTCTTTACAAGGTTCCTTTTATAAGTTATAAAATAAGAATTTGTCAACTTTAATTATTTATTTTACTTTGATTCCACAGCTACGAGGAGCACATCCCCGGACAAACGCGCGACTGGAATGAGGAGCTGCAGACGACCCGGGAACTGCCACGTAAAACACTGCCTGAGCGCTTGTTGCGCGAGCGCGCCATCTTCAAGGTGCACGGAGACTTTGTAACCGCCGCTACGAGGGGCGCCATGGCCGTTATTGACGGCAATGTGCTGGCGATCAATCCCGGCGAGGACTCCAAAATGCAGATGTTCATCTGGAACAACATATTCTTTTCGCTGGGCTTCGACGTGAGAGACCACTATAAGGAACTAGGCGGCGATGCAGCGGCCTTTGTCGCCCCACGATATGATCTGCATGGCGTGCGAGTCTACAATGCCGTAGATGTGGAAGGATTGTATACATTGGGAACCGTAGTAATTGATTATCGCGGCTACCGCGTCACAGCCCAATCTATTATCCCGGGTATTCTGGAGCGCGAGCAAGAGCAGAGCGTGGTCTACGGTTCCATTGACTTTGGAAAAACAGTGCTGAGCCATCCCAAGTACTTGGAACTTTTGCGACAGGCTGGAAAGCATCTGAAGATCTTGCCGCACGCGGTGCTAAATGAGCGGGATGAACCAGTGGAGCTGTGCTCCTCGGTGGAGTGCAAGGGCATTATCGGCAATGATGGCCGGCACTACATCCTTGACTTGTTGCGCACTTTCCCCCCAGATGTGAACTTCCTGAAGCTTCAAGACGTACAATTAAGCAAAGAGCTGGTCGATATGGGCTTCCCAATAGAGCATCGCCACAAGCTGTGCTGTCTGCGCCAAGAGCTGCTCGAAGCTTTTATCGAGGATCGCTATGTGAGCTTCATCCGAATTGCCGCCGTTCATCTGCAACAGCTCAATGCCAAGAAACAGTCTGAGAAGGCAGAGGAGAAACAAGTGCCCGCCTTAGAAGAAACCGAGGCGGAATCCAAGGTAAATGGAGCTGAGAAAACAGACGACAAGGAGGAGGAGCAGAAGGAAGAGAAGGCGCAGCCCACTACCAGCGAAACAAAGACTGCCGAGGCCATGGTTAACGCCATCCGGGAGGCGCAGTCCAATGTTGCTACCTCCAACGAGGTACAAGCTGCCGAAGTTGTTAAACGGGCTTGTGCCGCTGTTGGCTCCTTGAAGGAAAAAGAGTTCGATTTCCGCTTCAACCCCGACGTGTTCTCGCCCGGCATTCGTCACGTGGATGGCGAGGAGGGCACCTGTAGCTCGCTCGCCAAGCAGAAGGTTCTTGTACAGGAAGCCGCAGAGTTTCTGGTCCTTAAGCAGATACCCGCCTTTATCAAGGAACACCTGGCCCACTCCTCGCCACCGATCGATGGCCAGGGTCTCACAGAATCCCTGCATAGTCACGGTATAAATGTGCGCTATTTGGGCAAGGTCATAAAAATGTTGGGCCAGATGCCACGCATGGATTACCTGTACAGAATCGCCATTCTCGAGCTGATTGTACGGGCCACCAAGCACATCTACTACACCTACATGCAGAACACAGAGCCGCTACATTTGTCTGCCGCCATCAGCCACTTCCTCAACTGTCTGCTAACCAACGGTCCAGTCAATCCTGCTGTAAGCAGCGAGGAAGCGCACAAAAAACGCAGCAATGGTGGCAAGCACAACAAGCACAAGTCCTCCAAGGGTGGAAAGGGTCAGCAGCAACAGCAGGCGACTGGTAATCAGAACGGCAGTTCGTCTGGTTCCTCAAATTCATCATCCGCTTCCGATTGGACTCTGGTGACACCCCGATCCCTCTGGCAGCAAATCCGCCGGGAGGCCAAGGCCTATTGGGACTGGGACTTGGAATGTGACTCAATTGACAGCGCAGTGAGCAAGTACGGCATTCTGCGGATCAGTCTACTTCGTGCCTTCTGCCTCAAGGTCGGAATACAGGTGCTGCTGCGCGAGTACAACTTCGAGTCAAAACACAAGCCAACCTTTGGAGACGACGATATAGTCAATGTGTTCCCTGTAGTGAAGCATATAAGTCCTCGGGCAACAGACGCCTATAACTTCTACACCACGGGTCAGGCCAAGATCCAACAGGGCATGTTCAAGGAAGGTTATGAGCTGATCAGTGAGGCTCTGAATCTGCTGAACAACGTTTTTGGGGCTATGCACCAAGAGAATGGATCCTGTCTGCGGATGTTAGCTAGGCTCAGCTACCTCTTGGGTGATGCCCAAGATGCTCTGGCAATTCAACAGCGAGCAGTGATCATGAGCGAGAGGGTGAACGGCATCGACCACCCCTCGACCATTTTGGAATATGTTCGTACTATAGTTATACCCCGACCGTTCAGTTAATAATTTGGATCTTCTTGCAGACACACTTATCACTATATTCCTTTGCAAATGGACATGTGGGAATGTCTCTTAAGCTGCTGTATAGAGCACGCTATCTGATGGTACTCATTTGTGGAGAAGACCATCCAGAGGTGGCACTCATCGATGTAAGTTCAGCCACTGGACTAATTGGGAATCTGTATTAACCCCAGGTTTTTGTTACTTTCAGAGCAACATAAGTTTGATTTTGCATGCTCTGAGCGAATATGAGTTGTCGCTGCGATTTATCGAGCATGCCTTAAAGCTGAACCTGAAATACTTCGGCAACAAGGCCATGCACGTTGCAGTCAGCTATCATTTGATGGCCCGTACACAATCCTGCATGGGTGACTTCCGCTCGGCATTAAATAACGAAAAGGAAACTTATTCTATTTACAAGTCACAGGTGGGTAATATCCTAGATATATCTCAAGAAATCAAACTTAATATTAGATATTTTGTGTAGCTCGGTGAGAAGCACGAAAAGACCCGCGACTCGGCGGAGTGTCTGCGCCTTCTGACTCAACAGGCTGTATTACTGCAGCGCAAGATGAACGACATCTATTCCAGTGGCAAGCTGACTTGTGACCTGCCACCCATTCACATCACACCACCCTCGATGGGCTCGGTGCTGGACATGCTGAACACTATCAATGGCATTTTGTTTGTGCAGATTAGGTGAGACTTGCAATAGATTTCCTTTTGACTAGTGCAACTCATACATGTTATTCTCTATCGACTACAGCCAAAAAGACATTGTAAAGGTGCGCAGCGAAATTGAAAAGCATTTCAAGGCCAATAGCGCCGAACACGAGGTTAATGATGCCATCAAATCCATTGTGGCTGCTGCCAACAACAATGGTGAGGCCGAGACCCCAAAGGAAACTAAAGAGCAGGCGGCAGCAGGAACGCAGCTAACGAACGGCGAAAATGCCACCGTCACTGAGACGACTTCAAGTTGAACACTCCAGAGGCGAAGTTTACACAATCGAAATCCCAACAAGTCACAAAATTTGCCGCCTATTTGTTGAATTGTCGTATCGTTAATCGTATTTTGGGACTGAGCTAAATTAAAACATCATTGTTTTAAATAAGTGCAGCATTGACCTACCGCTGCAACATCAACAACTACCAACATCGTAATAAAACATAATTGTATATGTTTTCTTAAAGGCTGCTCTTATTCTGCTCACACACATCGCATCGCGTCGTATTTTAGAATACGCATAAAACGTCCTATATCCAGTCGTGGTATAGACCAATAAAATACTTTTAGGCTTAGTCAAGCAAACTATCAGCAACACTATTAAGCATCCTAATCTAAAGGCCCAATATCACCCAAAATACCAGCTATAAAAGAAAGTTGACTTGTTTTTAAACACGAAAAGTCATCTAGCTCATACACATATATGTTTTGTTAACCATTTGCAAACCCGTCAAATGCCTTTTATAGTTTGTAATTGATTGCACATAATTTTATGCATTGTTTTTGTTGAATCAACTTTACAACGAGTGCAACTAAATATTTTACAATAACGTTAAGATTCGCCCAATTGGAAAAAGAAACCAGAGGAATTATTGAATGATTACGTTTTTGTTATACAACTATCATATAGATATATATCAGAAAATATATATTATTCATATGTAATTCATACACTTTTGGGTCCTTGGTGTGTCAAGGAACATTTATTCATACGAACAAAATGGTTTTTTATTATTAAAAAGGTCGAAATGCGATCAAATAAAAATGAAGAAGCTGCCAAGTTAATTTTGTATTCAAAAGATTCAATTCAATGCACCTAAATATTTTGTGGGATGGCACTAAAACTAAACTTATCCAAACTTATAAATCAAATTATTTTTCTTGGTGGGAAAATTTTTAGTAAAACAATACTGGAATGAAAGGTCTTAAAAATGCAAACTGTATTGTTGAAAACATGTACACATGGTCGTCTACTTTCGTTTTCTGCACTTGTTGCGTCCTTTTCTCCTTCTGCCCGGTGTTTTACTTGGCGACTTGCCATTTTTAGCGGCTGCAGTCTGTTGCTGCTGAGTTTTAGGGGCGGTTCCAGCGGCTCCTCCGGTGCTTCCGCCCGCACTCGAGTTGTTGGTCTGCTTACTTATTCGATTGGCAGCGCCTTGACCACTGATCTTTTTTGAGGGCAGCAGATGCTGGCTGACCAGTTCACCTAGAACACCCTGGTGTGCCAGCATTGAGAGGAAGGTGCAAATAAACTTGTCGTAATTGTGCGTGCGCCGACTGGCGTCTACCTTGAACATATGTCGCCGATCGTTTTCGTCGGCAAGATGCTGCTCATTAATGGCTATCTCGGTGTCAAGGTTTTTGAGTAGCGACTGCAGATCCCGAGCTGTGAAGGCGCTTGGCTCCAGTAACGTGGTGGGTGTATCCGGACGTTGTGAGTCTCCGTTTCCGGATTCACCCTGCTCGTCGGCTTTCAGAAGTTTTTGTAATGTCCCGGACACGATGGCCTGGTTGGTGCGCAGCATTTTGAGCTTATGTGTTATGGCAATCCGTCTGTCCGGTACAACGGCCATGAGGTTGAAGCGTATGTCCTGTTCACCGGTAGCTATTCCTAGTCGCTCTGCCATCACACGACGGAACTTGTCCGTCCAGTCCTCACTATCCTCCCATCCACCGTGATTCATGGGATATGGCTTCAAACCATCCAATTCAAACAGCTGTCCGTTAATAGGCACAAAGCTAACGAAGTGAAAAGCCTCACCGGTAAAGCGGCAGCTGGAAACACCAGCTCCAGTTCGCTCAAGCCGGCGCCGGGCTTGCGGCATTGCGTGCGAGTTGTGGGCACAGGCCAGCTCCGGAGTGTTTCCGATGGCTAGTCCCTTATTCTCTGGACTCATGCCTTTTGTGTGGGACTTTAGACGACTGAGAGTGTCACCCAGTTGTAGGTTGTTTTCGTTGCAGTTCAGTAGCACTGAGAGTAGAGCGTGAGTGGCACAGCTATTGGGTACGACTTGCTGGGCGAAAAAAATGCTGGAAATGGCCTCCTCATCCTTTACGAATATCTCCGCAGTTGTCTCAACTATTTTGCGCCTGGCACGTCGCTCTTCGATCCAGCGAAAGAGAAAAATAAAACCATATGGGCTCTCGATGGGCTTCTGTAAGTCGTACACCTCCTCCACCTGAACATCATGACCTGAAGGGAGAGTAGTTTTTAGTAAGATACGTCGGAGAAGGTATTACCGAAAATTACATCCGAAGTCTTTGAGTAGAAGGGTGAAAAGACCTGGGTCGGACTCTAGCTCCAGCCAACCATCAGCAAGTTGCGCCATAGGCATGGTGGTGGCTCCTGAGGTAGCGGCAAGGAGCGCGTTGTTGCTGAGGCTGACGTTGCCTCCTGCTGCTACTGGCGCCTGGGGGCCATTACCTCCTCCAGTGACGTTCATTTTAAAACGTATATTGATGAGGTGTTAAAGAAAAAGGTCTTCCGCAATGGCTTTATTGCCTGGATTTGGTAAGATCGTAAGTTAAGGATTCGTTAGTAAACAAATAAATATAATATTTACCTGGTAATCTTTAAAATGAATGTTGTGTTTTTGTAAGCAGCAGTTTTATTTTTTTTGTTTGTAGTCTAATACCGTGGTCTTCCGAGTTGTGAGATAGTTCCTAGTATTCCACATACTAGAGTAAATCGCCTCGAGGATAACCGCATCGACCGGTGACCTTCTACTATCCATAATTCATTTTAATTATAACGAAGTAGGTGTATTCAACGAAAAAATGTTGCTTTCTCTGATTCTTTCTGCCTTGACAGTCACATTGACCACTAACATTTCGATACCGATTGGTAGGCGCTGACATGTGAATGTACTTTGTTATAACGATCTGGCAACCCCTTAGGCGAGTTTATAGTCAGCTGTTATTGACGTAACTTTACTTTTTCTTTGGATTTTTGCTAGAAAACTGAAATTGAAATGGTTCGTCCAACACTCATCAGCCTGGCCAAGCGTGTACCGCTCATTACTTTCCGCAAGGGGGGAGCGGGAACTCTCGGCGCCCAGGCCGCAAACCAGCAGGCAAGTTCCCAGCCAGCAGGAGGCAAAAAGGTTAACCCAGCCCATTTAATATACCACTTAGTAATACAACTCCTTGTTGTCATAATAACCGATTACGGTTTTATATATTTCTATAGTTGGCGGGTGGACCAGCAATTGAGGATTACGAACTGCCTGCACGGTTCGCCCGGAAACGTATCGATCCCGAGGAGGCGGCGTACATAAACAATGGAGGTGTTCCAAACTAAAAAATCCCATGCTTGTAAAATATATTAATGTCACAGCTGTTTTAGACGTCACGCAAAATCACACATGTTTAGCATAAATTATTCAAGTTCGAATTAAAATGGTCAAAATGAATTAATGGCGGCCCCAGAATGATATTGTTTAAATAAACATATGTACGGAGGAGCTTTTGGTTGTTCGCTGCGAATGGCATTTGGGGCCATAGAGAAAGAACAAGAGCGGACGAACTCACTGCTCATCTGAAACGAAAGCCAATCGGTCGTGCTTTTTCCACACGCGCAGCTGCTTTTTCGATCGTCTCTGTTCGTTTGTTTGTGCTATAATAGGCCCCCCGCCCACCGCGATCACACGGTACCGCACCCCACCCCCGCTAGTCCATCGTGAACAAAGAGTGGAAAATTCCCGTGCCAGCCAGCCAGCCAGCCAGAAAAAACCCTTCAACCATTTGATCGGGCCCGTAACGCTGCGGCCCCCCGTAAACACCGGATTCGTTGTATCCCCCACCTGGATGGGTGTGAGGCGTAGTATGCCAGTGAACTGTGCCAACAAGGACTGTCTGGGTCTCCGAAAGCGTGTCTGTGGTCTGCATCAAACCTGGAAGTGGCTCCATCAGACGCCCGCACTGCACGAATACCTAATCTCTGCCAGCTCCGTTGCTGCAAACACATCCAGAACCAGCAAAAACGCCACAGTCTAAAGTCCAGAGCGACCAAAGCCATTTAAAACCAAAACGAAAACATAGCGTAGATAGTAGATCATATACATAACCTAAAGAAGAGCACACAGAACCAGGCAGAGCACCGTAGAAACCATCCAACCAACAAAGCCGCCAAGAGCTTTTTTCGACACCATTGACCTTGTTTTGCTTGCAAGTGCATTGCGCCTCAGTTCACCTGGCAACAGAAATCATACGTCGTACACGTTACTTCCTTGTGTAAGCCATGAGTATGCTGCTGCGACGTAATTCTAGCCAGTTGCGGCTGCTTCTTTCCTCTGGTGGTCAGGTCATTCGCCTGGCTTCTAGCGGAGTAGAGCCACCGGCTGCCGGAAAGCCAGAGATCAGGAAACCCAAGCGCCAACCCCCACCCGTAGTGCCCGATTCGGAGATCAAGAAGTCTGTGTTTATTTCGCAGTCCAGCGATGTGTTCACAAATCTGGCTTTAGAGGACTGGCTGTACAAAAACTTCGACTTCAGTCATCATCATGTCCTGCTGCTGTGGGCCAACGATCCATGCGTAGTCATTGGACGCCACCAGAATCCCTTCACCGAGGCCAATGTATCGCGTCTGGTGGAGCGCGGCATCACCTTGGCCCGGCGAAACAGTGGAGGCGGAGCAGTTTACCATGATCTGGGAAACCTCAACTGCACTTTCTTCTCGCCCAGAGAGCGCTACGATCGCAAGTACAACCTGAACATCGTGACCAGGGCTTTGTTCCGCGAGTGGGCTATAAAGGCAGAGATTAATGAGCGTGACGACATTGTCGTGATGAACAAGAAGGTGAGGAGGAGCGGTGTCAATTGACTGGCTCTTATCAGGAAATAGGGCGACCCATCGCTGACCCCACATAAGCATCAGCTCACTTTACCAACAGCTGGGGCTGTGCATCTGGTCTTTGTTGCCCACTTAACGAGTTCTGCCCTTGTTCAATTACAGATTTCTGGAACGGCTGCCAAGTTGGGACACCCGAACTCGTACCACCACTGCACCATCCTGGCCAGCGCCAACAAGCTGCACTTGGGTGAATCTCTAGTACGAGAGCCGGCAAACTACATTAGCCGGGCCACGGCTTCGGTGCCGTCGCCAATTCGTAATCTGGTTGATGTCAATCGTATGGTTAACGTTACCCAGCTGCGCTCTGCAGTAGGCTACGAATATCTGAGGACGGCGGCCACTACACTAGAAGACGGCGGTAGTACGCAAACAATGAAGCAGCGCGGTTTCCAATTAATCAATCCCACTGAGAAGTGGTTCCCCGGCATCGACGAACTGCGATCCAACTATAGCTCCTGGGACTGGGTGATCGGCAAGACACCCAAGTTCACGGTGCAGAAGGACCTGGAGGTCAAGGGCGATGAGCAGGACATGAAGCTAAAACTAAGCGTGGAAGTAGAGGCTGTAAGATATTTCTTTCAATTAATATAAAATTCATTAATCACCTAACTTCTTACAGGGATTAATGAAAGAGATCGGTATCCAGTTGCCGCAAAGCGATCAGCTCGTTCCGGTGGTCACTCCGCTCCAGGGCAAGCCCTACAACGAGGAGAACCTGAATGGCATTCTTGGCGCCTTGAAGCTCGTCAGTGCATCGAATGTAAAGCAGGCAATAAACGGCTCAGCATGATTGCTGGTTTGTTAGCTCGATAAAAAAATATTAACCTCTATGTAGTTTCACTAACTAAAACTAATATATAGATTTAATCTTTCCAAGAAAACATATTACTAACATAGTATTTAAGCGTTTTGCAAGCAAACTATTTACTTTTGTTACCCCGTTTTATATAAAAGAACTGCAATTAAATGTTAAAACATTGAAATTAAAAAAAAGAGCGTTTTGTTTTCATAAAGTATGGTTATAAAACACAATAATAAATATTGAATTATATTTTTATTAAAGAAAAAGTAAAAACAAGATCTTCATATAAAAATAGTTATTTTTATTTTGTATAACCAATAAAACAAAATGGATTTGTAAACATGAATACAAAGTTAATATGATAAATCTTTTAAGGCACTTGTTCGCATTCTTTTGACACAAATTGGTTGTACATCTGTATATGTATAAAATATTTTACAAACTATTAACATGAATACTAGGATACGAGATAACAATCATGATCTGCGAGTCCCTTTAATACGCCACAAAACGGAATAGAAGACATTACAAAAACAGCTATAGACAATTGCACTCTGAGGGGGGCGAGGGGTACTGGTTTAGATATGAACCGTTTGAACTAGCTCTGGCAGGTTCTGGTAATCAGGATCGCGAGCGAAAAATTCCGTGAGATAGACGAAGGTCGGGCGGTCCTTGGGTCGTTCCTTCCAGCAGCTTTGCATCACAGCATATATATATGCTGGGCAGAGACTAGGCTGCGGCAAACGTTCTCCACTGTCCACCAACTTAATAGCATCCACATTGGATATTTCACCGTAGGGTGGAGCTCCTAGGGAAAACATCTCCCAGATGGTCACTCCAAAAGACCAAACGTCACTGGCATGCGAGAAGATGCCGAGGTTAAAGCTTTCCGGGGCGTACCAGCGTATAGGCCAACGACCGCCCTGCGTGAACTGGTATTCGGTGCTTCCAGGCCTCAGGGATCGCGACATGCCAAAATCACTGATCTTGGCCTGGTGGCGATCGGTTAGCAGAATATTCCTGGCAGCTAGATCGCGGTGCACGAAATGCTGAGATTCCAAATAATGCATGCCTATCAGAAATATTGAGATGTGAGTTTAAAAGGAAAAATTATATGTTGCTTGAACCTACCACATGCAATCTGCGAGGCCCAGACCTTCAGCTCCGAATTGGCCGTTATCTCAGCACCATGATCCAAGATAAACTGTAACATGGAGCCCAGCGGAGCCAGCTCTTGCACCATCATAAGCATATCCCCTTTGGAAATGCCAATCAGTCGAACAATGCACTTGTGCTCCAGCCTCATCATGACAGAGGCTTCGCGCAGGAACTCTTGCTTGTTACTGTGCTCGTCGCTGAGCATCTTAATGGCTACCTCCATACGGGATTCATCGCCAGCAACGCCCTTCTTTAACAGCCAGCCACTATGCACGGAACCGAATTCCCCGTGCCCAATCTCAGTGTCTAGCACTAGCTTGTCTTTCTCGATGAAAAATCTCAGCTTGGCTGCCTCTACGATGGTAGAGTTGGGCATGTTAGTAGTGCCGCTGCACTTGCGATGCAGGTAACTGGCCATCTCACTCTCTGTGGAAGCAGTGGAAACGATCGAGTTGAGACGGGCCGCGGCGGGTGCCTTGATCTGCTGGTCCAATACAGTAAGCACATCCATTGTTGGCTGGTAACCATTACCGATTAACTGGCCAGCTCTCTCCAGCGCTATGGCCACATCGCTCTTTGTGAAATACTCAACTTCGGCTTCAGTCTTTTGGGCAATTGGTGGCAGGTCAATCTCAATGGGTGTGTTGTTCCTGGGCACATTATACACTTCGGCGCTGCCAGCGGCAACGTCTCCGCCATCTGCGTTGAAGGTAGAAAACTCCGTCGAGAACGATAGGCTCTTCAGCATAGGGGCCGCTGCCTGCAACTCCTGCTCCGTCCTAGCTAGAGAACCACTTACACTACTCTCAGACTCACTACGCTTTCCCTTGGTCTTGCTCTTGCGCAAGCTATTCATGTCAAACAAGGATTTTTTGGGACTCGTTAAACGTAGCGTATTGAACATAGAGCTGCTGTTCTCCTTTTGTTTTTTCTTAGCTATAGTCAGGGCGGGCACATGTTGGTGTTGATGTGAATGTGGAGACACGGGAGTGGGCGGCGATCCTGCCGAAGTGGCTTTTGGCTTCACCGATGATCGAGGTATAGTGGCAAAAGAGGGCACCTCCGGTTTGGGCTGTGGTGGCACTGCGAACTTGAGGCTCACCGGCAATCCATAGGAGAAGCGCATGAAGTGAGCTATCAGATGCTCTAAGCTTGGCCAGTAGGGACCGTCATCAATATACAGAAATTTGGACTGTAAATCAATATTTAATTTAAAAAAAAAAATATTTCCATGCAGATAAGTCACAACTTACCCCGCCGGATTGCAACTTGACACCATTCTGATAGAGATCAGCTTGCGAAATACGAAAATTCTTCACCACTTGATCGCTAAGCAAAGTGAGAACTAATCCAGATGCCGCAGGCGACTCGGAGTAGCGGACCAGAAAGCAACCAGATGTATTTAGCTCCGGCTGTTTTTCCAATAACTCCCTGGCATGCTTCTTAAGTATGGCAACGGCCTCTTCTCGGGTGAGAGTACCGTGGTACCACTGCTCTCTATTGATATTTGCCGGTGCGAGCTTATAGTTCAGCAGAAACTCTTCCACAGCAGTCTGGCCCGCTTCTTTTGCCAAATCAAAGGGAAATTCACCTGAACTGGTCCTGGGCAGCGGCGGAGCTTCAGCCGAGAGCAGTTCTTGCACAGCCTCTAGGTTGCCGTATTTGGCGGCCTCGTGCAGCGGTACATAGCCGTTGTCTATATTCCTGCCCTGCACATTAGCCTGTGCAGCGATTAGGGTACGTAAAAAACTGGCCGGTTTGGAACGAGCAGCATACTATCAATGGGACCAAATTAATATAAAGTTAAACAGTGTGAAGTGCGACATTTACGTGTAAGGGCTGATAACCGAAAGAGTCAGAGCTGTTGACTTGAACCTTTGCATTCAACAGGTGCTTCAGGATATCCTCGTCGGAGTACAGAGCTGCCAGATGAAGGGCCGTCTGTCCATCCTGGTTCTTGGCATCAAAGTTCCGGTAGCCGCATTTGAGCAGTTCAAAGACCACCTTACTCTCATTTTTGCTAGTGGCGCGATGCAGAAGATTGGTCACTCCGTGACTGCGTGTGTTGTGCGGTGGTGGATCTCTGATTAGGGGCACTGTCAGCTTGGTGGGCAACCCATTGGCCGCCTGCTGGTAGTAGTCCACTAGAGTGTCTAGGCCATGAAGGATCTTTGTCTGCACCTTGTCGTCGATGGAGAAGAAGGCATCCTCTCCACCATGCCTCCGCACCTGGTAGTGGCATACCTCTTCCTGACAAAGCAGGCTCAGCACAAAGTCGCCGGTCGCTGTGCTACTTTCGCGCACCAGAAATGTCCCGTCCTCGTAACCTGTTGATTGCAATTTTAATTACCTATTCATTAGGCTCCACCACGCCCACATCCCCGCGTTCATCTCTGAGCTAAGGAGTTTATGGGCTCCTGGCTCGGTTTTACCTTGCTTGAGAAGATCATCGGCTGCCTCGCGAGACAGGTTGCCGTGGAACCACTTCATGGGATCACAATCGCGACTCATTTTTGGGCCATTTGATCCAATCTCGCTCCTTTTTGTTAATTTGTAGGAAATGTGATTGTGTATTTACTGTTGAAAAATACCATTTGAGGATGGAAAGTGTGACCATATACACCGCGTTGCCAACCAATTATAATTTAAGTTGGCGGGTTATTCTGCTGACAAATACTTATTGAACAAATTCAATAAAACTGTCATCCACAGAAATTCATATATATTGTTGATCTGATTCATAGCCACAATCTTTGGACTGATTAAAGTCGATCCACTGACTCAAGCTTGCTTCAACATTTGTGGAAATAACCCAGAGATAAGAAACAAAAATACATTTGTCATTTAAGTTTAAAAAAAAATTGAATAATTTCTTTTGGAGAAATTACTAAAAAAATTAGTATTACCCAATATCCGTTATTCTATAAAAACAGCAATGTTAATGGTTTCACTTTTGTTTTATATTTATATTTTCTTGTTTTTTTCTTTTATTTTCATTATGGAGGCTCTGCTAAAACAAGGTATTAAATTATGGGCGATTATGTTACGATTAATTTTCTCCGCGAATTCGTTTTGCAGGTTATGTGAGAATAGTCTTAAGCATTTAAAAAACGACTAAACGCTAGGATACGGCATTAAAATTAATAAAAATGTTTAGGTTATGAAATATCTATAAACATTTAGATTTAGATTTATATGTTGCTTGTTGTTCTGTTCATATCCTTTACAATGTACAGAAAATTGAACGCAAAGCCACATTTGAATTAATTTAAATTTCGTTTATCTGCTTGTTTCTTGAATTGTTTTTCAGTTTTGATTTTTGATTTCCTAGTAAGTATTGTGGCAACTTAAGTAACTAACGATACATACACGAAAAATACATAATTAATATCCCCCAAAGATATACACCCAAACACACACTCTCCGAACAGCTTTAAAAGTCTGGCCCGCCCTACAACTTATCGGCTAAATTGCTTAAGCGCTTAGCATTTACAGTTGCGTTTTAGTTGATCCTGCTGCCGATGGTATTGGCTTTATTCCACCGATGTTATTTGTTTTCTGTTGAGCAGCTTTGTTCAAAACTACTCTCAAACATTAAATTTCGAAAATTAGCTATCACGAGGAATTTTTGTAAATTCTGTCTGTCGTTTATTCCTTGAGTTGAATCTGGTAGATGGATGGTTGCTCCTGCTGCTTCTCCTGTTGGTGAGCTCTGGCTTGGTCCTACGCTGGCTGCTAATCCATTTATACTGCTGTTCGTTCCATTAAAAGTAACTAGATTCTAATGTAGAACAAAATGGTTAAACGTATCATATATCGAAGCATTTAAGAAATCCGAGTTCTTGGTTTGTTAATGTTCTGCTTTACATTTATGACTTTTTCTTTGTTGATTTTTGTTGCTGTTATTGTTGTTGCGGCAATCGCCAGTGCTGATGCTGATATCGATATATATATATATATTTATGTGTTGGCTTTATTAATTAGCTATTGAAGAGAGCTTTTGGGAAACTCCATTCACAGTCTTTGATTTAAGGACATCATTTTCATATGAAAAGACAGTTTCCTTGCCGTTTTCGACGACCCTGAAATCATAACAGAATGATATTGATTAAAACAACGATTTAATTTATGGATTAAGATGCTGTCCTACCGCTTGGTCATCAGTTTCTTGCCGTTCACAAACACCGTCGAGGTGCAGGTACGCTTGAAACCATCGCTAGGGGTGTGGCTAAGACCACTGCTTCCATTGCCGCTTGTCATTGACGAGAACGAGGTGAAGCCGCTGGTGGGCATAAAGAAGTCCATCATCGAATAGTTGAGCATAGGTGCCCCGAACGGACTGGCCAATTTGTGCTGGTGGTGATGATGGTGGCGAGACGATCCACTGCTGCCACCATGGCGTCGACTGCTACTCGAACCGCTCGTGCTGCCATTTGAATATCCATTGGCATCTAAGAAACCGTAAAGATTAGTAAACACTGTGTTGATGGTTTTCCCCAAATAACTTACCTCTAAAGAAGTCGGCGAAGGGAGAGTTGACGCCGAAGAACTCACGAAATACTTCTTCGGGCGGGCGAAAAACAAACGGAAAGCCGCCCATAATATCAAAGTCATCGAAATCGTGTGTATTATAATGGTGGCGGGCATTCGATCGACTCTGGCCACGTTCACCCAGTCCATCCTTGCCGTACTCATCGTAAATGCGACGCTTCTTTTCTGTTAAAAATAAATCGTAAAATGAGATAAGTCACAAAAATTGTAAAAAAAACTTCATTTAGTTAGTAACTAACGCTGGAGCTGCAGGGGGTTAGCTTAGATTTAACAAGGAATCAGTGATGGGATAGGTTCTTATTATTATTGACCTAGGCAGGTTAAAAGCCAGTTAATACATATATATATATATATATATATATATATATATATGTTTCCCATCACTGTAAGGAACAGCGATTAGTTGCAAAAAATGTACGGAACAAAAACAAAACGACGTGCGCCAGGATGTCAGTCAGCAAAACCAAAATAACCAAACAATTGCAACGCTTCTGCTTCTGGCTTTACCGAACATCTTGTGGAACGGTGTGCCCTCGAAAATGTTGCGGAAGGTGAAGGCCTGGTAGCGGTTGCCGGACCGCCTGCCGGAGCCCGAACCGTACCCCGGGCCCGGATAGTAGTCGTAGTCGTAGTCCCGACCGTAGGACGAGGTCCCACCGCTCCCACTACGATAACGGGAATAGGAGCTTGTGTTGCTGCTGCTTCCGGTGGCCGAGGATTTGTGCAGCGTAGCACGAGCATCGTAGATCCTTCGCTTACGTGCTAAACACACAATAAAGACTTAGCATTGGTACCGTCAGGGATCACGAATTACGGATCCCGACTACCGGATTGCTCATTAAGTGACCCCCCTTTCATTGCTTACATTGCTTCGAAGAAATGGTCAGTTACATCTGATCTCTTAGCAGAAACTTACCATCAGACAGGACTTCGTAGGCCTCGGAAAGCTCGCGGAAGCGTTTGTTGGCCTCGTCCAGGTTGTCGGGATTCTTGTCTGGGTGCCATTTCAGAGCTAATTTTCGATATCTGTGGGTGTTGAATATTTTTAGATTATAACATAACCACGAACTTTTTATAATACTTAAAATTTTGAGGAAAGGGGATTAACCCCATAGATACATAAGGCTTTCAACCGGAAATGGCGTTGCACCTATGCATATTGGTTTATTTGTATATGTACTTACGCCTTTTTGACTTCACTGTCTGTAGCTGAGCGCGCCACATCCAAAACTTTATAATAGTCCACCATTTTAGAGATGTGTATTCGACTTCTTGGTGGCTCCTTCTGCTGTTATACTTTCAGTTGCTTGCTTGGCCAGCAAATATTGCAATCCAATGCGTTTAATTTCTTCGCTTGGATCCCCTTCTGCCTTCTGAAAAATATAAACAATTAAAGAGAATTTTTAGTTTGGGGCTAAGATAAGTGAGAATATTGTAATACCAATCAGCAGAGAATTCAGCATTTGACACAACCAAATTTTGAGTATTTTTTGTTTTTGTTTTTGATCTGGTTGTGGAAAAAGTAAAGGCGAAACAAAAAACATAAACAAATAGAAACACACACACACACGAATGGGAGTAAAGCAAAGTCAAAGACAGCTTGGTTTGCATGGGCCGCCGACACTTTTCAATTTTTTCGAGTTCAATGTCGTTCGAAAACCCCATTATGCCATCGCCCACACACGCGAACTTGTGAACAAGATAAACCGAAAAAGTACATGGAAAAAAATAAAACTATCATAGATCAGAAAAGACACTTAGAGATTAGATCAGAAAACTTATAGTAAAGAAAATAAACGACCTTAGATTAGAATAAATTATTCTGATAGATAAATACGCTGATACATCGAAATAATTGTTACTGATTAATATTGGTAAAGAAACATAATTTGGATCGATTTTTTTTTATCTTTTTAATAATACTAAATTACTATACTATGTTAAAAGTTTTATTTTTTTCGTCATTATAGCTTTACCAAAAATTACTGTTATTCAAAAGATTACTATTATTTTGATTATTTTAATGCCAAAAACGCAAAAACGTATAAAGAAGGTTTTAACCAAAGATTCCAGATTTAAGATAACAAACTCGGAGTTCTGTTTTTGTTTATAATATATGCTAGTTTTCTACCGTGTAGACAGACAGAGAGGGGAAATACAAGGCGCATGTGTAGGGCGCTCAGTTAGCCGTCCATCAACTTTTGGGCCAAAGTTGCTCAAGCGTTTTCTCTGATCTCCCATCGACCCCCCACCCCCCCATTACCCACCTCATTTTCGTGCAAAATAGTCGCTAATTTTATTTAATTTGTATTGTTGTTGCCGCTCGTTGTCATGCAGCCCCCTTGACACAATTTGGCTTGATTTCATGCGCGAGTGTTTTTTATCAAACATTACAGCGGGCAATTGTCTGTTGTTGGCTGTTGCGGAGGAAAAGGTGCTTGGCTTAAATTAGCCCTCCGGCAAAATGACATGACAATTTGCATTTTACACACTTGGCGGCAATCTCAAACCGAACTGAACTGAACTTCAAAACTTGTTGCTCGACTGACCAACATCGATCGATGGGCTGTGTTTATGTTGATCTTAGTGTGGGTTGTATCTAGAGATTCGGTTCTTATAGGCGGTTCACTCGATTTCTTCGTGTTTTTTTTTCACATTTTTGTGTGATCTAATTTATGGCTTTCGTTGGGGTGCGTGTGCGTGGCGTCACATAAATTTGTCTATTAACACAAATACAAGCGCTTTAACCAAATGGATTAAAGATATATACTATATGTATTTATATATTTGTAGATATCTACCATTATAAGAATGCATTATGCGAAATAAAAAAATAATGCATATGAAAACTATATCTTTTGATTGTATAGTTATAAGTTTCCCCTAATAATCTCATATTCTTTGTCAGTTGCAAATACCATAGACAAGGGGCTTGATAAATTATTTAACCTCTTTTATCCATAACTGATAGTTGGTCCTATCAATGGTCCTGTTATAAAATTGTAATTATAAAAGAAGTTAACAAATAAACTTATGATAGTTTTCTTTAGACAATAAGCATTCAGGGTGAAGTATATCCTTCGAAGGCATGGTAAAATAAGAACCCCAAGGTCAGGTTCAGGTTCCACCGAGATTTGAACTCGGATCGCTGGATTCAGAGTCCAGAGTGCTAACCATTACACCATGGAACCACCGTATTGGCCCTGAGCCGTTTTCCTTTTTCTGGCCGGAAAATCACTGTGCGCATGCTTCAAAACGGGCGGAAATGGGATGGCTGCTGTGCGGCCTTGAAGGTAACTTCTACAAAGGCCCATTAACTTTCTAATGCAAATTTGTACTGCAACAGTTCTACACTTTCACACTTTCAGTTTCAGTTGTTGCATTTCCTTTCGACGATTTATACTAAAATATTTTCTTCGTCTTTCAGATTTGTGTTCTTATATGTTGCAACAGATTTAATACCACTCAAGATTATAAATACAAATCAAAAATGAATTTTGCACGAAAAAAATAAATAAATTTAAATGAATTCCCCTTTTATTTATACAAACTTGTTCGAAAATATAGATAGCTATAGCGTATATGTATATACATATATACAGGAAAATAGAGATATAGCCGGGTGAGTGTGTGCGTACGTAGTTTATTCGCTTTACGGCTGCCTATAGAGTATATACCTGTTGACATATTCGGCAAATTCTAGGTCGTAGGTGTAGGAACTTGTAGCATTGTCTAAAAGCAGCAAATGACGACGACGCCGCGACTGCCGCTGACGTTTCTGCTGGCCAGCCATCCGCATGACACACACACGTCAGCGGTGGAGACAGAATCGAAGGTGGTTGGCGGAGGAGCTGGGGAGCCAGGTGAGGAGACAGTTGGAGGAGAACGAGGATGGTATGCCAAGGGGAATGGTTATGGAGTGTATGAAGACCAGCTTACTCTGGCTTGGATTTCACTGCCATCAACCAGCCACCGGCTGACTCAAGTCGAATGAAATCGGTTAGAATCGAAGCACTGGCTATCTCCAAGACCATATCTCGTGGCAGTCACTCAGCACCTCGCCATCATTCTGTGGGCGTCGGCGGCATTTAAGGCATTCGCCGGTTCTTTCAGTTAGATCAGAGGCCCGAAGATTGCCTTGCTTAAATAGCCAGATGCCCTCGCACAAGCAGATGGTTTTATAGATGGGTATCTGCTTGACTTTTCTAAACTTCTTCTTTTAAAATAACTAAAACGCAATATAAAAAAAAAGATGGGACTCCAAAGGCAATGAAACTATAAAAAATATATTTTGTTCCTGAATGTAAAGTTTAATAGCATATTGTCAAGACAAAGCAAGGAATATTGCTTACTTTTATAGCCTTTACTCTTCGACGATTTACGACTTCATTAAGCCGAAAATCAGCGATAAGATGATGATATGTAATGAATGTTAATACTTTATAATACCAAAATTAATTTAAAAAAAAAATGAAAATGCTTATTATTGACTTTGAAGCATATATAAAAACCACATTAAATTAAAGAAAATTACAACTCTTTTTCAGAGAGAAGCCTTCCAAATGTTAATGAGGAAATTAAGGCAGCACATACAAATATGTCAATCGAAACAGGTTTCAAATTATCAAAACCATTTCATCACGGGGATGATTCACACAGTGCGAGAAATTCCGTTACAGATTGTTCTTTACAGAACGGAGAGCGGAGTCATAAGTGTAAGGTCACGAAATTGATAAAAAATAAAATCACTGCTAAAATATTGCTCAATACAAAGTCGTTTTATTATTATTTATAAGGTGAATCATTGTATTTTTCCATAGAATAATAACAAATATTAGCTAGCCATGAGCTCTTTAATTTTTATCTCTTGTTAAAATTGCAATTTGTAATGCAAAGAAGACTTAAGATACGAATCTTCAGTTAGTCATAATTGAAAATTATTTTATAATTACAGTGTGCTGTCTAAGGATATAATATTTGAAGAAATATTTCTTACAAAAGCTAAAATATTTAATAAGATGATTTAATGAATCTTATTAAAATCAAAATAAACACTTTTTTAAAGCTGTTTAACAGAATATTCACTTTTATGTGCAGATATTGTATTTATATTTTTCGGTGTGTACCTCACATTATTTACCTCCACTCTGATCGCAGTGTTTATTTATTTATTTACCCGTATCGGATTCAAGCAGCTTTAATCACAAACTCGAGGGACTCCACATGCAACAAGTGTGTTTAGCAACAAAGACGGCAAAAAAACAACAAACACAAAGCTGCCTACATGGCGAGGCTTTAAACCTGAAGTTACTCCAAAAATTATGTATGCGTTTAGTCTGCGGTCTGAACGAAAAAAGCCAATGTTTTTGTTGTTATCTCTGATGTTGAGGCATTTGTTGTTGTTTTTGTTATTGCTTATGCAAATTACATCATTGCACTGAGATTTTCTTCACACTTTTCAATTTGTTGTCGCTTCGATTAAACTGTAATTGTGTCACAACATCGATGATAAGCAAACAACAAGGCAGAGAAACAGCAATAAACTTGGATACAGGTGGGAAGAAGCAGAAGGAGAAGGAGCCAACAACAGTTGGTTGCGTGTTATATTCTTCTTCTCTTCTCTTACTTCTTTTTTACATGAAAGATGTTGTTTTTGGTGCTAATTTTGCCATAACCTACATACACAATTGTACTTCTTGCTGCAATCACACACTCACAATTAACACAATCAAGCGTGCGATAAGAAAACGCTGCGCATTTATATAGATATTTATATTGAGCTTGATGAAAAGTCACGCAATGAGCGATGCACTCGCACTTTTTATATTTACATCAGTCGGTTTTGTTGTTGTTAACCAGTAATGGCCAATCTCGTTTTTAACTTAATGCTACGTTTGTACTGATATTCGAATCTACACATTATAAAACTTAAAACACGGAAAACGCAGCGAGCTAAGAAATGTTAAATTAACAAAACAAAAAACTTTTGCAGCCGTACGCGGCAATGAGTCGTTGAGAATTGAATGCAAAGCAAGAAAAAACTAGCAGATCAAGAGAGTTGGAGAGGGAGAGAGAAACCAGCTGACGGCATTGCCATGCTTCAATTTCTGTTTTGTCTTGTGGGGGAGCAAAACGAATAAGAGAGAGAGAGAGAGAGAGCTCGTTGGGGAGAAGAAGATTTCGCGAATGCTCTCTCTTCTAACCCCTTAACACCCCAACCCATTATTGTTATTGTTTCTTGCACACCGGAAGTTGTTACGCCGAACGTTATCTCCTTGTTATCATTTATCTTTCTGGCATTTTCATTATCAGCGGAGTGCCTTAAATTAAAGGCTGATCAGTTAGTTTTATTGTTCCACCGGTTAAGTCCCCTTTTCCAACGTGATTCATCTTCCAGTTTCGGCCGAAATCGTTTCTCTTTTGCCTAGACTCATTCCAATATTGGAAATCTGTATAATGACCAATGTTGATTTAAATAAAGATGAGTTTTATGGCCAAAGTTTATAAGGTTTTAAAGGCGGCAGAGCGAAGCCAAATGTAACGGCGACAAATTTAAATATTTAATTTTAGAACTCTCAACACGAGTCGTTGATGCCGGTCGACAGTGGTTAAAATCAATAACTATAATATTGCAGAACTTCACAACCATAAAAATAAAAAAAAAGTTTTGTTTTTTAAGGAGCATCTATTAATTATTCTATCTCTGAAAAAATAGATTTCCAATTCAGAAAACTCAAAAGTTGTTGATTTGGCAGATTACAGTTCTGAGATTTCATTGAATTAAATTATCAATTTTTTCGAATCATTTGCATTTCCTAAAAACCTACCATCTCCTACAACTCTCGACCCACTGTGCCGGCACAACGGCAGGTGGTGGATGAGAACCGAGGGAGGTGAGCGAAATGTTGTGCGAAAAATGTTGAAAAGTTTATAAATTGAAACTTTTATATAGCACCGCACAAACACAACATATTTTGAATGTGTGGGAATTTATTTTTAGTTGGGTGGGAAGAGCAAACTGGTCATAAGTATTGCGGAAGAAAAATATTAATGCAGAGCAGAAGAAATAACAAACCAAAACATTGACGTGTGTTTTTAGCGGGCGAGGAAAAATTGCTGGCGAAATGAGAGAAATTGGAACAGCAGGTAAATGGTCAGTAATTATTACGGGAAAATAACACAAATTAACCAGGCAGGAAAACAAAACGGCAAAGGAAAGTACCCGAGAACTGGGGAAAATAAACCAAACAAAAGGGAAGCCAAGGTGGAAATTCGCCAAATTGCACAATTTCAAGGAAAGAGAGAGGGAAAATAAGCAGCGACAATGCAATGCCATGTGAAGCAATCAGCAGAAGAGATGAGAAAAGCCACAGACAAGACCTAGAAATAGACACGTGGGCGTGGGAATCAATCTATTTATAATTTCCATGCCCACAGCTTTTTCCCCCATGCAACATGATAAAGTTTTGTAAGTGTTACAGCAACAATAACAACAACAACAAAATATCTAATGCTGATTCATACGCAGCTGGCGGTTCCCCGCTGGCCAAATGATTTTTAATAGACCCAGTTGGAACTGTTGTAATATCATCAAATCTATGGGATCTTTAGCCAAAGGGGGCTTGCCCTGTAGTTGTATTTTTTGTTTTGTTCGGGGCGGGGTCCGTTAGTGCTCCATATACGAATCTGTATCTAATCAAAGGCCTTTCTCACTCTTCGTTTGTTTGTTCGCCGCATAAATAAAAAAAAATACGGTTCAATGTAAATTTCGAAATGATCTGTGTAATTTTTGTGGCCGCTGTTAGATTTCTACGGTTCCGAAAATGGAAGAGGGAGGTGCGGAAATGTTTTACGGGCGAGGTCTGTGGTCATGGCTGGTTCATGTGGTTTTTCAAGTCTATACAGAGTATTAGGTTAATTTTTTTGGGCTTTCCCAGATCATAAGATCATAATAAATATATCATTGATGTACAGGAATCTTATCAATACCTTTATAGTATTTCTAATTTTATAACAGATTCTTGCTAAAAAGATGCTCAGTATGCAAATACTTTTTATATAAAAGCTTCCTACTTGTTTATATGATGTTGGATAAATATTTACCGGTAATCAAAAAATTCAGGCGCTTTCTGATCTAATACAAATCATGCCTTATGTGTAAATCCTCCTTTTACAGTCTACCAACTCACGGCGTTTGTGCGGGTGTAATAAACGGTCGTGTCCGAGTCATGCAGTCATAAAACACACAAAAAACTAAATATGGTAAGTCGAGTTTAATACCAAGACCGCCCGACGGCGCTCGGTCACATAAAAACTACCCACCATCGATCGAGAAATAAACCTGTAGCCAGCCGAGATCAGACAGACAGCCGGTGGTGATGATCTCAATGTACAACGACGCTTGATTTGTGGAATCATCGCAGCCACTAAGAGCAAGACTTCTCTCTTCACGGGTTCAACGCTTCCTTGTGCGATATATACATAAATCTAAGCCACAGATGATAGCCATCTCCTCTGTCCATCCACAGCTACTGTGCAACTATTGCACCGAAAGAAATTTGATTTTAATTAATCATCTTAATCTTTGTAATAGTACAGCAAAGAAAATAAATAAAAAATATTAATCAGTAGAAAACATCTTGCAATATGAACATTATTATAAGCTTAAGATGGCATAAAACATATGTAAAAACTATTATTAATTCCAAACTATTTTGTTCCTGTGCACTGGACTCTGCATACTGCATATAGACCAAATGCGGTGGACAATGGACTTGAAGTGGATGCCACAGCGAAAAGTCAAGCCTGGCTGCTTACTTTGTGTATGTTTTCTTTTTTTTTTATCAAGTGTGCAACTTCAAGCGTATGTTGCATTGACAATGAAGTTATTAAAGCGCAAAACCACAGCCAACCACCTGCGGCTATTTTTCTTTTAGTCGGTTTTGGGCGGAAACATGTGATTAGCCTGTTGCACTACGATAAATAAAAAACGAACTCAGTTGACCAACTTAAACGTCTCGTCAGTCAACTTCATAAATCCACCTGATACTAAACAAACTTTTTATTAGCGAAAGTAGGAAATCACTGTGACTCGACCGCCATCAACACAATTCAACTCGAAAATTAAAGGGCAGCTTGATTGATTGCTTTAATTGGAGTTTTGTTTTGACTTGAGTTGCTCAATTTGTAGCAAGTAGCTCAATAGACTTAGTTAACGTTCGAGTTACCTACATTTGCCAATTAGATAAACCGCAAAAAGCGAAGGAGAAAACTTATTGGCCCACGAAGATGGGTTTCTGTATGAGAAGCACTTCTTAACCTGAAATGCTCGTATAGCCACAGGTGTTCGCAGTTCTGCTGAGGACTTAAAAGCCGCCAGTCACGTAAAGATTTTAGTGGCTTGCGTTCACCGGATGGCATTACTTTTTCAAGTTAAGTGGCAATTCTAGTTATAAATAATTTTAAATTAATTTGTGAGCTCACTAAAATGTTTATTCTAAGCACTTGAAGAATACAATAAGCTTTAGATATCCTCCATTAATTATACTAGAGATTAGAAGCTTTTATTTGCTATGAAAGTAAAAGATTATTTATCTTTTCATTTAATTGGATCGTGTAGTTCGAGTTTAATTTCATTAAAACATGTGTTAAAACTATTTATTTCCCGCCTGAATATCAATAAAATCTAAGGCATTAATTAGTACATTAACAAGTTTATTGGTCTCTTCCTGTGACGACTGTAAAACAATTTAAAAACTCCCCATTAGCACATCAGCAACTTCCAAAGATCCCACTTAAACGTTTTCCACTTTTCGTTATTACTTAATCAAATCTTTTGAAACACTCTTGGCACCCCTTTCACCCATTTGAATTTCCAAGCACTTAGAGTACAACAAACTTTGGGGTCAACCAGCAGCGACGATGACTTCGCTGAGTTGCTTGCTCAGCTGAAATGAAAAATTCGAGGCAGACGCCGCGTCGTCGTAGGCAGTTTTTTATCTGAGGTTTATGGTCTTCATGGACTTGGTCAGTTCAAAATGGGCCTCTGCGTCCCAGTTAGAGACCCTGCCCCAATGATCTCTGAACGCTCACGCTCAACAAAGTATCTTTTTTTTGTATAGTTACGACTTCGTTTTGTGTGGGTTTATATTTGCTTTAGTAATTATTATAAATAGTTGGGAATTAAAGCCATCTAGCAAAATGAAAGCTGTGAGATGGCGCCCGGAGAGAAACGACTGGCAAGTGGCCAAACGAGACCAATTTCCAAAGTAATTTAGTTTAATTGAATGCAATAATCATAAAAAGTAAGGAGAGCGCCAAGCCAAGACAGTAAATTTGTAATTGAGAAGTAATTGCTTGTCACACAAAAAGGTAATTTTATTTAATCCACAAAGTTGATAGGCTCTTATGCCCCTACTTTGAATGGTAGCTGCAACGTTAAGTGATGGTGCAAAATGCCTATTAGCCACTTTTTCTTTCATGGTGGGCAATTTGCAATGAAGAATCACGCTTGAAGCCCCGCGACATTGAACGTGACTCAGGGGTAAAAAAGCATCTCAAAAATGACACGCAAATCGGAGCGAAAAAGTTGAGTTGGCAAATTAAGTAAACAATATGAAATACAAAGAAGCGGCCAAGAGAACAATGCAAAATCATATAAATTATTATAATATCGGCTGTCTGTTTCCAAAGAGCCCGTTTCAGACAAAAGATACTGACGCATCATCGCTTGCCTCTAATTAATGGAAATAGATACAGATAGAGATATAGATACAGATACAATGAGCACAGGCAACCACTCTCAGTCTCAGTTTAACTTCTGCGCCTCATTGAAGACCTTCGATCTTCGTCTTGGCTTTACTCGGAAATCGAATCGAATCGAATCCAATTCATATTCCAGTACACATACCCCTTTGATGCGTAACACGCGCCAGTATTTAACTCTCAATAATACGAAGTACAGCGATATCGTGCTAAGGTTGAATTTAGTGGAGAGCTGCAAATGA